ACCTAGGGTGGGGGGGGGGGGACAATGGGAACAACTGACGCGATCCACACGGTCACGCGAAATCCATGGATAGAACTTTTGAATAAATTCCACGGCTCGACTTTAATGTAAACATCAGATGGCTAATCTAATTTGTTCTCCTCCATGGCCAACCCATGCTATTCCATGAATACTGAGCGTGCAGAGCGCAGCCATCTCAACGTCAACGAACATCGTACGGTTTCAACACACAACCGCGTCTCAAGGTGTTCTCAGTGGTTGCGTAACACGTATATACACACACCCTATAGAACGGCATAGGTACGCAAGCCCTTGTGCAGCTCTTTAACACCTCACCCGGTATACTGGATGCGCCTCCACGCCGACAAGGAAGAGGCAAACATCGTTGCACGGAATAACAATATAACGAAAGGTACCAACATTGCCTTTTTTTTTTTCGAGATTCGTATTCTTTTCCGCAGTGCAGAATGTTTCTCTTGAGATTCCCAAACAGTCTTTTACCCTGTTTCTCTCTTTCTGCCGCCGGAATGCAAAACCAGCCTCTGCGACAGTCCAAAGGAATCTCTTTCGCGGAGGCCACTCTCTGTCCTGCATGACCCTCGATGACATCCTATGGTAATATTAACGTAAAGACTTGGTCTCGTCGACTGAAACGACCGGTAGCCAAATCGATCCGTCATTGACGCCACGGACGGTTTACACGTGCACGATCGTTTTCGAATGGTCGACCGTGTATAGCGACTTTACGAAAACAACCGCAGAGTAGTTAACCCACGAGCACTCGTCGATAAATCTGAACCAGCCTTGTTGCAGGTTATCAGGCGTGGACGCTGCTTCACTTCCGTCGTCCTTCCAATATCGATTCCCGGTAGTTACATGCGGACGACAATGCAACCGAGCAATTTCGGCATCTCGCTTATGACCGCATCCCGTATATGTATATATCCTATATACGTACGTACGTGATAGCAGCTACTCTGCCCTTACGTACATTGCATATGGCTACCAGGCATAGGTAGTTACATGTGAAATTGACTTTATAACAAATTTTCCGCTTCTTGATCGGATTTTGGGATCCCCGAAGCACGACGTCCTTAAGGCGGAGTCTGTCAACTCGATATATGTATATCTACACCCTCATATTCAGGGCTTAAGGCTTTACGAGTTACGTTTGCATCGTAAAGAGAAGGGCGACGAACGAACGAAAGCAATTTCCCTGTGAGCTTCCTTGTACCGTGTTACGAAAAAAAAAAATGAAGATTTATTAACCACGTCAAGCGTCAAGGTACGATTGTAGCCGTTGAATAGACAAATCGACAGAGTGACGAGTTTGACGATTCGTGAGGGACTGGTATACGTCTGTCTCTCTCTTACCCATATAAGATCCCATGAGTCTCGCTCTCTCGCACTCGCGCCAGGTATAGAAAACTTCGAAATTTCGAAGAGTGTCCCCTCTCTCGTTACTTCGATTATTTTCACTTTATAACCAATCGCACTGCCTGGTAATCGATAACACGTACGATGAACATATATTACATTTAATTTAACAATATCGTTCAATTTTACCGAATCTAAAACTTCGCTAGACCCATGGATCCTTGTATCGATCCCCGTATCAATGTACGTTGAAATACATACAGTGTTTTACCTTGAGACGGAACTTTGTACCAAGTTGGGGGTTGGATATGAATCGATAAAAAAAAAACATATGAAACCTACTCAAGGACCGATACCCCTGGAAATATACGTGATTACGTTAAAAAAAAACAATTTTCCATTTTTCAATTATTATTCAACGTAATCAACGAGTCAGTTAACCTGTCGCCGCGCTTATTCCTCCACACGCTGGTGGGGGGGGTGGGTCGCAATTATTTTTCTTGATTCTTTTGATCGATGCCGGCAATATCTCCCACGGATTAATATTTCCCAATTAGGAGAATCCCGCTGGGGAATAAATCCGTCGTTGTTGGTTCGATCCATCTAAGTGTCCAGCGAGGAAGGCACCTCGGGAGGAACTGCCGCGCGACTTGTATAAGAAACGCTCATCCCCAATCTTCTCTGGTAAAAGTATACGTGGCCCACAGTGCCCGGCTGCTGCGTTGAAACTCCTAATACGATTTATACTGACATAAATTACCGTCGGCGGCAAACGCCGTTCGCGTTCAAAGTAGCTTATCTGTCCCGCTTTTACGGACACGCTGGCAAATTAATTTTAAAGCGGCCATGGCATGTTATTTAACGCAGCCGGGGGACTAGTGGAAAATGCCTATTTGCTGGTTATATATATATATATATATATACGTATATACAAAATCAGTGTACACGTGCCAACAAAACTACGGGCTATAAAAATACACAAACATATATTTGCATAAGGGATGCGCAGATTTTGGTGATGCAATTTGGCATCCTACACACCAGCCGTATATCGGATGCCACTAGAATTTTTCTTTCAAAGCAATTTTTTCTATCTTCCACAAATTTCAACGCCGTCTCTGACGTCGGAGGTAGAAAATTCGCAGACTTGTTGGGAAAATCGTGTCGATATAGATTATTTTTCTCTTCCTCAGGATACAAACTTGAAACTGACACGAAAGGCGTTGAGCGATTGTCAACGACAAAGAGGGAGAGATTTTTTTTTTCCGAATGCTCCAATTATTTTCTTTCTTCTATTTCTCACTAGAGAATGCCTCGCCATTCGAATCGACTCCGTATTTACTGAAACTACCGAACGATTCAGTAACGAGGTTCCCTCCTCGTGGCTCGATGAAAGAACTTTCCTCCTGGGAACTTTATTTTACAGAACTTGACAAATCTCATTGAGCCGTGGCTGCATTAGTGTAGGGTTGGTATACAGGTGCGAGGAAATGGCGATAAAATTAGAGCGAGAGCAAAGTAAGGAGAGAGAGAGAGAGAGAGAGAGAGCGCGAGAGGTATTAAAAAGAAAATCGAGTGTGGCTTTGGTAAACACATAGGGGGGTTTTGTATCGTTAAGTTAATGAAATACAATGTATATGTATATACGACGTATAATAAAACTTTTATCCCAGGTGAAACTAACTTACCCGTTTACGGTAATCCGGCTAGAGTTTCTGTAACAGCAGTTACGGCTGTATCGAGATACACTGGGGTCAGGGCAAAAAGAAAAGATTTCAGTTCATCCAGCCCAAAAGGAATGGGTTATGCGCGGCAACTGAAATGAATTCAGGATTTCTACGTGCAAACTACACGAGCGTGTACGTAAGTACGTACTTGAATTTCCCAGGTACGGGTCACGGTAGTGTTACGATATAGGTTATAGTTTAAATTGTAAAATCTGCTGTTCGCCAGCGAACCTGGCGGGCCGCTGGCGAACTTTGGCAAGCTTCCCAGAATGCATCGCGTCGTACGTCTCGTGCCAGAATGTACTACGTGAATCAATTGGAGTCTTCAACGGACAACGTCACGCGAGTCAGAGTCCTTTGTTATTCGTAAACGAAACTTTTTCGATAATATTCATTACTCACTCGTGCAAGTGCCTTCGTCGACTTCCCGTGCGTGGTCCAGCAAGTTCCTGATCACGCACTGCAGGCCGACTGCGCAACTTCCGGAAAAGCCAAAAAGGCCGCCGCAGGGTTCGCCTTCGACACGCGCGCACACTTTGCAACACCTGAAAAAGAGAAATGGATTTTTGGCTCTATTAAATGAATTCTTTATTCCCATGACGAACTTCTTATTTAAGCCACGCTCGAGTTTTTCTTCGGGACGGATCCGTTGAGTAATAGTTCAGGTACGGACGGAATGATTAACGACTCGTATACGCACGTGAGTGAAAACAATTGTTTTTTTTTTTTTTCAGTCGGTTCAAATGACTTCTCGTTCTGCATGCCCGAGAGTAATTTTTTTTAACTATTAATTCAATAACACCCTTTTTGGCCTGTCACCCCTACACGTTAATATCCATATTGAAAATTCGATTTCGTTGTAAATTCATAAAGCGGTTATCGTTACGTATATATAAATATATTTTGTACCAGTACCAAATGCCCTATAACCCGCTATATACGTCTGTAACATCAATGAACGCGGTTCAACTCTTTGTCAACAAATATATTCTCTACACTTCGATACTTGCAACACGAAATGTCCATCTGTCACGGTGTAACTTTCAGTTCGATCAATTGAACGGAATATTTGTAACTGTAACACAGTTCTACGTACGTTTCATGAAATATTGAAACCCCTTATTCGTACATTATTTATACAGGGTGTTCCATTCGCATTGTATCAATGTCTAATATCAGCCAAAGCGTAATTAAAAATTCGTATGCAAAGTAATTAGTCGCGGGTTGAGACGGATAAAGATATAAAATTCATATACATATACCCAGTGGCCATGAAATTCATCACGAAAGTATCGAAATGAATTCACCGAGTGATTTTAGCGAATTTCACATTCGAATCGCGGAAAATCCTTTTAAAGTCGTCGACTCTCAGTGTCCTGGGTGAAAAGACTTTTTGCTCCCGTCTCCTACTTATAACCACACTTTGGCTTTCTTTCCGTCTACGTGAAATCCCGGAATTTTCTTCTTCCCACAATCCCCCACTAGACGAGAACTGGATAAGAAGAATTTATACATCCTGACTGTCGTATTCGCGCTTACGTAGAACAGTCCAAGTACACTGTAAGAACGATCGCGTGTAACGATAAATTTGACAAATCGAACATACACAAGATTCTCATTAGAAAGTACAATAGCGTACAAAAGTTCAAAAATTGATCGATCAGAGCAATAAGAAAAATTTTTCACAGGTGACGTTTAATACTGAATATCATTTATATACCTTACCCAGTAATTTAGTCTATTGCAAAAAAATATCAAAATTTACTTAGCACGATACACAAAATCAAGGTTACCAACTTTACAGAACAAAAATTTCGGTTACCTAATTGACTCTGAATTTACCAAGAACCGATGATCTATCCATATAGGCATACACCAATATAGGCATATACAGCCCTGACCAAATGAAACCATCCTATCCAGGGTTCGATCCTTCACTCCATAGTTAGAAAACCCAGCAAGGGGAATGATGATGATATTAGGGTATGGCAATAACGTCAGGGAACGATCAGCGTAACCCTAAATCTTTATCGGTAGCAATTCGCGCATATACGACAGGACCATAAGTTCTTCCGTGAATCCTTGAAAATCAAAGGGGATCCAATACAGATGAAATATACGAGTTTACCAAGACACATTTATTTTTTCTATTCTATTTTCTCTACACCGCTCTGTATTCCATTTCGTATCAATTTAGCTTATTATTATTATTATAACACGTACTTGCAGGGATCCCAGGTCAGACCGCCAGGACAGTCCTCGTCGGTAAGAAGATCACATTCCAATGGCGAGCACACACAGGACAATGCTCTTGCGACCGCGACCGACAATACCACAATTCCCCCCAAAAATACAAGCGGAACTCTCATTTTCGTTTAATTAATCAAGTCCCGCCGTTTCGTTTTTTTTTCTCCTTCCAGTCCTTTCTCCCCCACTCCGAAACCTCTACCCGCTTCCCCCCTCTGCTCTTTCACGGGTTATTAATTGCCGTCCGATTGAATTTCACGATCCGAGTCAATCGCGTGGATTATAATGATTTCGATACATTTGACTGATAATTCCAGTTACTTTCTGGGCCATTACATTTCACTTCGGAGCGTCGTGGACTCTGCGAAAGGGAAGCCAATACTTGTTTTCACTCTGGTACCCTTTACTTATGGATTCTCCCGGAGTGCGAGTGCATTCTCTTCTATTGTTTACTAGTATGCATTTCTTGGTAGACTACATTCTTCAAATACTCTGTGCATATTTATACGTGTATATTCAGGTACGCGCACGATCACAGTGCCTTTTGTGTTTGAATATTCCGGCTTTCGCGCTCGATTAGAGACTCGTCCTAGCCGGAGGTGCGGCTTAAGCGGAGTAACCGGTAAAACTGTCACGTTGACGCGAAACTTCGTTAAGACGTTCGACTTTTTCTTTCCCGACCGCGTCGGAGATTCGAGAGAGAAAAATATAAAAATAAAGCTCGCATCTAACGGGTGACCTCGTAGCTACTTCACACAACGGTTTGTTTGTTTGCCGGTACGGCCGATGCGGTACTTTGGACTACGTGCCATAAAGGTTCAGGACATTTCTACCCTTGAAATTGTATGCAGCATTTCGAAATTGTACGTTTTGCTAATATCGTAATGCGGACTTCTGCCGTAATCAGTTATATGCTATGGAACCGCAATGCTGCACGATTCGAAATACACGGTGAACGATATCCAGTGTTGTAGATAATGGCGGAGTGAATGTATAAGTAAAGCTTAATGAATATCGATAAAAATAATTAACGACTGAATTTTTAGTGGTGGTAAAATTTTTTAAAGTTCCGAAACGCCGTAGTATGCTATAGGAAATTGGGGGAATGAAAATATGATTTTTAAGCGAGAATGGAATATGACGATTTATATAAATGGCATGTGTGATCGTGTGCCTTGTTTAAAAACAATTATAATTATTGTATAAAATATATTCGATACTTTGATTGTAATTAGTTAAAGATTTTATCGATAACTTTTTTTTTAAATCTTAAGTCAATCAATTGAAATCAGCTACTAACTTTTACGATAATTCTGAAAGAAAAAATTGCCACGATTCGCTCATGGAAGATTGGCTAGTAAAATGATACTGATGTCAATTGAAATTATAAATCCCATAATAAAATTCACTTCACGCCCGGCGTCGTTGCGAGTATGAGACTGTCGTAACGAGAGCGCGTAAACTCGAAGCGGCTGGTTTGTCGGGTGAACGTGCACTGATGGGAAGAGTCGCGCGAGACTGGGCGCCGCGACGCGCCGCGTCGCGTCGGCGCTTTTCTTACCTTGAAACACCGTTAGTCCGATAGGCGACTCTACTTTGTCGTATGTTATAAGCCGTAACTCGACCCTAATGTCCATCGAATGTCGATGAGTCTGCCGAGTCGTTGACGTCCCCCCCGCCCCTCTTTTTTTTTCCCTAAAATAAGGAATATCACGGGAAAAGAAAGGCATACGAAGTTTTCCATGAAGCGACAAGAAACCTGAAAGATTCGCGCTGCGCGTATGGTAATTTTATTTCGTAGAGGCTGCTACTTGGCCGCTGGAAGGATTTTTATACCTCGTAGCCATTCTTCCAGACCTCATTAAACGAGCCATAATATGGAATCCCTACGTTCTACCTTGTTCGCGTAAACGTCCATTAGGAAGATTATTTATTTATCTAGAAAATTCGGGAGAGCTGAGAACCCTCTTCACTTTATTGCAGATCAGCCGTATACATGTACAAGGCAGGTGGCACTCGCTCTCAAATGAGGTGTGTACGATTCGATTACTAGTCGTACAACTTTCGCTGAACGAATCGACAGTTGGACGAAGTAGATTGCGGAAAAAGAGGCTCTGAGAACGATAGACAGAGAGAGAAAGGGAAAGGGAGGAAGAGAGAAAGAGATGACGAAGCGAGAACAACATTCAGGAATCGCGAGATGTTTCATTGATTATAATAATTGAAATCAAAGCCTTTTGTTACAGCTACTTTGCAATTCCGTATTTTGACATTAATCTCGTTGAGCTCTACTCTTTCCCCACGAAGAGAGCACTTGGTGTATAGCATTATAAATAATATATTTATATACCAGTACTATACCCTACTGTCATTTTACACAAGTCCATAAAAGAATTACGAGTGTCAGACTAATTATTTATGACAGTTAAAACTAATAATATTACAGTACGACATATACATATATAAAAGGCAATTTTCACATATGATACAAAGTAACGTTAATGAGTAAATTACCTTAGCTCGACCGTCGATAAAAAGATATTCATTAGAGTTATAACTTCTTTCGCCATAGAAAGTAGAAATGATATTAAATACATTGTAGTCACCTTCCACTCGCTCTGATATCATTTGATTCTCCACGTTGGATATAGATACACCTACAGCCAATCCCCTCGGAACGAAATTTCATATTTGATGAAGACCGTAGGGTCCGAGAAAACCCATAACCTCAAAGAACCCGGCGTCAACGTCTACCTCGGTTTTCGCCATTGAAATTAGAATCCGCCTACTGACCGGCCATGCATCCCTCTAAAAAGCCTTCAACTGTAAATACACGTATTCACCGAAAATTCGCACAGTTCCTACCAACCTAACCTAACCGTATAAATGAATGTAGCCAACAGAACCTTTCACCGCACTAGGGATATACGTCTTTGCATACAGCCAATGGGAGCATCGAACGGTGTCAAGTATTTCCTATTCTATGGACGAGGGTTGCGCGGAAAAGTTTTGTGAAATCCCTGTTTGTATCCTACGGCCACAAGAGCACTATCGGTAATGTCCAAACGTTATTCTCCCGAGGACGGAATTCAAAATGGGAATTAGGCTCCGTCTGTCGGAATCTGATGGCGGCTGCTCTCGAGTTGACTCACAATCGTGAAATCGTCAGTCGGAAATACGATTCGTTGACGCTTATCGCTTCTTGGTTGGTGGTAACAATATTGGATTCTATTTGAATGCGTGTCTCTATAGAAATTAATAAAATTATATGACTAGGGTAGTATACTCGAGAATAATGACTTGCAAGGTACATACCATAACATCACAACTTGGGATATACGACGTCGTTCTCGATTCTACTTCGAGCGGTGAGCAAAACTCGAGGCAACTACTGGCATACGGAGTTGGTCAGACAATAGCCTCTTCAAGTAAAAACTTTATCCTGCTCGTCCTGCGAGAGTAATGCTGCTTCGCGAACGAAACACCTTGAACTCTTAACCTTTTAACCGAGTTCTGATTAAAGTGCTACGCGTTATGACATTCAAGTGCTAATGACTGTGTCTAATTTTATCAGAAACATTTTAAGTGAAAGAATACATTGTAGTCAATTTTCTATATCTCTTCTAGGAGAATCAGATAGAAATGAGAGAGAAAGGATGATGAATGAGCAAACTGAGCTTCATTAACAAACGAGAACAGACTAGTTCCCTGAGGCTAAATATTCGCCAACTAGTGGGAAGTTCCTAGTGGAAGAAAAGAGGACTTGAAGATAGTCATGTGACTTGTGAAGAAGAACTGTGATATTCGTTTCCGACTGTAAAATGAATGAACCCTAAGCAGTAGGTCTAGGTAATTAATATCTATATTATTCGTTGGTTCACTATTAGAAAATTCTTTTGGCTTTGAAGGCTATGAACAATAGAACTACGGTGTTTGAAATGGAATTATGTAAATTATCAACGTATCTCTTTTCTCTCGCCTAGTTGCCATTTAAAAAACTAGCTTTGTAACCTCCAAAACGCATGGATTTTGATCACTCCGGGGGAACCTGTAACTGTGTGACTAAGGTAGATCGTTTGCCCCTACCATCAAACTCTGGCTATAATAAATTGCAACGTTTTATTTCTCGCGAGCTTTCTCTCTCTCTCTCTCTTTTTTTTTTTCACACGGTACAGACACAAGCACTAGCCAAGCGAGTGAGGCGGGGCCGCTTTCATTTCACTTGTAAATGCAATCGAGCTAAAACCCACGGAGCTTTCGAGATATTAGTATGAATAATTGTCCCGACCCCTAATTTCGCAATGATATACTCTTTTTTTTTTCTTTTTACTTTCTAGGCCAAGCGAGCTCGACGATGTATATCAAGGATGCGACGCAATAGACCTTCAGAGAGATTATGATATCCCAGTGAACTATGAATAAATTATCTGATCCTGTGCACTGAGCTGCCATCTGAGTAAGACTAGGTACACTGGATCTCTGCCATTGGGACAAAGTTCAATTGGGAAGTTCTTGCATGAAATATGATGCAACGTGCACCCCATGCGAATCGGTTGCATTTGAAACTGCATTTCATCATCATGGATATACGGATGTTAATATATATATACGTTCACTTTGACCATTTGATTTCTTACTTTTACTGTATATATGCTTATTGTAACATATGATTAATTTAATTTTTTCATTTCTTAAAAACGCAGCTTCTGCATTTCGTGAAAATATCCTTGATCAATATACGGTCACTGTTCGACAAGGGTGAAATCCAATTAATGCGAATGGTGAAGGGTTTATCGGATTGGACATTCGTGGAATCGTACCGCAGAGGATGCTGTGGATTTTGTGAGAAAGAATGAAGAGAGTAAAGGGGAATCAAAATCCCAAAGGCTGACCAGAATACGGGCTTGCTTATTATAGGAAACCGTTATCGTGATTTTACTTGATCCGAGGATTTTTAACAGCCGGAGATTTTCTGGAGAAAATGAATAAAAAAAATAAAAGGAAAAGAAATCCGATCTTTGATCAGTTCCTGGTACTTCGAACCAGTGTTTACATTTATGATTTGATTTGATGAAAAAAAACACGATCCATATAAAATTACAGTCAGATTCGTACAGGCAGCTAATTCAACACTGTAACGAAGCACGTCGATTCAGAATTCCCCAAGGTATTGAATTTTACAAAAAAATGTATAACACTTCCACACAAATCTACATTTTGGCAATCCGTTGAGAACAATTATCACTGGTCTAACAAAAAAAATGGTGTTCAATGGATTTTTTTTTTATTGCCATAAGCTTCATCCTGTTCCAAGGTAAAGACGAAGAGATATAAATACATAGAGGGTAGATGAAGTTGGTGTTTGTAGAGAATCCTGGAGGATGCTAGAGAACGAGTGTGGCTTAGGGTCGTGGACGGGTCGGAGGAGCGTTTATGTAACAATGTCTAAAGAACATCTATACCGTGAGTAAACTCAATTATCCTGAGGCTGGACCCTAGAGGGAGGAAATGGTCCTCGGGTTGTATACCGCACATAGAGAAAATAATAGCAGCAGGTAGAGAAATACGTGAAACAAGCCAAAGGAGATGGTCTGAAGAATGGGCAGTAAACTGAACTACTTGCGTATATGGGACCACCGGGCTTATGTTGCTCGTATCAAGCAGCTTCTTCATTTAAAGAAACTGACGTCAACTACCTACCACTCGCGCGAAACTACCCTCCTAGCCGCTATCGAACTTAAGCGCACCCTCTCCTCGTATCTTTTGCTTCCCATTCTCTGACTTTCGTCCCTTCCCTCTCTCCCTTTCATTTCTTCCAGCTGGCACATCTCTACGTCACTCGAAACCGCATTAAACTTTCCCTTCCCTAACTTGTACCTGTGCCTCTATATCTACCCATCCATACAGCTAAGAACCCCCCTACAGAAATGAATGGTTCCTCTCGATTACTCGAATAACTCTGAATTTCCATATGAATTTATTTTGCTCGTATCCATTAAGATAAAAATTTCATAATTCTTTAAATTAGCTCAGGTGACATGTATATAGAGATATAATTGTGAATCTGTGCAATATCTATTGTCGTTACGTTACACGTTTTTAAGACTTTAATAAAAGTTTCAGATACATTCTCGCTTTGGATCTACGAGTGTCTTCATGGATACTGGAAAACTCCCAGGGGATAATCGCTCACGATATGGACTTGAAACTGAAGTGGGTGCTGGTCGTATTAATATTTCAAGCTTTATGCTTTGCTGGGAATATATTTCTAGCTGGACTCAGATCTATCCTCACTAGAAAATGTAATCTTTCAATATCTACATGAGGCTTACATGAAATTATATATATAGATTTATACATAGTTCTTACACATGACCATGTCTATGCCATTATATATCTTCTGTTGTGTTCTCGACACTATCTCAAGCTGAATAGCTGACTTAATGTTTTCACTTAACGTTTAAACTTTGGCCTGCGTATTTAGACGAACCATGAATGTTAAGGAGATTATAAACTCCAGAGAAAAGTATGCTACGTTTCTATATTCTTAAATCCATTATTTCAGAGAGTGCTTCTCGTCTTCGTCAGAGGTTTCAACTCCCTCATTTGGTTAGCGTCGAAATGCCTCTCTACTTTTACATAGAGTAAAGCCACTCGTATTTGTATAAAGGGAATATCTTGAAAGATGGCAGATAACTAGATGACTTGATAGAAAAAGGGTCTGGGTCTAGAGGGTCTGTTCACTAGAAAGGACATATAAAATAAGGAATAAGCAAGGCATTGTTCTTCTCTCCATTGTACCAGATCGAAATCTAGATCCAGATCCATATTCGGTAGTAGAATTTTGTAGTTGGGAAAAGCTTTGCCTCACGGCTGAGCTCAGCTTCGCGCGGCTCAGTTCACCCGGTAAATCTTTTTAGTTTTACGGCACGGATTTCGCGGGCTAACTTTTTAGAATCCGTCAAGGGGATGAACATGTCTGGGGGCGGAACGAGACGGCGAAGGAGGTCGGATCGATACAAACGATTCCATTAATTTAAATAAAATATCGGCTAGGAGAAGTTTTGCCCTTTTCTTATATCGGGATCGAAGATTGATTCAGGCTATATGAGACTCTTCGTTGAATGTAAACTCGATGATAGAAGTTTTCGCAAAATTAATACGTAACTCGAACTGATCGTGAGAGGAGATCTCTTTTGAATATGCACGCGTGTGTATGTACGAAATAGATAATCTATAATCAATATTTTATACCCGTTGGGTATAACGTTCCATTACGCAAATTATAATTTACAAATTTTTATCCATTTCTTTGATATATACTTTCTGGATTTCAAGATGTTTGATACTTCCTTTAGAAAGGAATAATAACGAAAGCGCAATTCTATCAACCTGGAATTTCTGATACTTTAACCTTTCGGTGAGTGCATGTAATTTTAATTAAATTTTTGTATCAAAAATATATTTATATTAAAATTTGCAGCTATGAACATATATTTAAACGTTCAAGGATAAAGAAATGGATGCTTGGATACACGATGAAGGCAATGAACGAGCTTCAAAGAGAATATCCCAAATTATCAAAATATCTTAAATAATTAATATCTACAAATCTATTCAGAAGAGATGCGAATAATACAACGGATACATTCGTCGAGTTCTCTAAATTTAAAATACCCTATCTACGGTAACGATCTTTCAGTTTTTGCTTTCCCTGCAACTGTGCAGAAAAAAAATAACGACATATATTTCTAAAGAATTTCTACGATGGTCCACGTTCTTCCTCGCTCTCGGAAAAGGGTCCTTGATCTTCTTCATCTTGAAGTGATGGTGGAGGTCCTTCCAAGAGAATGTCATCGACAGGAGGCAGTCCCTGAAGGAATCTCGCCTTCTCCTCTATATCAGGAATTTTTTCATGAATCAATTTCTCAACGTCGACCTTGTCCAGTTCATCCTGAATGCGTCTCTTGATGGGTCCTTCCAGAGCGTCCATAATTTGGTACCTGCGAACACATCGCAATTCAATTCAGATTCCAGGATAACAGTGCGCCAGCAACAAGTAGAAAAATACTAAAACCAATACATATATCTTCTAAGTAGAATCAAAAACAAGAAATCCAATTAAAAACGAGCAGGCTAGCGAGTAAACTTTGGAAACTTTCTTTTTTTTTTCAGATTGCAACCAGAAATGTTTGCAGGCATACAAACCCAAAAAAAAAGAGGACAAAAAAGTTTTGCGACTACATACACACAGATATTATTTGAAGTGTATGCGGATATTAACGTGCAGTTTGAATGTCTAACAAAAAAAAAAAGATACCCCAGCTATACCCGGTCCAAATAGTACTCGACAAAAAAATTCAATCAGGTAATGAATCGGGAAAATCGGGAGATGGAAAATTTAATCAGGTCGTATAACAACAAGTTTGAATAGAAGATAAAAAAAGGAAAATCCAGAGTATTACTCCGTGATGTTAATACAAATTTCTGATCGATCCCGGAGAGCAGTCTCACTGAAAAATTATCTCGTTCCGTAATAGCGAACTTTAAGTTGCACTGAATGTACATTTATCTCTGGTAACAATGAACGTATCTAAGTTACCGACTGTGTGCTCCTCTTAAAGAAAGACTACCGTCAGAAAGATCGTACGTAAACTTTACACCGAAGAAACGTGAGAACTCGTTCGTCCGGAACGTTTGAAGGGTCTGTGCTGTGGTTAATCTATTCCCCAGGAGAACAACCTCAGGGCGAAAGATATAAACTTTTTCGGGTTACGCGTCTTTCATGAAATTATTAAAGTGCTGTCTGTGCCGTGTAACATAATCTGAGCCAGAATGACATAAGGGTATCAAAAAGCACGGATGCTTCTTTTAGAAATTCGATGGCATCGATCGCTATCAATACTTTCTCAAAGTATCACGCTCTTTGGCATGCTATATCTTTTAAGGAACGGCAAAAGTTGGCGAGACCTTAATAGATTTGGCAATATATTCACGCTGGCTTCCATGATGTAATCGAGTGTGCCAGCTCCGTGAATTCTGGCCTGAATGTTGCCCAACTCGAGATTCAACTCCTCCAAAGTTGCTCGCTTCCTAGTATCCAGAGGTTGGCTCAGGTTAACTTGTACTCTGAAATAGTCGATGGTGAAGGACACGGTGCCTGCCCTTGATAATGCACCACCTATTACGCTCACCTCCCAGTGAGTCCTTCCTTCTATCTCTTGGGTACCAACGTCCACCAGTGCGTATACCTAGCGACGTGAAATTGAATTAAAGCAAGTGGAAGGTTTAATCGTTTGAATAATATTAATAGAATATAATAGATCTTCGAACAGCTTACCTTGGCATCTTCCATGGTGACAGTTATATTACCCATACGATAAAAACTTGCCAACCCAGTGACCCACGTATGAGAGGATGTCACTGTGAAGATACCTATGCTCTGGGTGTAATCTTTAATTCTGTAAGGATCGTATCCCATCTGGGATACCTGCTTGCGTGCTTCCGCCACCGCCATGTCGAATGGCGAAATGGAATTAGGGAAGTACTGTGGTAACTGAGATATATGCTTATTAATTTCGCCCCTGCAATCAATAAAATTAATTATTATGCATGCTAATTCTCATAACAGCTAAATTAAAATTATCGTCAATTATATTTGTACCTAATATTTGTGTTTACTTCTTTAAGGATGAAGGGCTTGATACTATCGAATATAAATGTACCAACGGAATTAATCACACTTTGCAAGACAGATCCAAGGAAGTCAAGATTCTTAAAGTCCATGTCTATCGTGTCGAAAGTCAAGTCCATGTCAATATCCTGTGCTTGCAGCTTTCCATCTGTACCAACTTCCAACCTGGCGACTCCCTGGACTTTCACTCCGGTTAACTTTACCGTGAAATCACCGTTCGAACTTGAAAACCAAGATGCGAGCGTGTACTTTCCGCGAATGTTCAAAGTCTCTATACTGATGGACACCGAAACCTGAAACAGATGAAATTTAGATATTTTATAATCGTTGTCCTGCATTCTCATGAATTATTCCTATCTGCACAGAAATTACAATTTTTATTTAACATTTATTCTTTACTGACCTGCATTAGTTTCAGTTCTGATAGTATATTATCGATACGGAATTTTGAAAGCCCGTAGACGTTGATCTCTTTGAAGTTCATCGTGTATATAGAAAATGAATGTTTCATGTCCGGTACTGGCATGGGGTCCGGTATGGGGGCACCGGGAAATCCAACGGGGTCAGTTTGCTGATAATGTTTCAAAATTGCACGAATCTGATCACCGAGACGCTTTTCACCCTCGGCCAATTTTCCTGCATTTTCTCCTGAAACAATGAAAGCCACCGAACATTTAACTTCTTAGTCAACTTTCTACGGAAATCCAATAATGCAGAACAAGAATATTTTCTCGAATAGAGTCAGCTGAGTGTATAATGACAATTCATTATAATATCTGCAAGAGAGTAAGCGGTTTTGCTATTTCTTAACAGGCAAGTAATTAAAGTAATACTACTAAAATATATCTAACATAATATACTTAGTCAGACTGAATGCTCATACATTATCGATTTTGATTCTCTAAATTTATTATAAGACCATTTTATGAATATCGATTTTCAGTACAACCTGTTCAAGTATATCTTACGTTTGTCATTTTTCGTTGTCATCCTTTTTCCCGCATAACAGATTTGTCAGCTGTTTTACTTATGTTTATTATATTATACATTTTCTTCTTCACTTACTTCATCCCCATTATAGGCAACTTTATTTAAGAAATTGCAAATATTCGTGCTCTGTTCATCTGGTTATGTTTACCCGCATATATCATGCAAATTAATCATGACGTAATATTATAATCACAATATAGAATATATCTACAGGGTACAACGTAGTTAAAAAATCCACGCAATATCTAATATAGACTATTGGAAAAAAAAGGTATATAAAACGAATGATATATTATAACCGTCAGTCTTTCTCATGTAATAATATTCAAATGATATATTTACCATCATTGGCTGGATCGCAGGTGCAAACAAGAAAACAGCAGGAAAATAAAAGCAATTTGAAGACTTCCATTTTCTTGCGAATAGAAAGGCGAAGAAGCACTCGAGGAAACTTCTCAGACCGTTTAGTTAGAGCAATACGGCCATGCGACTGAACGACGGTCGAGTGTCGTTCAATTTGATTGGGGATACGTCAGTAAAGTCAGGGAGAGGCATATCATGCAGGTCATTAGGGGAGCGAGGGTCAATCGCTTATCTCTCTGTTTAGTGTCCTCTTCTTCCTCCATTCCTCGTTTCCCGCTTGTCCTAAGTAGCATACTCTTTTCCTTTTATTATATTTCTGTGTATTACTATGACGGCCATTGACATTCCTCGTGCATTTGCATAGTTCGTTTGCCACTCGGCAAAATGTCCTCATCTTGTACCTGCTGGCCTAGCGAACCGGAATAACAAGAATGTGAGTCATGCGGATGATTGCGTTCAGAGTAATTGGACGTTTTTAGTTTAAAGTACTCGTTGCGTGCAAATTGTTGAATAATTAGAGGATTTCAGTGGTGTACCAATTTCTGTTTTTGATATAATAATACGCTGACTACGCCAGTCATTGTTTTTACTTACTGCAATCTGCGGCATTTTAATTATTTACTATGTTATATTTTTGCATTATGGTGGGTATATTTCTACTTGAGATTTATGGATTATAAAGATCTGTAATATACGGTAATTTAGGTCTGCTTTATTCGTTTATGGTTATATGTTGTTTTGTAGTAAACCACCGTAGGTAAATGCTGAAGAGAAAATTTAGAGTTGGTCATTTATCGGTTTATTCATTTGAAACGTCGGTAACTGTGAAGCTTCCGTTATAAGATTTCAGAGAGCTTTGTTGGAATATCATAGAGGGTGGTCTGTGGAATGTCCTCCAGTCTCACAAATGTGTTCAATGGATGAAAGTCGTAAATTTTATTCGAAATGACAAAGTCAAATAAATCAAATGATTTGGCTTTAGCATTACATCAGTTCGACTGCGTTGGTATAACTGAAAATGCAGTTTTTCCCAGAAATGTAAGTGTTCTTTAGAAAGCTCTAATTTGGATTATAAATACTTAAAAGAAATATTTTTTTTAATAAAGGCAAACAAAGAGAACTATCAACCTAAAACTTTGGTGGATAGAACTCTTGAAGATATTGACCCAACACCCAATATCTACACTTTGTTTGTGCAGTTTAATCTTAAATTTTTCTGGAATGTCTTACTTCCTGTGGAAGTTAAGTGGAGTAATAGAATGACTAGGTAATACCAGAGATTATTCTGATACTGTCTATCTATATTATGTATTAACATTATTTATTTCTGTGTAGTTGTGCCGGTACATGTACTTTTCGTCCTAGAAGCCGTGAATGTATTATCACACTCAGTGCACCATTATTGAAGCTTAGGCCAAGAAAAGATCTGGTTGAAACATTGTTGGTAAGATTTTGAATAAAGTTGACTTAGTACCAAATATTAATATTTTCTTGCTTTACAGCATGAAATGATTCATGGTTATTTGTTTCTGACAAATAATAATCGTGACCGGGAAGGACATGGACCAGAATTTTGTAAGCACATGGTTCGGATAAATAAGGAAGCAGGAACAAATATAACGGTACATGAGAAATTTCAACACAAAAACCACTTCCTCCTTGTTGTTATTTATTAGCATTATGTTCTGTATGAATGCAGATTTACCATACATTTAATGCAGAAGTAAGATTGTACCAACAACATTGGTGGAGGTGTGAGGGGCCATGCCAGCACCGACCACCATATTTCGGAACTGTACGTCGTGCTATGAACCGAGCTCCTGGTCCTTCAGATTTTTGGTATGCTGATCATCAAAGAACCTGTGGTGGCAAATTCATTAAGGTACGAGAGCCAGAAAGTAAAAAACCAATTCCAAAGGCTAAAAAGTTTACTTCAAAGAAAAATATTCCAAGCTCTCAGAGTATGTATAATTGGTTTCCAAAAGATGATAGTTCTCAAAAAACATCGACTGCTCAACCGAATAGTCGTTTCTCAAATGAAGGGTATAGTAGGAACGATTATCAGGACAATTCATCAACAAAAAACATTCCATATTCTAATGCAACAAGCAATATTCAAAGCATAAGCAGTAATAGTACAACAGCAGGTATAACAAAACTTGGCACTGGTGCTAACAAAGTTCATGGTTGGGGTATCGGAGGTCCGAACACTCTAACAGGAAATGTTCCTGATAAATCTAATAGGACAGATCCAAGTTTTTCATCCCCCATAAGCAGTTTAGCAAAACCTGGACCTAAACTATCATACTCAGGTAAAGTGGGAGGAACAGGCTTAGGAAGAAGTAATTTATTAGATAAATTTTATTTATCTGCTACTAGTCCAAGTCGCATTTCTGTCAAAAGTCAGTTGGTTATATCAAAGTCAACAAAAAACTCCTCCACCAACGTAACTGACTCATCTGCGAACAAGCCAAACAGTACCCCCACTGAAACATCCCAAATAATAAAAAAGAAACCTAACAAAACAAATATAACGGTATCTTGTCCTGTTTGCGATGCATCAGTGGGCGAACACGTTTTAAATATACATCTTGACGAATGTTTAGAAAGAGCTGATAAGAAATGTCATAATAAGGCAGAATCATTAACGCATCATGATAATAGTAAAAATAATTTACAAAGTAGCGATAACAACAGTACATTACAAAAAGTACCTGCAGGAAATGTCAAAGTGAATCCATCTATTAATTTGATTGACCCGAGTCCAGTAAAAAAACGAAAGGTTTCGGAATGTAATAGTATTGATAGTAAACAACCGAAATTGGATTTCCATAAAGTTCCTGAGATGGTAGATTGTCCTGTATGTAATGTATGTATGGAGACAGAATATCTTAACAGTCATCTTGATACGTGTCTCACTAAAAGTACCAAAGAAAGAGAACAAAGTCTACCAAGTACTGTAGCACAGTCAACTCCAAAGCGCATGGATTCAGACATTGAAAACATTTTCAATGTTTCCGATAGCTGTAATGAATCGATATTTGAGATTAGTTCTAGTTCAACTGCATCTGATGCACCTGATAGTCCATTACTTAATACAAGCAAGTCTTATAAATGCCTTGTATGCAACAATGTGATAAAATCCAATGTATCTTTGAATGATCATTTAGAGGAATGCGTTAGAACTGTTTTTAATGATGACTCTGATCCATTTATTGATGAACCACCTGCTAAGGATGATACAAATCTTGCAACTAAATTTCCATGTCCAATTTGTTTGGAGCTAGTCTTGGAAAATATCATGAATCAGCACTTAGATGTTTGCCTTGAGAAAGATAATTAATGCGTGAATATATAATATGATGTTTGATAGAAATGTATTTTTTATTTTATAAAAATAAATTATTTTGCATGTTATATAAATATTTAGAATCTTTGATGAATACTACATACGCAGAGTGAGAGGATTACAGAATGCGGCTCGTATTGCGATATGGCACTTATATTTTTATTCGTAACAATGAATAAAATACGTTTTACAAAATGTATTATTACATGACATATGTTTCTAGAGCTTTACATATGCGTCTCCTATATTCGAGTTTGTGGCAGTACACAGTCCACACGCAGATTCTTTTCGAAAATTTGGATAAATGATCAATACTTGCTCTTGAGTCCAGTGTAGGAATATTAAAAAACCAGGAACTATAAGATCTACAGATCTATTATCCAACCTTAATCTGAAAAACAGTTATCTGTTAATGATAAAATATTACAACTATACTGTACAGTACATAGCATCCTTAAAAAATCCTCAAACATACATCTTTTACCTATGTGTACGTATAAACTGGGTACTTACTTTTTTTGATTCATAGACTGAAACTGAAAGTTTTGTGGTAACGGTAAATATTGTTCATAATTATAAACGGCACCACCTTCTTCGTTAGGAATAATTTTCAAGCTATCAGTTTCATCATTAAAAATAATATTGACAGTATCCGCATTGTTTATAGCAGATATTGTAAAACCTGGATTGTCTTTACAGTCACCGAGCATCAGGACCTCTTGAACTTTGTTTAACGAAATTGACACATTATATGATGTCCTTATACTGGTGGGTGTTAATACACAACTACCTATAATTAAAATAATTAATTACCACATCATATACATCTTCCTTGAAATAATTTATAAGACAATACCCACTGAAAAATGTTTGAATCAGTGGATTGTCCATATATTTATGCAATCTTGTTCTTGTTAAAAAGTAATCGACGATATATGGATTATATTTTATATCCACTTTGTCTTTGTTGAGATGCAATTCTCCAGAACTAGAGTCCTTTGGAAATATTGCAGTTACAAAAAATTGGTCAGTATTCAAAGCAACGCTACTATTTCCTCCCATTAAATCATAAATGGCACGTAGCCTCCAGGCAGTCTTTGATAATTTTTCAGGTAGCTGGAAAACAAATATTGGAATTTTAATTTTATGAAAAAATCTTTCATTACCACAATTACTTACATTCTCATATCTGACAAATATTTCATATTTTCGTAATGTCGATAATTCTCTGGAAGCTAAGTAACATGCTTCTGTGTACGGAGTGAATCGTTTTCCACGTGCTTGTTCCTTACATTCCTGATAAGGCCATTTCTTCTGTGCGCTTTCGATTAATTGCTCGGAACTGATTTCACCAACTAGATTTAATAATACGGAGGAACCTGTACATCTTCCCGCAGCCGAATCGGCTGGTCCCCATGCGATATGTAATTTAATTGAAGATGGGTCACTTGGTTTTGTGCTTAAAAAGTCCCATTCCCAAAGACTGTCTCTGTCAATGTTAATGCAAATCTAAATGACCGTAAAAAAAATTTACTAGTTGCTTAAAATATTCTGAAATTAAATTTATTAATGTATTGACATTACTTTCATGACTTTTCCGCCGGGTACTGTACGGCTGGCTTTGATTTTTAACTTGTCGGATATCCAACTTGTTGTTTCATAGAAAATTACAACGCTCCACTTTTGAAGCACATTCAATGATCCCAATTCCCGACGCGTTAGAAAGAACCCGTGATACTGATCATTTTTACTATATTCGAGTTTCACCTAATGAAAAAAAAATATTTTCATTGATATTGTAACCGGAGATGCAAAGGATACTAATGGATAAAGACCTCTGTTGGTTTTCCAATACTGTCTTGTGAATGCAAATTGTGGGGTTCTATATATGCTGCCAACCCACAGCTTCCTCCTGGAGGTACGTAAGTAAAATAGTCCACCACGTGTGTACCCAGCATTCCAGATCGAATAACTGGCCAAATTCTAACAAAACATAAAGAAAGTGTCAAAATATTAACTGAAGTGACAGCAATATAAATAATAAATTATGTTAAAGTTATTGCAATAATTACTGATAGTTGCTACGGTGTGATGATAGCACATCCCCTAGAAGTTCATCGTGTGATATTTGACTTTCACAATCAAATACCTTTACGCACAACTGCCCACCCAGTTCAGGAACTTCCACATCAAAGAGTTTTGTATCCTAATATATTACATATATAATTAATCCTCTAAAACTTTGATTATTTTAATTGATCTAGAATGTATTACCTTTAATGTATTTTCTGGTAGTTTTCTCACAGTATATATTTCCTGACACGATTTACATATATTTTTCAATATTGTCCTCTTTCTGGTACTGATAACAGACGTCACGGTTCTTACATGAGCTGTCACTCCAGTTCTAATGTATTCTAAAACAAGAATACATTGTAGCTGACACTTTTAATCAACTATTATATAAAGAATGATAAATCTTTACCACTAGGTGTAATGTACGACAAAAATAATTTATCCGTAATTCCAACTGTCACATTGACAGGAAAATAACCATGGATAGATTGTTCACGTTCAGCTCCATGCCATAAATCAGTAAATGGATTATAAGAGGCAACTGATTCAGTTCCATGAATTGATGTACTGAAAATAAATTTATATACATTTCGCACTATCTTTTTCCTTTATCACAAGTGTTGCAGCGTACCGTAATATAACGTGATTATTACGACCAACAGAGGTGTGAGTAAAATTTCCTCTCATAGAAAACAATGATGTGACAGTACCAGCAATTTTTACGTTAGTACCCAAATCAGTGACTTGCACGGATTCCATAGTAAGAGGTACGTTAATACGTTGTTGATTAATATGGAATTCCATATTCTCATACACATGATAAGCGTTTTCAACCATGGACAACATAACTATGAAATATACAGTGTTTACAAATAATAGTATAATATACTTATAGAGTCAGAGACTGATAAAAGTAATCTTACTTTTTAAAGCCTTTTTGATGTTAGTTTGATTAAAGTACATGCACAGAACAGCCTTCTGTTGTACTCTTGCAATTATTTCCATGTGCAACGGCTTCTCTATTCTTTCTGGTAATTTAAAAGTCTGCAAGACTTCTTTAACACGAGTAAAATTCTGTAAATGTTCTAATACTCCAGTGAAAATTCCATCGTCTTTGATATACAGCTACAATGGTAAGATAATGATTTTAATATATCTGCTCATATATTTCAGCTTCTTATAAAATAATTCTTTACTTACCGACACGTGATTCAAGTTAGTACCAATACCATGATTGTTTAATGTAATATGAGACACTGTTGGAACATTTGTACGAGGATCAGCAATAATAATTGCATGTAACATAGCACCAAAGTTTCGGAAAGTATCTTGATAATCAAGTAAATAATTGCCAGTCATTATGTATTGATTACTCGCTGGCTTTCTGAGTACACGTGTAAATTGTGCAGCAATACCACCGCTGTAATAAAAATTATGTAAAACTTTTAATTTATCCTTTATCGCATCTTCAGTTATTCTTGTCTTTATCAGAAACTTACATCTGCGTGTAGCACGGGAAATTTGTATGCTCCATTGATTTTAAAGTGGTATAAAAGAAATTGTAGAGATGCTGATCTGGTTCTCCTTGCATATACCAATAAAGTGATATCAATCGACTTGATGAAGGACTTGAAACAATTAATAAAGTCATTGCTACTATTCGCATTTCAAGAAGTTCTGTCCGATTAACTAAAATTGGCCAGTAGACTGGATATATCTGTGATGAATTATTTCTTATTAGTGTCTTGTAATGAACGAGAAGACAAAAATTCATAATAACTTTACTGACCACATCTGGTCTTAAAGGAGCAGTTGGCAAAGATGCCCAGGCAGCTAAAAAACGCAAATGTCGAGATTCGGAATTACTACCACTAGCTATAGGTTCCAGAAATTCCACCACTTTCCCCAACTGTATGTTAGACAATCCCTCAAGCCAAACCATTTTCTTCTCATACTGTTTGCTTTCTGAAAAAATAATTTGTTAATCAACGCTACAAACACTAAGTAGCGATAACTTCCAAGTTCTTACACTGTCAATTAAATTTCTTTTATTTACCTGTAAATTTGTCAAGATAAAGGCGCACGTAATCGTCCAACATTTCATATGGACAATACAGCAGACATGTTTTGTAAATTAATGTGCCGTATGTAAGAATTCCTGTATTGTGTACCTCTGGCGATACTTTTTCAGGAGGATTGAGTAAAGTTTGCAAACTTACTAACAATTGAATGTCCGGTTTTCTTATGTGAAATGGTAAATGTGTCAAAAGATATATTGCAGTTATATCCGAGACTTTCCTGTTTAAAACTAAATTTTGAACAAACAAGGCTGCTTCTTTACTTCCGACCTGTGGTAAGGCTTCGAGGAACATATTCCTAATACAAATAGAATAATAGATATTTATCCACTGAAATATGTAGTAGAAAGATTCATTCATGTAATTCCTTGTACCTTATGGTTTCCTCTTTGTAACTGGTACCAGATATTTTATTGTAAGCCACTTGTAGGTCGGCCTGATCCAACATGCTGAGATAGAAGAGAAGTTGAGAAATTGTTGTATTATGTAAATTATGAATTTCTGTATCCAATCCAGGATTTTCAAGTCGCTGGCTCAATCTATCCAGCAAAACTCCTATCTGAGATATTATCAGTGTTTAAGTCCTGATGAAGTTATGTACAGATTTCAATACTATTTTCAACTTACAGATTCAAATACATCATCTTTATCGTGTAATCCTCTTCCTTGAGTAAAATCATTTTCCGGAAGTACATGCTGAATGGTTGTAGTAAATAATTCACTTGTAGAGATTTTATCCCTTAGATTGTCCGTGGATAACAAAGTAAAAACTTGTCTGTTTTAGATGAAACAAAATGCCACGTATAGTTACTCGTTACATAAATACAATTTTTATATATAAATATTGTTTAACACTTACTGTGTAAATAGGAACTGCGCCTCACCGAGACTTTGAAATGGCTGCACATATATTCCTCCTGTTGCGTTAATATATAAAATAGTATTTTTGGCATCACTTGACTTCACCCTATAAAGTCTCTCACTAGATTTTAATACTGGATTCTAAAAATAATGTATACACAGTATTAATCTCCGATTATTAAGTTATTGATGTGTTAAACATATTGATAAATACTTGATCGTTATTCGGACACAGCATTACTGGAACATTACTCCAACTCCAAAAGGGATGTCCAACGCATGTCCTTGGATCAGTCGATTTCATTACGAAAATTTCATCGGTCGCTTGAGGACTGACTACATACTCAATATAACATTGACCGTAATGGTTGACCTGTCGATTAAATATCAATGAAAATCAATTGAATTAATTCGTACGTTTAAAAAGAAGATCTCTGACAAAGGTCTACCTCTTTAGAGTGAAACGCTGCCTGTTTTTTTAAACTAGATAAATCCAATTGTAAAATTCCGACGATGCTTCTTTTAATATTTGTCGTCCAAACAGGTTCTGCTTCAATGCTAAAGTTCTCAACTAATCCCATTTTATACGTCACTTTAAAGGGCTTTGACATTTCATTAACTTGACTCCCAACATCTATAAATTCTCTTTGCCCATCAGGCGGTCCATTTTGCATATCCATTTGTAAATCTCTCAACTAAAAAGTAATTAATGGTATTAAATACAGCAAAACAATATCTTCAACAATGTCTTACCTGCATTACAACAACATCCTCCTCTGGGACCTGGACCACCAGTGTCCCATAAATACCCCAGGACGAAGCAGCTGTAATAGGCAACAGCACACCAGAATTTGAAGTGGCATTGTATGAATACACATATTCTTTCCCTGGTTCAAAGATATTCTCTGCCACGCTGCCATAAAATGATAAAGCCAATATAAAAAGGATCTTGCCCATATAACATCGCAGAAGAAATTTCCTGGGATGACAGTCTGCGAAGATGAAACATACATATGTCAATACATTTTCAGAGCACTAATATCCTGTATTACTCACATCCCTGATGACTATGATGAGCAAAAACATATTATAATACACATCATATTATATAATGCATACAAATGAGAAGAAGAGATAATAAATAATATACTAAGAAAAAAAATACTCTGTAAATTTCTATTTTTAATTTTGTCAATGCAATTCTGGTAAGTCCAAATTAAATGATCACTTGAATAAATACAAATTTTTATGTCGTACCTGTATGGCTCATGATGTGTGATCGTAGCTATGCCGCAGCGGACTGGTATCATGAAAGTCCGGAGATGACCCTTATAGTTCCTATCGCAGTGACCCAAGCCTATACGTCTCGTTATAGTGTGAGTTGGAATTATCCCGACAGCCGATTATCTTCAATTGGATCATGTACTCTCATGTAGAGTTTACGTATAGCAATCCAGAGACGTAAAAAATTAATGAATTGCTCTAATGATAGAATATTTTTACAACCATCAGATCTTCGATACTTTGGTTCTATATTGATTATAAAACATTCCATCCACTTTGCATTGCAGGACCAGTTTGTATACTATGCATGGTAACAAAGTCAATTCTTTGGATTTTATCAGTATAGAAATAGACTTGACCTACGTTCAATGCATCGTAACACAGTGATTAAAGAGACGGTACAAATTCATTGTCAATAATTTTGTCATTGTGTCATGGGCATAGGACACTATTGCACAATCCAGTGACAAGGCAAATGCTCTTTAGGAAATTTATGATTTTTTACATTTTTCTGGAATCCCAACGGTTAGATGCAACATGTATGCAAGGCTTTGTGAAGTTATCGGACCTTACGGGGTATCTCGTAAGGACCAGTAATTTCGGAACACCCTGTACAATGGTTGAGGGAAAGATGCGTGACAAGAAGACCTCTGACCCTTTGCATATCAGCATCTGGCCTGTTATCTTTTATCTGTAACGATAAGAAATTTCTTTTAAATTATACAGGGTTTTGAATGCATTGATCTATAAATAGAACCCCCGTGGTATTATGCTAGGTAAGTTAAGAAACAGAAATAATTTCTCAAGTGATTTCACTTCATTGACTTATTTATTACGAATGAGATATGAAATGTAATTGGATAATAATTAATAAATAATAATTAATAAATTATAAGACAAGAATAGAACTTCTTTTTCAACTCTCTTTATTATTTACAAGAATCTAACTGTATTATATACCGTGTTGCTAAACGTTTAGAAACAGCGGATCGTACTGAAGATAAATCTTCCTATTACGTGTTACTATACAAAACTGTCTTTTTATATTGTACACCTAAAAACATTAAATAACTGCATCGTCTTATTAGAATACACAAGACCTTTTTTTTCTTGCAATATAAAACTATATCGTACGCTTATTGTTACAACTATAAAAATTTAATCAAGAATTTTGCTGGACATTTAATAGGTAATTACGTTATTACGTTACAACGGTTTTATGATTTTCAGGATCGATTTGGAATATTCCCAGCCCTCACTGTAAAATAAATTTTTTCTTTTTATGAATGCTGATAACATAAAAGCCGAGAAAACGATGGTTCATTAAAAAAGCTTATCGTCTTACTTATGAGCTGGATTCGCTTGATCCAATTGTTCACTGAGTTGTTGAATTAATGTGGCAAACATCCTGAGTTGTTCAATTGTTTCTCCCTGAAGCCACGCTCGTGGTAAAGTACTCATTATCTGCAAAGAGTATAATTGTTCTGAATAAAATGATTCTTTTAAATAGAAAATAATTCATTCGATAAACAATTACCACTTACCATATTTGCTTTCGCAAGGGCGTCGACTGGAGATGACACTCTTAGCCCAGCCAAGAGGTATCGGTTCAAAAGAGATCCAAGTGCCAAGTTTTTTAGTTGAGTGTCACCGAGAAGTCCTTGCCAACTTAATAAATTACGCAGCAACTTGACAGCCATTGCAAACTGCCTTTGAAAAAATTGGTGCCTCGTATCCAAAACTCTACAAAGTAGATACACGTTTCATTTTTAATTCTTATGGATATTATATGCCGAAGACACGAATGAACTTACTGTTTTGGAAATATCGGTATAAAAACATCGTTTTCAACTGCTGCCTTGATTTTATCTAAGATAGCATTAAACAGCAGTTCTAACTGCTTACTGGAACTGTTGAAATTTGGATAATCCCTAATGAGGCGGCTCACAGTGCCTACTAGTCGTAAAGTCTGAGAGGTAGACATTGGATCCCATATTTTATCGACGATAGCTGTAAATTATAAAACAATTTTCATCAATAAAGACATTCTGATATTAAACAGTGAATTACGATAAAAATTATATTTTTTTTTGTACATGTGAGTTTTGGAAGAACAATTTTCTCCATCGTAAACGGCACGAGTCTGACGTCAGGATCGCGTTTCAAAGAATCTTCAGTTTCCTTATTATCCAATGCATACAGTAGTAACGTGTTATACCATTTCGTTCTTTCGAGATCCGTGCTTTCCTGATTTAAAAAAATATTAACAGTTATACATTTCCATCAATGAGTATTAATATCCTTAAGAAGTCCTTTACGTCCAATACTTTACCATAATTGGATTCCACGTGACAAGTTTCAATCTAATAATCGGGGAGATTATTTTAGGTATACATAAGGGAACATATGCTTCCATATATGCATCCAAGTCTGTTTCCCTCCAGGATTCCAATTTCGATAATATGCCCCTAACAGTACAGAAGTCATCGACGACGTCAGAAAATATATCTTTACTCTCGTTGTCAATGTCCTCTGTAAATAAAAAACATAAGTAATACAGTTAAACAAGAAAGTGAATGGATTGCTTTTCATACAATTACTACAGGCCCATACCCTTTGTCTGTTTAAATGCAAGATTTTGCTGTTCGGTGACCTCATCGTCGCTGGACATGCCGTCAATGTGTTTAGGTAACGTCGGAGTCAGTTCTCTGGCTCTTCTACGACGAGCTCTTCTGCCTTCTCTTTCTGTAGCACGGCGAATCCGAGCTTCATCCTCTGGACCTCTCCTCATAGTTTGCCCTCCTGTTGAAATAAGAAATCATTTACCAGCAGATTAATTACGATGTTCATAATATCAAAGGATGTTGCAAGGTACTGCAGTGCAATGATATGTATTTTAGTCTATGATTCTTGATGATGTGAATAATTGAAAATAATTGTAGTAAGAAATAACTGACTGGCAGCTGTTGTTATTTCTTCGGCTTGATCTCTTGTGTCTTGACGTCTCCTCTCCATCAGTTCAGTTGTTCGTTCTCCGTACAGTTCTAACCAGCGCTGCTCCAATCCCACAACGAGAGGCAGCTAACAAAGAAAGAACGTGTGAACTTCTGTTTAGCAAGAGAAGTTCATTGACTTGAGAAAACAATCAGCCTCCGTGTTACAAGTGCACAGTAAAACATATAAGACAACTATAAAGAATAGTCAAAAAATCATACACTTGAATTAAAGCTGATTAAATTCCTTAGTCACTAGACTTCTTTCAAGACATGGAATACAGGATTTTATCTTTTAGTATTATTATATACTTACTTATCTTATTATATATAACGATTACGTTCTCTACGACTATTTATTTCTAGAGTTTCTAATACAGAGAAGATTCTGACCCCCGGCAATGTAGGATTGTAATATATTTATATGACTAATGTATGGAAGAATATTGAAGAATACGTAAAAACAAATAGAATCCATAATTAAGATTTTTCATTCAGACTTTTTAAAGCTATTCAATTTACAAGATATGCAATATGTGGGCACGTTATTAATTGTAATAATAATTTAATGAATCATACATTGCGTTGAAAACCCCAATGCTCAAAAAAAAACGTGACAGCGTGTAAACCCACCTTCTCATCAAGACACTCTACCAAGTCAGTGACATACCCACGCAACTCTTGGTAATATCTGAAGCGCTGTGCAAGTTCTGGCGCACGGAGTTCACCCTGGTCCAATTCCTTAAGAGTCTGCCCTAACTCTTGCTCTAACTGTTCCTGATCAAGTTGATGACGTCTGTGTACCTCGCGCAAACTGTCCAATCTAAAAAAAATATAAAAAAATTACATTAGCCACAATGATTTCCACGTATATGATATTGAAGTTTTTAATTTCGATAATTTATAATTCATATGTGTACGATATACAACCTTCCACGAATTTTATTAACAACTTCCTCCGGGGAAATTGGTACGATCTTCGTTGGATCCGGTGGATGCATAGATGGGGGCGGTGGTGGGGCAGGCATCATTAATACATCCACGGGTAATCCTGATCCCATCATTGGATTCACGCTCATACCCATTGTGTACTGTTGTTGCATAATAGAATCTTGTTGTGCAGCTGCAATCTGATAAGAAATTTTTTATATTTATAGTCAGTAAATTATCACTTAATAGTTCAATTTTTATATAACTATATACCTGTGCTCCGGTTACGCCTTTTCTAATCTGTTGCGTTTCCCATTCTTCCTCGTCAATGCTGTGCTCACACTCGTCATCTGAAACTGTTGTGAGAAACATATTTGAGTCTGAAGAGTTTCTGATAATAGTTTTAATATGTTTATTAGACGAACGTTTATCTTGAGCTTGCGATGCAAGGAAAGCTTCTCTTCTTTTTTCTTTATCACGAGCATCTGTATTCACGGTCATATCAATTCGATCTTGAGAATCATCGTCATCGCTTCTATCATGATCCTCTTCACGGATTAACCTTGACTTTCCTTTATCTTCACTAAAAATATTGAAGAAGATATCATTTTTTGTACTTATAATTATATCGAAATAGTTTCTACATTTCTTGTTATTACTACCTTTGTTCTTCTATAGGGATGTAGTCCGTTCCCAATTCTCTAGCTTTTTGTCTGCGTTTTCTTGCTGCATGAATCATTGCTGCATCCGGTATACAACCACCTGCATAAAAATATATTATAGTCATATGTGAAAAGAAATAAAATTTTAAGATATTTTGAAGACCTACTTTCTAAAAGTATTTTCATTGTATCGGCTCTATCAGTATTCCTTCGGAATTTATGACCATTCGGATCATCATCCTCTTCCTCGGACGTATAGTCATCCTTCCCAGCCACTAAGGCAGCTCTTCCATTTAAGATTAGTGGTCCTGTATTTTTAATTTTAACCTAATAAGGAAAAAGTATTTGCGTTAGAGTATGTGTCAAATCGGACCTACAGGTTAATTAAGTAATTATTGTGAAATTTATTTTGAATAGATGAGCTATTGAAGCTTTATTCATAAAATTTTATGAAAAAAAAAGATGCGTATCCACTGAAATAATTTGATCATGTTAGAATTAGTCTAATCAGAATGACATTATTGTGTCAACTAATTAAATCCTGTTAGCAACCCATAGACTTTTTATACAATCAAACTTTTTTAGACACATTTTCGCTTTAATATTGTGCAAAGTTTAATGTAAACTAAGATCCTATTATTTCAATTAAATATATGTGCCAATAATTTATCATGTTATTAGATATAAATTGAAGCCTTCCTACGAATAATTTGTCAAACATTAGGATCTTAGTTCTTACATATTAGGATAGAAAGTAAAGATTATTAAGACATTAAAATTGCAGAAGTACTAATAATAATAAAACATCATAGAGATAGCTTACTACTAGATCGTCTGTCTTTATTTCTAAATCTTTTTCCTGCTTAATGGACATGTTCGCTTGCTCAGAGTCCACTTGCATTTTCTCTTCACCTTTCTTTTTTTTCCTCTCGTGATCTAGCTGTTTCATCAGTTTTTTGCTTCTGGAGGATTTCTTCACTTTAAAAACTTCACCATCATCAGCTGTAAATACATATAATAAATTAATCATACACCTCATAATTCAACTATCTACAACAAATCATCCTCCTCTAAATATCAATTAACTCCCGATTATATTCTTAGTCTAACGAGTAATAGACCAATTACAGATTTGTTCCATAAAACAAAATATTCTCATACCTTTAACAATCTCGTAGCATCACTGTGCAATATAATATAACATAGTCAAATTCTAGAGAAATATCCTTTTGCTTCAAATTATGCAATCATTACTTTTAAATGAAACATATACCACCATGTATATATAATAGTATTAATAATTCTCGATATTATTAATACTCTAAAAAAACTCCTAATCCATTACAATCCTTTCCACCTCTAAATAAAGTAATAAGAATTCCGATTTCACGGTGAATTACCAAGTCCCAGTAAGGTTCAATAAAATAGAAATAAAAACTGAAGCATCCTAAAATCAGTCCGTAATTTTTTTTCTTGGTTCTCACCTTCTTCCAGCTCCTCTCCAAAGCTGAGGAGCGTTTGTTTTGGCTTATCCTTCTTCTTCGGTTTCAATTTGATCGCCTGTGCGTCCTCGGTCTCCATCCTGTTCTCATTATCTTCATCCTCGTCATTGAACGGCCGCCGTCGTATATTTCGCTTTGGTTTATTGAAGAGCGACATTTTGCACAAAACTTTTTGTTGGCCACGATACATGCACAGATTTCTATCGAGGAACGTATCACTATCACTGCAAAATGTACGCGAAGATAACGTATGACATTATTGAACCAGAGAAAAGCGCTATTTGGCTGAACAGGGCTAGAAACATGTGTCTACAGTCACTCATATACAGTATACGTGCTCTAAGGGTATAATGCGCAGAGGAACTAAAGTTTCCTCTTCATGAAAGCGATGAAAACTGGCAGCCGTTCAAAGTCAGTGCGCTATTGGTGGTCTAACAATTAGTACTTATTCGAGTAAAATCGAAGTAGTTTGAAAAAATAAAGAGAAAAAACAAATATTTTTCAAATAGTATATTTTGTCTAAAGCAGGAAGTCTTGTCGTAGACGATATTTCAGGCAACAGTTTCAATAGATTTTACATTACACGTTCGTAAGAAAAGCCAGAAATATGTTTATAAATCTTCCATAAAGAAGGAAATATTAAATGAAGTAATTAAAACGCTCTTTATGATACTCTGGATCATAAATTCATGTTTGAAAAACAAAATTTCAATAGTAAGAGAATTATCGGTACTCAAATTCCTGCTTCGAAATCATTATAAAGAATGCTACGACTATAATCAGTAACGGCAGTACCAATGTAATCAATTAGAGTCCCTCTAGTACTAGAGGGACTCTATAATCAATAAATTGGATGAAGGTATTAAATAGGAATTTCAAAATTTATATTGTATACATATATTATACAAATATGGTCTTGGTTGACGGTCTTTATAAAAGTTTCAGAGTATTGTCGTGGGTGTTTTTACTAGTAAAATAATTAATTTCCAAATGTATCACATAATATTAAATATAAATATTTTTTAAAAATAAATAGCAAATGCAAAGTGGAGTCCTTGATATTTGAAATTAAAAAATCTAGGCATTGAAATAAGTATATGAAATTTATTGCTTACATATAAGTTAGTTATACTTATGCGAGCATCTAGTATGCCCTAAAAAGTTTTTTGACTATTTGTAAATGTCAATTCTAGTAATCATTATTTTAATTAGCACTATTATTATAATCTTATTGGAAAACATTAAGTAATTGCCTGCAGTGTAAAAGTACATTTTAAAAAAGATGAGATACTATATCAATTCGTCAACCTATTTGTGGAACATGTACATATGTGACGTGTATAATACAAAAAGTCAAATATTAGAAAGACTGTTACACGGAGGCATACTCCATATAATACACACTAGTTTAAAACTCGTACTGCGAGATGACTATAAGTAGTTTGGCAACAGCACTGCCAGCAAATATTGTGTTATGATAAATCTCCATACTGAGATCAAGCTCAATCTCCTGAGGCCCTTGTACACTCTGAGTAAGAACTAAAATTACCTGCGAGAGACTGGGCTTTCGGAGCCTGAAACAAGACTCGGTAGCCCGTACTACTCCGGGTGGCGCTCTGACATCTACCAGTGTCATACTAAATTGCAGTACTGATCCTGGCAAGTGATTGCTACGCATTGTAAATAGCTCTAACTGCCCAGTTGGCGGAATTGGCATCATGCTTACAAAGGAAAGGAAGTTGTAAGAATAATGCGATGGCAACCTGAAGCAGACTTCATCTCCACTTTGACAGTAGTGTGACCGTCGAATGCACCGACTGAAAGAATGAATGTAGAAGTATTGTTAAAATCAAAATATAATAATTTACTATTATGGTAGGGAACTATGCATATTTATACAATAATTACTTTTGTCTTTCATTATCCCTATAGTAACCAGATGGACACACTATTTTATTACAACGGTAGCTGCCTCGAATGTTTTGACAAATCTCTGCCGGAGACCTGCATACGTTTCCTGCGTCACACTCATTAATATCTGTAATAAATAGTAAACAATTATTAAATAAATAACAATAAATAAGGATATTTAAAACCTTGAATATGTTACCTTGACACGATCGTTCATCCTGACCAAGTCTATAACCATTAGGACACTTGCACGCATAACTACCAGGAGTATTTTCACAGATTCCGGCACATATGTTGTTTTGTTTAAATTCCGTGCATTCGTCGACATCCGAACAAGATCTGTTATCCAAATTGAGTCTGAAACCAGATCTACAAGTGCACTTGTAGCTACCCCAGACATTGATACAAAGATGCTGACACAGTCCTGGGGTTTGTCGGCACTCATCCACGTCTCGACAGCTATTGGCACCGTAGCTTTCAAAACCTTCTTTGCAATTACATCGGTAAGAACCAATGGTATTCTCGCACTGGCCATTTGCGCTACAGATGCTTCCTCCATAGATACTACACTCATCAATATCTACACAATCCTTATTCGGACCTATAGTATGACCTGGAGGACAGGAGCAAAGATAACCACCCTGTCTATTCTCGCAAGTTTGTCCTTGTCCACAATCATGGGAACCATCGGCGCACTCGTCAATATCAACACAATGGAAACCACTGGAATCGGCTTGGTAACCATTGCCGCAAATTATCCTGGAGACACAATGATAAGATCCAACGGTGTTGATACAACGTCGTAATGCTCCGCAGAGATTTTGAGCCTGTTGGCACTCATCGATATCTACACACTGTCTTGAACTAATCTGATAACCTGAAGGACATGTTATTGGCGACCTAGGTGCAACACTAGGAGGTCGCCATAAGACAGGTTCTTTAGTGGTTGTGGCTGTTGTCGTAAAAGGACCGTACGGTCTCGCTGGAGTACTTTGCGAGACCCGAGTATTGCGATGGCAACGATAAGATCCCAGTGTGTTTCGACAATGATAGCCTTCGCTGCAATCGTGAGTACCCAGAATGCATTCATCATCATCCTCACATATCTGAGTAGCCACGTTTAACGTGTAACCGGTGCCGCATGGTAAAAATCGTGTACACGTGTAACTACCTAGAGTATTGTCGCATCGTTGAGAGGGCAAGCATTCATTTTCCGGTAGCTGACATTCATTTATGTCAACACAGGCTTGCGTCAAATTATCACGACGAAAACCTATTTTACAACTGCAGTAGAAACTACCAACAGTATTGATGCACTTTTCATCACTGCTACATGCATCCTCAATCTCCTTGCATTCGTCAATATCCATACAGCCATTTCTTGTATATCGTGTACCAGCTGCGCAACGGTTGTTGGGTTTACGGGCAGCTGGTACAGGAGCCTTTGCACAGGAATATCCACCAGGTTGATTATAACACACCTCAGATCCACATATATGTGCATCTGTTTTGCATTCGTCGATATCTGTTAATCATTAAATCCAATAAATACAAGAAATCATTGTTTCTTAATCTGATAAAGTTATATACATTTGCACTGTGACGTATCAAAAATAAAATTCATGCAAGAACTGTTATCATCACGAGGAAGCAACATTAAACACTGATAAGACACTATGTACAAAAGCCAAACACGCCTAATGCACAGTAGAACAAAGTAATTGCACATGCATTAACAATTACAGATAATAGATTTCAAGCAATATATCCTGTAAGAAATTATAGAAAAGATCATTATTGAATTCTATAAAGGGAAAGGAGTGGATTATAACGTACCGAAACACTGTCTCTGTCCAGTATGGTATTTATATCCGGTAGGACAGGCCGGTTGTTGCTGTGAAAAGACCCTATGCGGTCTTTCACACTTGTAACTTCCTGGTAAATTAATGCATCGCTCTCCTAACCGCGAATCACATTTAAATTTGCCTGAAGTACATTCATCGATATCTTCACACCGTCGTAAGCTTAATGAATACTCGTAACCCTTGTCGCAAGCTGGTAGTCTGGTTATGCACTCGAAACTACCTTCTCGATTTACACAGTACTGATGGTTCGCTAGCAGACAGTTGTGAACATTTTCTACGCACTCGTCGACATCTTGACAGCTTCCATCGAAAGCTCTTCGAAATCCATTCTCACAGGGTGGTATAGCAACGCAAGTGAATGAACCATTCGTATTCGAACACGTGTGGGTACCTTGTGGACAATTATGCTGGCCCAAGAGACATTCGTCAACGTCCTGACAACTCTTCGTGCGCGTATTGAAAAGCCATCCTGGTCCACACAAAGGGGAACAGTCATAACTTCCCGGAAGGTTCTGACAATGTTCATGTTCCCGACATCCTGGTCCATCTTGACATTCATCAATGTCGACGCATTCCCCAGATACTTTATCTCTAATGTAACCATTGCGACAAGGCGTCACGACGTCGCAGACGTATGAACCATTTGTGTTGACACAAACGTGGGTTTGGGCGGGACAGGAATGAATACCAAGTTTGCACTCGTCGATGTCCCGGCAAATAGTCTCGTCCAAAGGGTCAGGTTGTAATCCTGGCGGACATGCTGGAGAACATTGATGAGCTCCAATAGAATTGACACATCGCTCCCCAGCGCTGCATGTCATTAACCCGCGTGCACACTCATCTATGTCTAGAGTAAGAGTCAGTGTAATAAAATAATTCTAAATTTTACAATGTTTTACCAACCAGTAGTCATGCGAAACTAAATACATCTCAATCGCATGTATATCTGTAATATCTTATACACAAACACAGGAAAAACTTTCACCTTAATTTCAACATCAAACACAAAGTTTTGGAAGAGTCTGACAATGTTTTAAAAACAATACTGCAACCGAAGTTATCCATATACAGGAATAATAGATTAAAATATATTATATACTTAATATTGCATAATTAATATACCTTGACATTTTAATGTTGATAGATTCAATTCAAATCCATTTCGACAGTCACAATGAAAAGTTCCGGGTATATTTGTACACTGCATATACTGACCAGTGCAATTATTATTGATGGTCTGGCATTCGTCAATATCTACAAGTATGATGAATAATAAAATTATCTATCAATTTGATTGATTAATAACTTCTGATATTACCTACCATCGCATCGTTCAGTACTGTAGTTGTACGTGTAGCCCGGAAGACACATAGGCCTCACAGCGGAAACATTTTGATCCTCCTCATTACTAGTAGTAGGCTCAATTTCCATTGTACCTTTATAATGAGAATTATATGTGTCCGAAAGATTGTCAAATTCATTTTCAACACGAAAGTATAACGGATCACACCTATAGCTGCCAATTTCATTGACACAACGTTCAGTAGAATCGCAAGAATGTAACTGTTCGTTGCATTCGTTAACGTCTGTACAAGGTTCTGTAGGATTCGTCGTAGGTTTATAGCCTGCAGGACATTGAGATTTGGTACTTGGCCGTTCTTGCTTAGAACATTCATATCCTCCGACGGTATTGATGCACTCTGATCCAGGGCATAGTTCGGTTGCATTGACAGCGCATTCGTCAACATCTGGAAATAAATGCTTAAAGCCTGCAGAGCTGCACTTTGCAGAAAGTTACGATTCTTTTACTTACATGCAGTGAAAACAATCTGCGAAGCATGCTGGGTCAATAACTATTGCGAGCACGACTCGGCATGGAGTACCGGCAACGAACCGGAAGGGACTGCATTCTTTTCAGCATGCTGTGGTATAATACTATTATATGACTAAATCCCAGAAGAAAACTGGCTCGCATATAGCTGCTATGTACGTGCTTTACAGCGTATGGTACGATGACTTATGTATACAAGAAATGAAAATGTTGACAGCGTGCATTGTAGTTTCCGTTTCACGTGCAACTCACCAATGCAGGCACCAAGGTTGACGCTGAAGATGAATCCACCCTGACATTTTATGTCACATTCGTAAGCTCCATCTATATTTCTACAAGCCTCTATTTCGGGTAAGCAGCCATGAATGCCTTCAGTACATTCGTCCACGTCTGAATAACGAGGAAAATTAAAGATATATCGTTTGTGTAAATATTGTATAAACTGAAGAATAATGAACCTTTGCAAGTTTTGGTGATAGCGTCAAATTTGAAACCAGCAGGACAGGATTTGCCGCTTGTCAGATCGTGACAAGTAAAATTACCCTGGATATTAACGCACAACTGTGTCTCTTTGTTACAAGCATCTGGTAATTCGGTGCATTCGTCGATATCTAAAAGATTGACAGTCCTGGAGGATTTATGACAAACCTGTCGAATTTATTGAACAGATCAAGTCTTACCGGCGCACCGCTGTATCGCTGATTCATAACGATAACCAGGAGGACAAACTTCATGTTGCAGCTTCTCTGTTGATGATCCAGTCAAGCAAACAAATGATCCTATAGTGTTCTCGCAGCGGCCAGGGCATACATTCTTTTGACACTCATCGATGTCTAAAGTAGACATCATGTACAAGGACAAACAATGATATACAAAACTTCCAATTATAACCAGACATCACGCAAAGGCTCACGAACAAGTAGAATGCGGACATTATCATAGCAAGAGCATCAGAGTATAATTCTACTTTTGCAAGAATGTAATAGAATCATTGAAAGCAGAAGACATACCGTCGCAGACTTGTGACACTGCGTTATACTGATATCCAAATGGACAGAGGGGCGACAGATTATTCTCAGCTTCTACGGCATTAGTAGTAGTGGTTTCCAAATCGCAGGAATGTTTATCCATTGCTAAAACGTACCCTGGCTCACAGCTACAGATCACTGTATCACCAGTATCCGTACACTTTTGTTCACAAGGATTATCCGTCTTACATCTGTCAACTGGGATATCTTGCCTGCAGGTTTTTCCATCTTCCAACAAAGTGAAACCCTCTCGACATGCACAGGTGAAGGATCCCACTGTCGGAATGCAAATGTCCGAGCAGAGCATGCCTTTCATAAGTTGACAAATATCGTCAAATGCTGTAAAAGCAATACAGCTTCATTAGTACATGTTATACCGTCGTCCATGAATATAAAAATAAATTTAAAAGGCCTGCAGCATATACTAACGAGGTGGCGGAATCATTAACGGCGTTGTGGACGTTGACAAGGAATCGGTAGTAGCAGAGGTACTTCTGCTGGTAACAGAAGATGTGCCACTGGTACTACTAGTATACACAGTAGTAGTACCGTTGGTTGAGTCAATAGTAGTACTCGGTGCAGCTTCATAACAACATTCTAAAAATGCAGGATCCCATGGTTTTCCAAAACTAAATTTCTTGAAGGTACAACCCTGACCCATTGACCCGGTTAGGATGCCTAAGAAGATAAGAACAAATGTGCTGACATTAATGAATATAACTGAGAAGGTGCCATAATTTAAGTTGCATTACCCAGCTTGCAGCCTTCGCAACAGTCACGTTGATAATCACTAACGTTCTTGGAATCGGTACGGCATGCTTTTCCAGCTCGTGCGTTACTCTTGCCCAACTGACATTGCTTCTCTCGATAAGCCCTGACACAGCATATATCAACAGCCTCAAGGCAGAGACCTTGTTCAACTTGAGGAACCCCGGTAACAGGTCCCACGAAGGATTCGCATCGTAATTCTTGTAAAGCCCATGAAGAACCCAGGCCGCAACACTTTTCAAATTGAGATTCCATCCTCGATTCCACTCCTGTGATGAGATAAGAATATAATGTCTGAACTTGAATTTCCTACATGACGTAAGATATATTATTAGTTTGGCAAAAAAAGTCGAACCAGAACATTCTGTTTAGCTGGGATAAAAAGTAAACAGTCTTTAATAAAGAAGATAAAAACTTATCTCTTATTTACAGAAATATCTAGTATAAAATGTCATGAAATGTTCTAATGCTCCATGGACTGTAGCATGTTTTTTGTCTGCAGCATTGCAGATTTATAAGGTATATACAGACTCTCAGTCTACATGTTTTTCTTACATACCCTGAATCTTGGATTTTCTTTTTTATTTCACGGCTACGTTTCTTTCAGTCAAGATCCGGTCTTGCAAAGTATTAACCCTTTGCACTCCGAACCATTCTGGACGTTAGCCACTAGCTACTCAGCGGCACGTTGTGGTAATTTCAGAAAAACATGCATTTCTCAAAAAGTTGTGCTGGAATAAGTTAATTCCCCGTAATCACTAACAAACTTTAATGTCCCTTGAGGGGGGAAATCCGAGTGATATGCTAGAATTACGGTGTCCCCTGAAAGGGGACAGCGGAGTGCAAAGTATCAAATTAATCTGAATCTTCAGCCGACAATAATAAAATCTCAACTTGACTATGTTAAAAAGAAGCAAACGATTAAAGTGACGACACTGGAAGATAAAAACTGTCCGACAGACATTTGATGCTTGAGTTCATAAAATAAATAAAATTAGTGAACCAGAAGCGCTAGAATTTTATCATTCCACGAAAGAATCTATAATTATTTACCACAAAATCTAGCAAAATCTACACAGAGGAACTTCACATGAGTAAGATATGTACCATGCCACGAAACCTTGGGAACTCTCCTATTTTGAATCTACGGACAGGATATTTCCTAAGCAAATATTCGACTGCAACGTGAAGCTCAGAAGACAAGATAACTGCAGAACTAAATCTAATCTAAACGAAGAAAACGCTGAAGAGAAGTCCCTATTAAAAGATTATTCTGCCTTTTGATATAAATATCAGCTAAGATCGTCGCAAAAAGTCTATTTGCCGACAGTATCATATCACGATTAAATACGAATATCATAAGTGTCTCAGAACGACTTACACAAAATGAAAGAAATCCTGCTGTGTGTGTGTGTGTCCTTCGTCCATGGACGAATATCTCGCGATCGAGTGACAGAAATTTTTATTACATATATTTACTCGATAAATAATATCTCTTTCTTTATAAGAATAATAATAATTCTCAGTTAATTCTAAGATTAAGTATATTTACAAGATCGAACCTTTTCTCCATGTGCAGTCGCACACGATTCTACAGTATCTTTCAAGTAGCCTTGAGATTATAAATGTGAATATAAAAACGTACACGAAAAGAACGCTCTTTTGTCCATTACCATATTAATATTACCACAAACCAAATAATTCCTAAGAAAATTAATATTCAAGTTCGCATGTTAATCGATCGCCTAAAATTCAATATTTCATTATCGCTTTAATTATTCGTTCTACGAGTACTAAATTAGTATAAACAACATGAAACGTAGCAGTGTTTGAGTTACCTGAACGAATTTTAAAAGAGAATTAACGTTTAAATAGAATGCTCGAGTTACGACAATTACAGAAATGGGGCTAGGTCAGTGCTCGAATAGATAATGGGATAATGCAATAGGAATAATAAATTAAACAAGTTGTTGCCTTGCTCGAGATGGAGTACGACGACCAACGCAATGACCGTGATACTGTAATGCTGGGCCATCATGGTACTTCCAATCACTTCCGGTCACCAAGTCTCTTCCCGCTTCTTTCTTGTCCTGACAATAATCAAATTAAACGTTACACAACACACGCGCAAACTGCCGAGACAACTGCTCAGCGAGCAATGAAACCAAGACCATCTACGCTTCGGTTTTGTACCTATCTTCTCAGCCGAGGGACAAGATAACTCAGCCCCACTCTTCAATCTTCTAGGATCATCGCACAAGCTTCCAATAATTTGCTGCTGAGCACCACCAGAAGAATCCTCACCAGTCTTCACGTTTGTTACCTGCTTTAATAATATAAATTAGTAATATTATATAACTTTAATTTCAATGCAAAATTTTCACGGTACACTCGGTATAGTAAAATCACATTATACGTTCTTTGTATAAAGTTCCTTTAGGTTTTTAATTATAGAGTATAGTGGTTAATTTTTTTATGGTACGAAATGTATATCAATTTTATATTTATGTTTAGCGTGATTATGCTATGCCGGAAGAGTGGAGAACGAAATCTATTCATACTAACATATTTTTACTCTTGGTGCCAAACTATTGGATCATTTTCCGAGGGTATGCGCGATCAAGAATTGAGATGATGCGATCATCAGAATAATGTTATGTGGCCGTGACACGCATAATAGCTGAACCAATGTGCCGACAGTAGGGGTCGTTGTAAAAAATTTCAATTCCACTATCCCTCCGAGTCTGCCAACGCTAACGGAGCTACTGTCGAGTGGAAGCTTTTTTTGTTCTTCGGAATGGTGCGTGAGCTCGACATATGTGCGGTGCCTGTTTGCTGGAGACACGTTTCGAATGATGTAAAAAAAAATTAATGTTGAGCACTTAGCAGTAAACCATGCCACTAAATAAACTACGTAGAGTCTCACGAAACTTTTAAATGTGAGATCTGCGTCACTACGATCTAGGTTTCTCTTATCTTCGTCTCTTTACAAGTACGAACGATATTCTTATACAATTAACGTGGTGATAATATAAAAGAAAGTAATTTTAACGTAGAGAAAAAGTAACTGAGTAAAACACTGCTTAATTAGTGAATTCTTGACGCGCTATGCTTTTTACAGTTTACTTCAATATCCGTATACCTTTGTTTTCTGATAACTCAAGATAATGTTGATTTAAATATCTTAGAGAAAAAGTCGATGAAATGAATTTAAAAATGCTCGATAATTTTCAAATATAATTTTTCGCCATAAGAAAATAAATGAATGCGATAAGTATATTTAAAAATGAGTAAAACAAGAAAATATGTTGAAAATTATATTTTGAATACGGCTGTATCATCGCTTCTCTGTCGATTTACAAATTTTTGACGGAGAAATAATATACGCCAGTACGATCAGTGACTTTTGGGATCTATACCCATAACAGCAAGATTATACTTGCATACATGATATAGCATTAAAACTCGTAGATATTTCAAACTGACAATTTTATTCTAATGATTTTCTGCACAACACAATTGGTTCAGTTAATTTGAAAAGGGTTGTCTTCAATTTGTTCCCAGATAGTAGAAAACAGTTGTTTATCTTTTTATGCGAAAGAATTTAATGTCCCGCGAGAGTTTTCAACGGTATTGAACAAATGGCCCTTTTCAAAGTGACGGATTCAGTTACGTGTCCAAGCATGGATGACTGGTACTTCATCATCGCTCAAGACTGTATACTAATTCTAACATCATCTATGGAAAATAGTTTGATATATAAATATCATTAGTTATCGGTACTTGTAATTAGAAATGAGTTTTCGGGGAAGGGGGGGGGGGTGCATAGGGCTGGAAGAGAAGGAACGAGGCGCGACGGCGTCAACAGCAGCAGCATCCTCGTCATTGACAAAATTGCATAACCCAAGGTAAACCAATAGTAGAAGCTTCTCATTTCAAAAAATTATATTCGACATTTATCCCGACATTGCTCGACTTTTCCAAGATACACACGAGCTTTGTTAATTCCATAATGTAATGAAGCTTGGCACTACCTGTATCTGCTATTTACAAATGTGCGACCAAATAAAAAAAAAAAGAAAAAAGAAATAATGCATTCAAGTATCTTCGTGAATATATAAAAACAGAGTCTTGAAAGAATCTACACGAAGTCATAAAAGACAATATATCAAACGGTCCATCGGTCGAGATATTAGAAATGAAGAAAACGAAAAACGGCATGGTAATCGGAATTACAGTTATTCGAAAAATATTTGAAAATTTAAGAGGAAATGGTCAGTGAAGTTAAAACGACTTACAAATATATTATTCGTACATATTACAATGAAGTATTGACGTCAAAATATAGAAAACCGAAAAAAAAATTTAATTAGCATTACATTGTACGCGATATGGCGACAATGCCAAATATTACGATCAGAAATCTTTACGTTGCAGTATGATAAAAAAGTGAAAATTATTTATTTACAGAGTTAAGGAAATTTCGAGACGACTTGTTTTTTTCTTTTTCATAGAAAAACGAGTAGTCCATAAACTGGAATTTGTATGTGTAAGTGAAATTTCCATCATGGACGACGCAAACTAGCGACTAACTGCCACGGCAGAAGAAAATGTTTCTTGCAATGCACCTCGTTCATAAAGAAATAGTGACGGGATTGGTTTTTCTTGATTTCTTTTTTTTATATAGTGATGTACTGAGCGAAACACCGACCTGGCGCCTAGACTTACTTTTACCCTAGCCTATTATTAATAGAATTATAATAGTACGGTGCCAAGTAGGTGTTACTCATTATGCGCTTAACCCTCGGAGATTCGACCTATTTCTCCTTAATTGATTCAATTCACAATTGTTTGTTCAGACATTTTCACTGATTTTCCGTCCATAATGCAATGGATTTCACGATCTTGTAATGCTGAAATTCTATTCGGGTTCTTCGCCATCTGCAACGAAACAAGATTAACGTTTCAATTTTTCTGCGACGCGTTGAAAGTCTGGATTCCTTTAGTTAGACATATATCAATTTATATATTTTACCTTCGCGGTCTGCATCATCATCCACTAATAAGTCATCCTCATCATTTACACAGTCATCTTCATCATTTGCAGCTTCCTCCTCTTCGTCTTCTTCATCAGCGTCATCTTCTACTACCACTATGCTGTCATCGCCCTCTTCACCTTCACCACCCTCATCCCCTTCGTCACCACCGCCATCCTCTTCCTCGTCCTCGTCCTCATCGCTATCAATTTCTTCTCCGTCACCCTCGATACCATTTTCAACATCGATGTCGGGTACCAAATAATACTAGGCATTAAAAAGATATTTTTTTTAATCATTTGAAGTTTATGTGTAATCTGTGTGATAAAACATTATATTTTGATTTCTAAAAGACTTATTAACTTTATATTCATTTTTTGTATGGGAACGATATTAGAATTTAATCAAATATGTAATGTCACCTGTAGGGGATTGGGCCACATATCATCTTTGATCAGCTCTGCTATATCATCTGAACTGGGATCACCATGATCCGTAAACCAATCGAAAAATGTCCTGTGTCCCAGTGGCCTTTTGCGTCCTTTCAAAGGACCTTTATCTTTTGACCTCTTAGTTAAGTCTGCGCCTTCTTTCCAACGAATAGTAGTGCTTTGTGATGCTGGGTCCCCTGCAAAAGAGCAGGAGTTTCATAGCAGCTTATATACTCATACCATGTGACATCACCAAAAAAACATTCATCTTTTAATCTAATTCACTGTGTTAATGCAATTGTATTTTAATGCAATTTTGTTTATCTCTACTTAGTCAAACATTGTTAACAATATTTATATGAAACTTCATGATAAAAATACAAACAAGCTGTATGCTCACCAGAAGAACCAAGGTGAAATTCTTTGGTGAGTACATCATTGTCAAAATATGGATTTTTATCAAAATGGAAGTTGATTCTGTATCCAGACTTAATATCCTCAAATTCTTCAACTTCCAATTTATTTAAGAATCGCAGTGCATCTTCTTCTTCCTCTTCTAGAATAGGTGCTATTTGTGGATGATTTACAAACTACAATGTACTTAAGGAAAATCAACAGGCATCATTATTTCTCAACTAAATCGTCCACAGTCAATGGATTTATAAAGAAGTATAATGAGCTATAAATTCAACATGAGTAAAGTACTTGGCTTTTGAAACATAAATAATGTTTACGAATGTCCTATAGTATTTAAACAATTATCACGTTTTATCTTTCTAAGTGCACAAAACAATCTTCAGAAGAATACCCATACGAAGAACTATGCGATATGATTTTTCATGACAAATAATAAAGCCATACAATAGGTAAACGCTAAACCGTAAAGCAGTAATAACAATCAACTGGAAGCAATATATATGTAACCAAGTTAACAAAGAACTATGACATTAAATTAAATATTATAAAGGAAGAAGCGTGGCGAGTAACAATCGAAATGTGTGAGAACGCGTGGGCATGTATATGATATATACGTATAGAACGAATAATCAAGATGGCGTAAAGCGCCGGCGGACGCCGGTATAGCCGCCAAACGTCAACAACGCTTCAGAAGCTCTTCAGATATTACGAAAGCGTATTGTCACAGCACAAAAAGGATACGGCAGTAACCCAAAAGTTGGGTATCCTCTTAATGATGTCGTTTCGCTTCTGGAAGTAGGGCTTGCGCAGCTTGTTGTACTTCTTCTCGACTTCGAGGATTTCGTCGCTGGCCTTCTCGTTGAGGCCATCGATTTGATTCTGACACCCGTCAATTTCCTCGAGGGCCTTCTGCGTCTCGTAATCATAATCACGCACCTCACCTCCCGAGTCTTCTAGCTTTTTGACCTTCTTATTCGGCGAAGACATGGCTGCACGCGCGCTCTTGTGTCACCACTCCACCGCTTACTGTTTATTTCCTCCTGTACGCACTCGCTGTTTCGTGTCGTCGTTACCGCCGCCGCCGCACTCGATTGCGAATTCGCGGGGTACGCAGGCCGAAAATCAACCACGAAAATTTTGCACAACGTAGAGATGCTACGTAACGTTAGTTGCCTAGAGTTGCTTACGAAGATTAAACGGTTGCCATCTAGTGGCAAAAATTTCGAGTAACAGCAAGATTAATGATAATTCATATCATTTAGTAAATTAGTGGATGCTTTCCAATTACTGAATTTTTTTCGACACAGTCTCGCTATTTTATGGCTCCAGTGGAATATTTTCAATGTGACCAATAATGTAGTTTTATATTGACACAAATTAGATAATTGAAAAGCATCCACTATCATGTTATTTTGATGTCATATCATTTCATGAATTTCACTTTGCTATTTAAAATAAGTCAAAGATATGTATTATCATTATTTATATAATGGATTAAATTTGAAATTTTTAAAAAATGAATGCAGAGAAATTTCTACTTAGAGAAGTAGCGCTATCGATAACGTACCAATGCAGCATGTCGGCACTCTCTGTTATAGTTGGACGATAGTTTGAGTTATTATATATTCTTGTTATACCTATATTTGCACTTATGAAGTTACTGCCATGAATGTATTTGGATGATTTTTCTTCGGGATTGCTTAAATTATATTATTATTATCTTGTATGTAGGTACATACACTTGACGGTTCACTCTTACGTGACTTGAAGCACGTTTCAGGAGTTCTATATATATATATATATGTATATATATCTCTACATAATTCTACCATCTATCAATGTGTGTAATATTAAAGTTGTTCCAAACTAATGAAATATTTCCTCTTTTCAGCTTATAACAAACAGCCAGATCCTAAAAACTGGAACAAACTCTGTAAAACATAAAAGTATTATTTAATAGCAATTGTTCTAAGAAAAACACCAAATGTCTGTCATAGAAGATGACAAGAGTAAGAAAAACTAATGATGAAATAAATGAAAGATGCTTCTTTGAAGTCAATCTTATAAGTATATTATTCTCGAAATGCCATAACACGTTTCAGGAAATTAAGATAAACCTTTTGAGTCACTTACAGGATATATTTAATCGAAGCAAAACAAGCTTGAAAAAAGGTTGGAGATCGTGCCTTTTTACACGGATAAAAATGTCCTTTGATAGAACCACGGATATCTAGTGGAAGTACTCCCACCTCGTAAAAATCCATCAACCAATAAGGTGTCAGATGATGGAAAAGCGCCTAGAGAACAGCCAATCGTTGCTTGCGTAATAACATCCGTGGCCAGGATGTTGCTCAGAGAATCAAGATGGCAACCGAGAATAGTGCGAGTACCGTGTCAAACGAGAGATGCGATGTAAATACTAAAAACCAACGGGTGCCAGAATCTTTACTTACGAACTCAACGAACGTGAAGCTTGAGAACGGATTGTCAGAAGTAATCGCCAAGGTGGAAAGAGATCACGAAGTGTTACAAAAGCGCGAAGTCGAGACGCCCAGCGGGACGCCCACGATTTTCGCTACAGCGTCATCGGCGAGCACTAGCACGGGCGACGGCGACAATCCACCCGGGAGCCTGGCTGTTGCCAGAGCACCGGGGCATGGCGAAGAATCGGCTAAGATCGATGGGACTGGGGCTGTCAATTCAACTTTGTCTCCTCCGTTGCTTACGGAGTCATCACGTAGCATGTCGGTTCACAGTCAAAGCAAAGACACAAACAAACTCAATAATCATCACCGATTGGAATCGGACGGTAATACGAGACAGTCTTTATGGTTTTTAACAACAACACTTTATGTTATTACCCAGTTTATTTGTTTAGAGCATTTTTTAAAGCCTTTGATCATCATGGGCTTAGGTCTAATATGAATCGATGATACAGACCACAATTTTCAATGATTTACACTTTATTTACACTTTTAGTGAGTTGTTCACATAGTAATATTCTCTGGTTCTATCTTGATTTTCAATCTGAACTATTGTTATATTAACTTGAATTTTCTACCAAACCATAATCATTAGACTAATGTGATAATCTTTTCTCTAGATATAGACAGGATAACAATACTTTTTATAAGAAAAGATTAGGCAAAATAGTAAAGCAGAAATAAATGCTATATTCTTCTAATTATGAAATAGCTATTACTTTTTTTTTAACAGCTAATTGTATTGATTATGAGAAAATGACGAGCTAATGATTATTTATAAGAATTCATGGATACTGCTTAATTTTAGAAAAATATTTCTTAAAATTCATATAATCACAGATTTAATAGAGAATTTTTGCAGTTAAAACAATATGTATTTGTAATTGCAGGAGAACAGAATCGATGCCAAATCAGACAGTTTTCAAAAACTACTAAGGATTCCATTCAGCATTCTGTCCACGTAGGTACTTTTACACCAGTATCACAATCTGGAAAAAATATATGGCAACATATATTTATTAAACTATAATTTTCAATTGTATATATAACAGTAAAACAATCAAGAAAGAAAGACAAATATGTCATTCATAGCTACATAACTGTTAAATCTTGTGGGTTTTCAGGCCGACACAACTTCCGTTAATCAAACGATATCTGAGAATAATATGTCAACATTTTCGATGAAACTTGAAGGATGTGGAAACGTTTCCAGTAAAACGCCACAACTCGGAGAAAGTCCACAAAGCAGTGGCGAAATATTCAGCAGTCCGAGAAGTCCCGACTACCCTCCACGGGTCTCAACAACCCCTAACAGTCCTGACACAACATTCACTCCAACAACAACAACAGCCAGCACTATTACCAATTCCACAATCATTATGGACACAGCAAAATACAATGAAGAGCACGTGAGCAACGAAGCAATTAGTCCTGGTACACCATTGCTGGATGAACCCTTCTGTCCACTGTTAAAAGGCAGCAATGTTCAAGCAGTGATAGTGAAAACAGAAGCTGATGTATCGCAAAGTATTGAAACAAAGGTTGTGACAACTAAACAAAATTTTATGGAATCAAGTCCATTAGATACTTGTGTAAAGGAAGAACCACCTGACCAGTCGAACAATTATTTAATCCCAGTGAAAAATGAACAGTCAGATATTAGCTCAACGATCGATCCCAAGAATGAAATGGATTCCAAGTGTCCAGGATCTACAAACACAAGGCCTTCAGTCTCAGTGGCCACTCATGGGAAGAGTCACTCCTCCTCTTCATCTTCAAGAGAAAAACGAAGTAAAGAACACAGCAATGAGAGACGTCATTGTTCTCGTTGTTACAAACGTAGCAAAATCAAACGTGCAAGTATCGGTGTACAATGTAGACGGGATCGTCATTCGCTCCCCCTAAACCATAAACCAATTTCTCAGTCTTATCCAAAATTAAACATTCATAATATGAGACTAAATCTTCAAACGAAAAGTTATAAAACCTTGAAGCAGTCAAGTGTCGATGATCCTTTGGAAGGTCTAAAATACAAGAAGTACATTCACATAGAAACTTATCCTAACGGTGGTGCTAGTGTAGTACACATGTATCAGGATGAAATAGATGCATTGACAAGTGAGCAGGTTGAGGAATTGGCACAGGAATATTTTAAGGTGAAAATTATCTGCGTTTATCCTAAATCTTTAAAAAATATCCATGAGATATCGCATAATTTAAGTATGGATTTATTGTCAGGTGGTTTTTGGGGAAGACGAGAATGGAAATGCCTACCACGTCATGGGGATAGTTCATAATGCAGCAGCGTACTTGCCCGACCTCCTGGACCATATGGCTTACAACTATCCAGCGCTTACCGTGAAAAACGGTGTGCTGGGAAGAAACAGCGATATCGAAACTACAACAATGCTGCAATACAAGGAGCATGTTTGTAAAAGTTACAGTAACGGTACTGTAAGATACGGACCACTTCATCAAATAAGTCTTGTGGGTACTGTGCACGAAGAGGTAGGCGGGTACTTTCCGGATCTGTTACAGAGACTGGAAGAAAATCCATTTCTGAAAATGGTATGTTATCAATAAATCTCTTCTACGCATGAGAGAATAAACTTAATTAACTCTAGTCATAAATTTCCTTAATTATTCATTCAGACAATGCCCTGGGGTCCGCTATCAGTGGTCAGTATGGAGACTCCACAAGAATCGAATGATGGACCCATCCTATGGATCAGGCCTGGGGAGCAACTGGTGCCTACTGCTGATATAAACAAAAGCCCATGCAAGAGACGTCGAACGGGCATTAACGAACTACGTAATCTACAATACTTACCAAGACTCAGCGAAGCTCGTGAGTATATGTTTGAAGACCGGACAAGAGCACATGCCGACCACGTTGGTCATGGTTTAGATAGAATGACGACGGCTGCCGTTGGAGTGTTGAAAGCAGTTCACGCAGGACAGACGTACGAATATAACAGAATTACAAAAGACGTAGTTGCCTTCGATGCAGGTGACTTTACTGAACTCGTTGAAAAACTACAGTTGGATCTTCATGAACCGCCTATATCACAATGCGTTCAGTGGGTGGAGGATGCCAAGTTGAATCAATTGCGTAGACAAGGCATTCGCTATGCTAGGATAAATTTATATGACAATGACATATACTTCTTGCCGCGTAACATTATCCACCAATTTAGAACAATCTCAGCGGTATCAAGTATTGCCTGGCACGTTAGGTTAAAGCAGTATTATCCAGAGTCTATGATTAATCTAAATATCAAACACAATCGGGTCGTGAACGAAGCTGCACATCATTTTAAGGAGAAAAAAGGCATTGAGAGGGTTAGTGTTGATGAACAGAAGGAAAACACTGATAGACAGTGCATGGAACTTGATGAGAAGAAGGCTAAGGAGCGCGCTGCGGAGTATCAGGGCAATCTTAAAAAGTCCGAACAACACGGTAAACGTAAAGATGATCACAAAAATCGAGATGCGCATACGAGACATTCTTCTGTCAGTAGCAGAAAAGAAGCGAATAAGGGCAACGATGGATCAACTTCCTACAAGGATGGAAAACATTCAAAAAAAAGGATTGTCGAACGAAAGCAGAGTTGTGATAAGAGGGATGAAAGACGGTGCGATAAAAAACACGAAGAACGACATCACAGTAGTAAATCCAGTCACCATAGTCACGGTAGTAGTAGCAGCAGTAGTAGTCATCACTCCGGTGAAAAGAAGAAACACAGTAGCAGTAGCAGTAGTAGCAGTAGCCACAAGTCAGATCATCATCACAGTAGAACGAGCAGTAGTAGTACCCCAAGTAAAGAAAGTCCACCATCTATACCGGAGTCAAGATCAGCAACAATCTTGAAGACGCCAGAGAGCTCGCCGAAATCTTCTGAAAAGGATGTTGTTTTGCCAGAGTTTTCCGTCATGGCGCATCAGCAACAGCAACAGCAACACCACACCAGTCATGACTCAATAATTTTAGAACCAGAAATTGTCACAGCCAGAGAAGAAGTTGGTAAAACCTATGCAACGAAAGTTGTCGACAAGGCATTGGAAATCGCCATTTACAAGTCCAAGACCGACGTTGAAGAAGTTTGCCAGTCTCTACGAAGCGGTGTTTTGGAGGCTTCTAAGGAGATGCTTGAGAGAATTAAAAAGGAAAGTTTCGAGATCGCCCAAAAGAAATATATAAATGACAGACTAAGGCAAGATAGATATTGTCAACTACTCGAGAAAAAGACTGTAATGGCGTTTACATCGAAGATGGAGTGTGCTACGGAGAACGCAGTGAAGGCTCTTATAGAGATGGCTGAAGAAGAGGCTAAGGAGAGAGCGAAAAATGAGAAACTCGAGAGTACGCCTCCGAGTGCTATTAGCTCCGGCGAAGAGAATAATCAAACCTTGACACTTGGAGTATCCACGAGCGACAGTGAGAAGCAGAGCACCAGCGGAATAGGAAGTGCGGAAGAAAAATCTCCCGAGCATCAAAGTATCTTGCCGGAAGTGGACAAGAAGCATAGAGAGGAGAAGGAAACGAGGGAACAAAGGCACAGAGAACGAAGAGAGCGAGAAAGGAAAGAACGTGAGCATAAAAAGCAGAGGCATCAAAGTCCCTCTACGAAATCAGAAAGTAAAGAAACAGAGAGGAACCGAGAAGATTCGATCAAGGAATCAAATCAATCAGTAAGCGAACAGTCTTCGCCCACTAAAATATCCGAGCTTTTTGATAATAAAAACAACGAGAGAAGATCCGAAAAACGCAAGGACAGTCATCATAGTCACAGCAAGGATAGTTGTAAGAAATCATCGAATAGTCGTAAGCATAAAGATGATACCGGATCTTCGAGTCAGTCACACACTTCAAGTTCGAGTCACAAACGAAAATCAGGATCGAGTTCGAGTCAAAATCATAAAGAATCGAAAAGGCTGTGCACCGAGGAGAATATTGTTGCGCGAGCACCTGACCAAATTTCTAATAGCACGACCACAACGTGAATTAGTTTTTTTTTTCTGGAGTTAGGACGCAATTCCTATATAAAAGAAATAACTTAAGTGATACATCGGATGTCGAAGGAACCTTTTTTACATTCGAATGAATCTCTTATGAATAGTTTTCAAGACCAAGCGGAACGAAAATTTCTGTGATCAAAGTTGCACAATGGATCGCAATAGATCACAACGAAATCCTCACCCTTCTGCATCCTCGAGCGCTCCAAGAAAGCAAACAATCATGACGTGATAGTTTTACATTAGTATCCATCGATGATACAAATTATTGAAATTATATGATTGTCTCAGCTACACTATATTATGATCAGATTGATACTCGCTTATCGATCACGTCGTATTACAATGCTATTTATTTTATTCTCAAGAACTCACCGACTTATTTAAGCCTTAAGCAATTAATCCTGCACACTTATAATTTTGATAATAACAAGGGTGAGGCTTGTGCACTATGCAATTCTAAAATGAATTACTTAAAAACAATTTCATATACGTTTCTATGCGAGATGTATTCACTGTATAAACTGTCATTATTTACTACGTATAGGAATCAAATAGGCGCGAATACCCGACAAGCCGTTAAATCGTTGTACATTGTACATACATAGTAACACGCTGATTGAGATTAAAAGTAATATTTATCTCGCGGACTAAAACTTGCTTGATTGTACGTAAACAATTTTTAAAGCATCATTGAGAAAAGAGCCATCACGTGTGTGCCCACTTTATGTTTCCTATGGTGCCAGCCTGATTGATTCTGTCATTTTACGAAATTCAGATTCAACTCTACGTGTACATAATAAAGCTTTCTCTCTCATTACTATTGCATTTTCAAAGGAAACACCATAGCCGTTATGTGAACTGAGGATAAAAGTCAAAACTTTGATAGAATTAAAATACATGTGATTAAATTATTTTATAGTTATTGTGCGAATACAATATCTCGATTCCCTGCTAATCAAATCCTGTTAACAAAGGGAATTATCAAATCACAAATATATGCAATTTGCAAAGGCTGCTTATCTGCTGAAGTTTTGACGTGACAAATTATCAGAGCGACCTATGTACTCCCATATATAATTGTACAAGCACGTGCCCGAAATAGTCGTTATAATAATGTATAATATCTTTGTAAGCTGCACTTGTTATCCGTTTGTGACATGGCAGCTTAAATTCCAAACACATCCAATTGATATTTTTTTTTTGTGAGCATCACTGCACTAACCAAACGAATCATAATTCAGATTAATTTGGTTATTTATAGTGAGGCTGTTATTTATTTGTTGTTCAATCGAATTGATTGTATAATTATATTTAGCATTTTTAGAGTGCAGCTTATACACGAGAATCATATTCCTTTTTCTCTGCATTCTCTGTTTTTTGTTTTCTCTTATAACAAATTGCTCAGGCGTTCCCCAGACACTATTGTCCAATAATTGCGTTACAAATGGCAATAATTAATACCGTCATTAACTCAAATTGTTTCACGAAGACCCGTATCATTTCAAAGTAAACCAAGTTAAAGGTATTGTTTATTAACATCATATAAGCGAGCAAAAAATAGCTCATCAAATTGTTGTACAGCTTAAATTCTGTAGCAACGATAGATACTATTACTATTACCAAATTGAATATCTTATTTAACTATTTATATATTTTTACATGTCTATTACATAAAATCGTGGAACAGTGTCGTTAGAAGTCAATGATATCTATATATTTCATAATATCCCAGTAATATTGAATTGCTTGAAAAGAAATTACGATCAATAAGACGACCCTATACGTACCATGTTTTCTTTTATTGATAATAGGAACTTGAAATAATTCTGCTTATGTTTAAGGTAAAGGGATTATTCGGGTGCTCTTCTTGGTGGTTGCTTTTTAAATCGTCGAATAAAGGATCCGAACAAATAGATAAGAGAAACGCAAGGAACTATACCAATTTATTAACTTATAATATGTATTCTGTTTTTCCTCTTATATTTTCTGTACATTACTGTAGTTACTGTAAGAGTAGAATTTAAGTAAATTATATTTTCTCTACTTAGGGAAAGCCGAAACCCTTGTAACATCGTCTGTCACGTTGGTGCGTGTGTGTTTGTTGTGTGATTCTATGCGTGTTCATAGATTACGTTCAACTCGTCATTTGAAAGTAGTACATTGTGTAGATATTCAATGGGTGGAACGAACTTAATTTAATTTATTATAATTTAATTTAGTCTAAAGTTATTTAATCATACGCTGTTACGTTTAATTTTTCTTTAAGTCTGTTTGCACGATATACCTATGATTTTTTTCATGTTTAATCTCTGATTTATATATATTTGTTTTCTTATGTAAAATATCGGAATTCGCATTGCTTTTAGAAAATGTTTGGTATTCGTGAAATAATAACGTGATGTCTCTCAACTAAGTGCGAAAGTGCAAACAAACTCTCCAAAGAGATTATGTCATGGTGGTCGTGCGATTTTTCTTTCAAGTCCTTAAGAAAACTTAAGACTCGTCTAGATTTTCCACGAGGAAACTTGAATTTCTGTATGAAGCATAAGCCGCACTCTTACAGTTCTTGATTTTTCTTTCCTTAAATATTTAAGTAACTCTATGAACGAGGTTTATCCTTTACTTTTCATTTTTGTGCGTTTTGAAAAGACGTTCGTAACGACTATATTTCAATAATATTTGAGCGTTAAGAATAGCATTTTGAGGATGCAGTTTTCGAAGGAAAGTCAACCGTTTTTTTATACCTACGAAAGAGTTACTGATTTGTAATGTTTGTTTGTGTAATATTGTTCAGCAAAGAGAAAGGGGTACGCACAATTATTGGTACTCTACCAGAAATTGTGTTTACTTAAGAAACGCATTTTGAAACGGCCTTAAAAAGAGCTCCTGGAATCAGGACTTTATTGTACTTGGAATAAAATGGAAGGAGATTAGTATTTTCGAATGAACGAGTTGATAATTATGGAGGAACTTCGAATTAAGTGTGACATTTTTGCTTCTTAAAGAAAAATAAAGGCTGACAACTGCCTGCTATGCAGTATTCATTTATTAATATTTTTAAATATGTAGATATTATACATAAAAATATAAAGTATGAAAGCACCTGTAATGCAGGTTCGCGTAACCTGCCCAATAGGCATCTGGGTTTATCGGAATTGAATTTATGCTGTATATTTGTAAATATAAAAGCCTTCTCGAGGTAAATATTAATGTTATGAGAAGAAATAATGTCAAATAGATCATTGTAAAGCAGTTTAAGTACAGAGAAAATGCACACTAGCACGATTAGTGTCAACAACTTCACTATCAATACTAATCATTGCTATTCTATTGCTATACATAATATATAACGTTGAGTACATACAAATCATAAATGCATAATTATATATATATATATATATATATAATTACTGTAGTATGTAGTTTTACATATTATACCCGTCACATGTGTAGAGTTGCATTCCAACGTCTAGGTTTTTAATGAAACAAATAAATTACTTTTATCAAGCATTATTTAATTAATATTCATTTATACCCTTTCTATTATGCCTATAATCTATTTCTACAATATAGAAATTTAAATAATATATTTAAAATATTGGTTCGTGAACATCCCTGGTGCATTTGAAAGTTGTTTGTGCGTCGTTGTGCAATTTGATTAACAGAGGGCGGCATAGGCATATAAATAATAATGGTCGTTTGACGTTCGAAATTACCACTTTTTCATTTTTAATTCTTACTTAGTTTCATTCTTTATAATTTATAATTTAATTCCATGTGATCCAATTAATTCTGGATACTACTGTTATCATTTGGATGTTACTCGATTTAATGTGTGGTAAGTAAATTTATTGTACTTTGTGCGTCACTGTTATGTTAGGTTAGAAATTTGAATTCTTTTAAATTCTAAACAAGAAGTGACAAGAAGTTAAAACGTTTTGTACGTGAATTTGCGTTGAGAATATTACTTTTTTTTTTAAATAATGAACGTTTCTAATATTAAATATTATTTATGCCAGATGATTTCAGTTAATATTAATACTGTTTGTTGTGTACTACATTATTATAATTGCTTATATTATTTGTATAGAACATTATGTTTTATACTGCAAATAGTATTGGAGCAAAATTCATCTTGTTAGACTTTGCTGGGTCCCAACTCATAATTTAACAATTTTAGAAAAAAGGAATCTATTAACCAAATCTTGTGATACAAATATTTTGTGATTGTTATTAGCCTGATATTTCATTTTATTTATCATTATTTTTACTAATTTTAGCGTAGATTATCCTATTTAAGTGTAAATATTTATTTTCTTGTGAATTTGTAACTTGCATACATATAAATACATTGTAGGCAACAATGTATACTGCAATAGATTAATTTATTTTAATAGTATTCTATTAGAAGATCATAATACAGAGCTCAATATTATAGAAAATGGATAACATATATGCAAAACTAAATGATTGGATCAAACTGGTTCAGTCACATCAATTGAAAGGAATAGCATCAGATGTAAAGGTAAGGAAACTTTATTTATTAACATCAGCTGAAATGTAATTTTGATTGACATTTTTCAGAAAACAATTACAGTAGATCTTAATGATGCAAGATTGAATAAAACAGTTTTCAAGTTACTATTGCATCTTTCTCGTACTGCAGATCAGTTTGATAAGTCAAAAATTGAAACCATTAAGGAAATTGGAAAACTGACAACAACTATCTGTTCCCTCTTAGTATCAGTACCAAATGAACACAACTTTTTCTCTAGTATATACCACATTTTACGGTGTTTGCTCACAGCCCAATTATATACTGATGCAATGGAAATTTGTGACTGGTTGACACCAGGTAGACTTCTAAAGGATACACAAAAGTCTTCAGATATATACACAACAATATCACATCTGTGGCAAAAAGCCGTTGAACGTCAGTTACACGAAGCATTTAACAACTTAAACGATCAAACCTGGGAACTACTTACAACACTTATTACTTATGAATGTGATATGTTGCAAATAGCATATGGTCAACAATGGAAACGTGTATTAAGTAAAATTGACTTTTACTTTGAAAAAATCATGGGAGTGATAAAACTATCCAAAGGATCATATTACAATCACTTTCGTGATGCCATGATATCCTACCTGATGAGCTTACGGATATCATTTGAAGGCAATCACAAGTTAGAAAATTATCGTTATGTATTGTTGCTAATCAACAGAATAATCTTAGAACAAATCACTTCATCAGAAATTGAATATGTTGGCGATACATTTAAAAAGTTGTGCAAAGTCTTCGAAAGTGCCATGAAGAAAGACAAAGAGTGCTGTAAATGCTTTGAATTCTATAAAGAAATTTGTATCATATACTTAAGACCAGTCATGTCTTTAAGCAATTGCGAACCTGATTCTATTCGGCAAGTGGTGCAGCGGTATAAAAATGTTGTCACTGGCCTTAGGTTTGATGGTGCAGTCAAGTGGAATTCGTATATGCTAGCCAGAATTCTGACTCTGTTATTCACATACTGGGAGCAATCATTAAAAAACGAAAGCTGGCAGAACATTAATGCCGAACTATTAACAGAAACTCTGATTTTCGTACAATTTACAGGTTCAATGCTGAGCCTTCAACTAAAAGACACATGTAAAGCCTGTAATGTAGAGGAGTGCAAGCTCAAACAAGACAATTACAATGCTGTTGTGTTAAAGCTAAGATTTCTTTCTGTACTATATGCAGTCTCCGACAAGAATTTGCTCAAAGATATTTACTCAATAATACAAGCGCTCCTTGAGGAGATCATAGCTTCGATTTTTGAGATGAAACTATCTGAATGCAAACAGTGGACACAAATGTGGAGCATCTGTGGGAGTCACATTTACAATTTATGCATTACCTATAAGGACTATTATGAAGAGAGCACTTTTCTATCTTCATTGTTATGCTCTAGCATTATACAATTTGAAGGCATCAACTCGTCTGTTACTTACATACATCTTGACAAAACGTTGTCCACTGCTTTGCATAGACTATGCAGCATCCATTATAATCATGAGAAATATAGAGAAGCCATGACTGCTGCAGCTCTCAATGGTCTCATCAGCTACAATAATTCCGAAACAAAAGCATTTCGTATGTGGGCTAATGTCAAACATAAATGCATCACTTCTGAGAGCATAATGAAAATGACAATTCTACAGTGCCTGAAGATAGACCGGCAGTCCATCACTGAAATTGGAATGGATATTAATTTAAATGACTATGATCTTCGGAAGTTATGTTTGCGAGAGATTAAAGCATTACAAGAAGCTCGTGTCAATCTATCTGTAGCCATCGTAGCGGTACTAGATGAGTTAGAATCATTGAATCCGAATGCTTTAGAATATGGCCATGGGGTTCTGTTACTTGGGTATCATTCACTGATCTATGAGAATCCCGATCGCTTTTATGAATATCTAAAAAAAGCTGTGTCAATGTTAAAGAAGGAGAAACATACATGGTCTCATATCTCTTTGGTTGCCGGTTTTGAATTTTATAAATTTATTAATCACGCAAGAACTATGAGCAAACAAACACAATGCGAAATGGACAGTGCAAAGTTTGCTTTGCTTGCACCAAAGTTGAATTCAACGCAAGAACCTGAAAATGTAGTGCCTGCTTATAGCACTATCAATGTAAAGGAAGACTCCAGGCTTCAAAATTATTTACAGCAGCCACTGAAAACTTGGGCCTTATATATTGAGAATATTGATACTGTAAGTTTTAATTCATTATATCTTCTTTTATTTGACTCATAATCAATAATCATACTATTTCATGTTAGTTGGAATCTTTTGTACCATGGGAATTTGAATATACCTTGCAAACGATAGTAATCGCTGGTGAATATTGCCGGTTACATAGATTTCTTGACTGTGAAATCAATGCTTGGAAACTTGCGTATAATTTGGCCACAAAACAGAAAAATCATCGTGTGATCATTTATGGTAATAATTGTTATTATTATCAATTATGCTACGTAATCTTATTGCATTATATCAGAATGTATAATGTTAATAATCACCCCCAGTGGTTGGACGAGCAATTTTGTCAAGATATATAAACAAGGAATGGATCGATACCGCCACAAAGCTTAGTATAGATCTAAAACATTCAACTGATAACAATGTTATTGACGCAATTGTTACGTATTGGATTGGTTTATCAGATTTTTATTTCGAAATTGGAAAGGTGAGATATTCACATAAATTCAAAAGAAATATCCATATACATTCCAAACGATTTATCTATAAATAATTTTTTCAGCACGAGGAAGCTTCAAAATTGTTCGATGAAGCAACAATATTGCAAGAGAGCTCCATCCTTTGTAATCAATCAACCTATTTAATGAGGTTGGATATATTGCTGCGTAATCCTAAATTAAGTATACGCAGTAATGAGACATATAATTTTTCACTTTATATTGTTCAAAGTCTTTATGCAATGATATCCTTGAGCTCAAATTTGATCGAAACTAAGTGTAAGTTTTCTTCTCCTTATTGAATCAGTAGCTAGCTTGAAGCATAATGAAAATTGTCATTTTAGCGGAATCCAAAGAAAGAATATTATATGGATACGATGTCCTACTCAGTTCAACGAATCGCTTGTCTCTACGTTTGAACAGTTTATTGTCGTTCAAAGAAATCTCAGCGCACTTGATCCAACGTTTGAAAATCTCACAAAAACTTGGAGCAACTTTACGCGTTGCAGAGTGTCTTAAAAATTTATGCTTCATTGACCTTTCCCGGATGCAATTAGATGACTGTGAAGTGAAGCTGCAAGGTCTAGAGCATATATTAGACATTGAATCTATTGAACTGTCCATGAAGTCTAAATTGCAAACAGTAGAAACATCATCATATTCGGTTTCATCATCAGAACGTATGGTTGAGTCAGTCAGAGATATCGCACAGAATCCTGCATCTCCTGTACTGAGAAGGAAAGTCTTTGCTCCATCAGACTTTCTCTTGCACAAAGATTGCACGTGCTACAAGTGCAGAAATGTACCGTATCAGTATTTGGTTTTTGCCAGTACGTATATCAGGGCGCAATTGTATGCTTTGCAACATATGACGTCCGCTGCAATGGAGCACTTTTACGGTGCGTTTAAAATCCGACAAAGTATTTTTGCAAGAGAGAGCCAAGGATCGTTGGATAGTACAATAAATAAAATGGATTTGGAACGACATCCTTGGGAATTTTATTACAACATGGTGGAATATGTTCTTTTCCTATTGGACTTTAGTCGCTTCATTAAAGAATATAAGTTAGCCAAAGAAGAAAAAGGACTGAATATTGCTTTGGAAGCTATTAACATATGTCAGACTCATAATCTTGAAAATCATCCAATTTATGTATCTGCCAAGGAATTGCTGTTTGAATATCGTTATCAGAAAATTCTTTCAACCGTAGATTATTCGAGTGAGTCATTTAGTCGAATTATTAAATTCCTTTATTATAACTTTCAACTTGTAATCTAATGACATGGAAGCTATACAGTATCTTTAATGTTTTTATATTATTACAGATTTTACAGTCCCTGCAGCTGATAGTATAGACGTAAGCAAGTTTACGCATGTCGAAAATCCTAAACTTTCGGTGTGCGTCACGCCGACTCAGAACATACGAAAAAATCCGATTAAATCACTACGACGTCACAGAACTCCTCCTGTATTAAAACTTACCAAAGTCAGTATGAATCTCCTGGATGACGAAGAAACGACTGCTTCGTTACATGAATCAAAATCGAAAAGAAATTTGAATTCTGTAAAATCAAAACTTCCTCTGAATGATTGTGCTGAATCAAGCGATGACGAGAACAGTCTCTTTGCACATGTAAATCCTGTTCTCGATAATCCAAAGAATATAAATTCCGAGCGACTTTCTTTAGAAGATGTAATACATAAGGCATCTTCTTTGCTGCCTGAAATGTCGTCACGGTTACGGAAATTATCCACCGGTCAATCATTGAGAGAGACACCAGATGCAACAAAGATTCAGGAATTAATTAAAGTACTCGAAGATTCGACGATAAAGGATACTGCTCGACCAATAAGAAAATCGAGAAGCAGAGTGAAGCTTGAGAATAATATTTCATCTAAGTCGAATCCATTGAACGAGAAAAATAATGAAAAAGTCAACGAAATAATCGATTTATTTAAGGGACTGCTGCTTTCTAGTAAATCAACGGAAGATACATTAGAGTCGAATATCCATACATCTCTTGAACTGGAATCAAGCAACCATTTGTCAGTTGAACCTGATATAAAACTCACACCAAGAGTCAGTGGGAATAAAATAAGAAAAACTTATTGTAAGCAAAGTGTGCGGACTAAGCTCTTTGTATCAAATGCCAAAGATACATCCGAGATAGCTAGTAATTCTTTAAAAAATAATGAAAACCATAATTCTGAAAATGTGATTGACAAGTCAAAGCGTTGTAAAATTAATGAGAATAGAGATAAAGAGGTATTGAACGTTCCCATCATTACGGTAGATGAATTTGAAAAAGTATCAGGCAAGAAAAATAATACAAAAGAGATGAAAGACGTAAAATGTACCATAAAAACTCAAGAATCTCTTACATCAAAAGTATTATTATACTCAGATAAAAAGACTGAAAACGTGCCTAACGAGTTGCGACCAAAATCTGGAAACGATCGAAAGAAGCTTCCAAAACGTTCCATAACTAGTATGAAAAAAGTTATCGTATATTCGGATAGTGAAGATGAAAGTTTTAATCGCTCAGAAGATATACCACTGATTGATCCACAACCGATAAACTCCGTTCGAACTACCAGATCAAGAAATACAAGTACCAGACAGTCTAAGAAGAATAATTTTCAAGACTTAGAACCAGCGACTTCCGTTTCGTATAAAGAATTAGTAAATGCAGATGAAAAGAAGTTTCCAAAACGCGCAATAAGAATTAAAGAACCGCAACCTTCGACATCCAAGACAAAGCAAACAAAATCCCAAAAAAAAGTATCTCGATAGTATTACTTCTAACTGTATTCTGTGTAATTATATCAGACCGAAACTTCCAATTAATATAAAGTCAAAAATGCACCTCTTCTTTATAGGAGGATACGCAAATTTACTATACTGCCAGACTAACAGGATTATAATTTTGCAGCATGTGTATCGACAAACTACCATTTACTGTCTGAAACTTTTATTACTGTACATATACAGATAGTTTTAATAAGAGATTAGTAATAAGGTGAATGCAAGTGGATACAACTATGGGTTAAATACATAAATGAATGCGCAAGAAATCTTGTCTGAAAATATTTATTAAAATATATGATATGTACATCTGGTAGAAAAAAAAAGGTAAGAGCTTATCGCAGGTGAACTTAAATAGCTCCTTAAAAAATGAAATGAATATGGAACCCTTATTGGGGTTACCATCTCAAATATTTCTCGTGTACACTCCCATCTTTGTATAAATAGTAACTAATTTTGTTCCAATTAAATACTTTACAAACTCAATGTTTCAACATCCTTGTAAATCTTTTTTACTTCCTTTTTTTATCGCTTTCACAAAGTTTTACTATAATTACTAAATATCACACAAATGTTTCTTGTCGTCTCGTACAATACAACTATCGTAATCATCATCATCATTATTACCATTATCATTAATATTACCATTAATTATCATCATAATCAACCATAATGTTTCAATAAATAACTTGACGCATTGTCAGCTGAGAAGTAGTATGGCTACCATACAATTTCAGATGATCACGAGTATATACACTTCATTCACATAACAGTATGATATAATATCGAAAGACTTGAAAAAAGTGACGTAAGCTTTTTAAAGATTCATATAGACCAAAAACGGAGAAAAAGGTCAAATGATAATATTTTAATCGTTCAACGTTCTGTCATAATGTTCTACTGTTTTATAATACTCTGTTCTGTTCCATCGTCATGTATTGCCATTGAAAAATTTCATGACGTACGAGCACAAATGCGGAAGCAAATTAACACAGCTAAAGCTATGAGAAATTTGATAATGGTATTATGAAAAATTATTCTCCTACTACAGATACGTAATCAATTGGTCGCAGCAGTATCGCAAGAAACGAAAAATTAGTCGTATCACTTTAAAATAAATCGCTGCGAGTGTCTGGAGGAGAAATGTTATTTCTGTGAAATATAATTGTTAGAAAATAAACTAAAGGATATGATTGATTAAAGAAAAAAAAAAAAAAAAAAAGGAACGTTCTAGAATTAATTCATGTGTATCAGTGGAGAGAGGAAGAGAGTTATCATCGGAACTCCATACGCAAAGCAAGATCAAAATTACGAAAAAAAAGAAAAACGAAAAAAATGAAATAGAGAAAATATAAAAGAAAAAACAACCGTTTACTACCCAACTAACAATATGATCCTTACAGATCTATTATAGACAATTGGTTTGCTGCCTGTTGCAGCGCACCTCGCTCCTTTCGTAGTAGCAACAGGTACACGTTGTACTTAAAGCATAAAATTGTATCAAACATCAACGTTAAAAATACAACATTTTTTGGTAGAATTATTTTATAATAATGAGCAAAAGCCTGTGTGTACCGTAGTTTTCCATTCTCTCGATTATCGTCAAAACTCGTCACGCAGTCGCCTGAGATGCCATTCTTTGACAGCCAATAATATAATAAAGAGTACATGAAGCTTTTATGACTGCCTGAATCACAATAACGGTAGACTGACCACCTTGGTCAAATATATAAAATTTCTTTAATATCATTCAAGCTTCACTAAAAGTGCAAAAGCATTGACAAGTATATTTAAAACGTTTAAGTACTACGAATGTTAAAAGTTCACTGCTTGAGTCTACCGTTTTATATGGCTTCTGTACCCGGAGGATGTTCTTAGGTTTGCTTAATGTACCGAAAAAGCAGAAACGTCTGGTTTCCTGACACAACGTTAACTTAGCCCCGATAAGTAATGCTCACGTGAATGCCTTTAAGGGATGCTCACAAAAATAAAAGGAAAATATGTTATTCATATGAGCATACTCATATCTCATTGTAGTTATTCACGTATTATTGATATCACGATTTGCTTATTCGAGAATGTGGCACAGTTAATGAGAAATTAAAAAATGTACTGGTAGATTCATTTCACGAAGACACAATCTTCTGATTAGAGACGTATTAAATTTTCAGTAATAAATTGTTTTTATCGAAATGTATAATATAAAGGAAAGAATGTCACGTAGTTTGCAAATCGTGATTAGAAACTCGACGTATAAAATACAAGTATTCAGATCCTTTGTATAAATCATAGTGAACGATATTTTTAAAGGATTCTGTCAAGTCCACTGTGATTTTCTTACTATTATCCTTTTAATGAAAACTAAGGATATGAATACGGATTACGGATGTTAATTTCTATTGTCACGCGGATTAAATGAAAATTGAGCTACGATTACTCGTAAGAGCTCAATTATCCTTTAACTGTTTTGTTACAATAAATCAAAAGACGTATACTCTGATTGTGATAACACAAAGTACCCTGCAATAACTTATAATATCGTTGATATTTGGATTTTGAGTGAAAAAGACATGAGTTGTCTGCAAGGAGGTATAACGAAGGCATTTATCGAATCACTTGGTTTCGTAAACAGTCGAAAATTAAATACATAAAGAGAAGAGTATAATATTTAGATAATTTAAAATTCCTCCTATAAGTCGTTCGATAAATTCACAATCAAAAAACAATTCTCACTCATTCAGTTGGATGGTCGAATTTTCAATAATACCTGCAGGACTCTATGAAATCACAGTCTATTATAAGTGTGTATACTGGACACTCGAATGCACGTCACGTGAGTCTAATCTTTTTGTAAGCCCAAGTGCACGGGCAGCCTCTTCCTGTGTTTTGGCCAATTCCATCAAAGCTAAAGCACCAAGCCATTTTTGGCTATCCTCAGGCAACGGTAACTTAACCACGCTATCCTCTTGCTTAACTACCACAACCTTGACGCCAGTTCTGTCTTCGCTGTTGGACAAATTCTTATGGGTGTTCATTTCCTTGCCACTCAAACTATTAGAACTTCCAGCTAGCATTAGTACGGTAGGCCTTGTTTCATTTTCACTGTTGCGTAATGTTGTGGGTATTTTGTTTATTGTTCCATCAGACACAAATTGAATTTCATTTTGTATTGTTTGGAGTTGACATACATTCTTATTCGCAGGCGTCTGATCCCAATAAAAATTTGAGGACGATGTATCAGACTTTGACTGTTCGAAACGAAGATTTACACTGTCGTTAGATGTTATATCGCTATTTAGTGCTTTTCCACTTTTTTGAAGCTGATCCCAGTTTCCTTGTAATACAGAGTGCGATGATGGCAATACGGTATTTTGCGCATCTTTAGATTCTCGAACATCTAATGTATTCAGTGTATTAGCCATATCCCAAGAAACTTGGGCCTTTGAATTTGTAGGTTCTATTTCAGATTTCTCTGGCACAGTTTCATCAATATTTACATTTGAATGACATGTGCTGTCAGATTCGTTAGTTTGAAGGATAGCAGATACAGTCCACTTTGAATGAGATGAAGCTTTTGAAGTGGTTGTCATATTTTGCAGTGATGAACCTTCGTAAGTCGATGATATTGGTGTGATCATTGATTGAACATCCCATCTTAATGGTTTAGCCAGCTGTTGTTCAAGACATGCTTCACGAAGCCATCTCTTTTTTGGTTGTAATCGGTCTAAAGGCCGTCTTACTGGTGTAATGGGAAGCTTTAGTGACGTCGATTCCTCATCTTCCGATACTTGTAGTACAGCACATGCTTCTGCTGGATCCTCATCTTGACTTTCTTCTTGACTATCCTGACTCTCTCCACAGTAAAGCCTTTGGTTCGGTGGTTTACGATCCACATTCTCTTGTTCTCCAGCTGCATCCATCATTAAACCCTTTCTAGACTTAATTCTTTTGTGATTTTCAGCGCTGCTTTTCCATGTTTTCTTCTTCCGATCATTCTTTCCCGTTGGTGTTCTATCCTCCCGCTCTCTGGCCATTTTATAACGCTCCAACCAACGGGCAACATCGTGTGGTAATTCAGTATTTCCAGATACAGGCTTTAGTACAAAATCATCAGATCTTGTTAGCGTAGCATATGGATGATCTGGACAATGTCTATTAGCATGTGTAAACCGCATTTCACATCCAGATTCAGTGCAAAGAAAGGGTTTCTCTCCTGTATGAAGACGCTGATGAGTTTTTAGTTGTCCAGATTGAGTAAAAGCTTTCGTGCACCCTGGATAATCACAAGGATAAGGCCTTTCACCTAAACAAAATCAAAATAAAAAATATATATTATTCTTTAATCCGACATCGCAATATTTAAATATTCACAATATTTTAGACCAATGCAAAATTAATAATACTGGCCTGTAACAAGAATGGATTTATCTAATTTTATACCATGCATAGATAAAAAGAATGTAGCTCAATTTTATATACTAACGTATATAGGTTGTTAGCAAATAATTTATTCTTAAGCATAACGAATTCTTTCAGATACTGTCTACTTTTATCTTGTTCAAATGATTAGGTTAAAAATTGCAGAATTTTTTATATGAACGATCGGAGTGCGTTTCTACCTATTCTGAAAATAAAGACGCAGATCGGTAGAATAGATTCACAACTTTATGACAGAACAGATGAATGTTGACTATGTTCATTACTTAAAATCTATATAAGAAATAAATATCGTACTAATTCAAATATAACGTAGTCGTCTTATACGTTAAAATCAGAGGTATGAAGCTTTTGTGCTCTCAAACAAAGAACAACGGACATTTTGTTTGCATGAGAAGGAAGCCCCGTGTTAACCTCTGAATTACTAAGTCGAAATAGCATAAAGTAATACAAATTAAAAAGGATCTTAACGAGTGCGCTTTTTCTAGATAGGCATATAATTAGAATCTTGCATAACTCTTATTGATTGGTATAACGAACGCGTTAGCCACGCCGGAGCCATTTAATTATTTAAAGCGGCTGTATCATGGCGGTTGGCGGGACGCGTGATCGCAACTATGTATTACAAACTGCATAAAAAGGACGCGAAATATCATTCGGAGCTGTAAATTATACGATCGAGCTCATAATGAAGAGCTGAACTATTTGTGCTATCGAAAAATATGTAAATATTCCATTTTATCGATATATTCAAGCGGCGTACCTGTATGAGTGCGCAAATGCGCCTGAAGACTTTTTTCGCGTGGAAATACTCTGCTGCAATAAGTACACTTGATGCTACTAGGAGAAGTGCTACCCTGCATCATAAGATTCGAGAGAGCATCTGCTCGTGGACGTCCTCGACGATGGCTCTCAGATCCTCCAGAACGTGGTCCAGCAGGACCGGCCCGCATGGCGGCCACGCCGTTTTCCCTGTACTCCGGGGAAGAGCATGAACTACCTGGACTAAGGTTCACATTTCGTGCTTCCTCGCCCCAATTCCATGGATAGAACATAGTATCGCACATTGGAGGACTCGATGGCAATGCGTCTGCCAACGGTCGAGACTCTCGTTTCGGAGTGTGCAGCTCCATTTTACACAGTTTCCTATATCCCTTAACGTTTATTCCTCTTTCTATCCACGGCACGTCGTGGACGCAATACTCTTCTATATAAGAGTTTTATCTGATTTTCTTATTATTTGTTGTCCTCGTCACCGTCACCGTCGCCGTCGTCGTCGCCGTCGACACACACCAAAACACCACACGCGACCTCTTACTTGCCGTAGCCACCGCGTGCAACTGATTAACCGCCAAAACACGTTTGCAACGGTGCCGCATGCTCCTATACAGTCCACCTTAAAAGTTTCTTCCTATTGAATATTTAACCAAATCATATATCGTTTGAACCACTGTGCCAAAGAAAATTTTAGCTTGATTTTTCTATTTCTTTTCAATATTTGTTTTGTTAGCATAACAGAAATATGGTTTATCGTAGATTTTCAATGTAGGTTTACATAATCGAAATAGCATGAGCTCCGTAACGACGGCGTCCGTGACAAAGAATTGGTGGGAAAAATAGCGCTAGTAGTTAGCTACTCAAATACAATTCGTCATGTACTTACTATTTTTCATTTCTTTTTTATATTTTTTTCGTAATGAAATATGACGAACAATTAGAGAGTTGAGATAAGACTACATACTCTTGTTTAGATGGTCTATGAGACTATTGCAGTGTTTCTCATGAAAACAATAGACAATTTTTCGGCTGAAAAATGTAATGAAAGAAATGTTTCTTTTTCTTTTATTTTACATATACGTATGTAAGAGAACTTTAAGTTAAATAGGACAAGTACATCTGGCAATGCTGTAAAAATATGAATTTCGCGCGCGCGCGCTACTGCTGTTCCAACTTGTCGTTACCAAATGTTGGTTGTTTTAATAAAACTGTTTCAGTTGTATTTAATATTACCTAAAAATATTTTAATCATTGACGAAGATTAAGTAATATCAATCAATGTTTTTTCACATTTTATATCGTTAATGTAATTCTTCATAATATATCGTGGACAATGTTACTACGAACTCAAAAATCATAAGAACAAGAACTATTTGAAACCGATTGATAAATAGTACTGTTTTAAATATTAATGCAAAATTTTCGTATCGATTAAATCATCTTGTTTTTGAATTGTTTAAAAATATATTTATAAAATTGAATAAATATAATATTGATGTATGATATAATCAACAATAGTGTATAAAATTTCCCGCGAGAAGCTCCGCTCGCTGATTGGTCCGATCCGTTGGAAATAGTAACTTAAAGCTACCGCTGTTTTTGGTAGCTACTGTATTTTTGAAAAATTCACACTATTTACATCTCATAGCAAAGAATAATTTTTCAAAAATTCCTTTAGGTCATACTAAGAATGTTATAATGGCAACAAATTTAAGAGACAAACTTAAACATCAGAATTATATTGAATTTCTGAAAGAACAAGGAACTGCTACCGACAATCGTCTCGGCCATTGGAGAATCGCAAGTTGACTTATATTTGAATTATCTCAAGAACTTGAAACAATTTAGTGATGTAACAATGAAAAAAGTGACAGACCAAATTTTGGTAATGTTATAATAATAATAATGTTGACAAGAAATAAGAAATAGTATATGTTGGTGGGGGAAAGGTGCGCTGGGTGCAAGATGACAATGCGGTCCCTCCCTGAGTGCAAACCTCGTGGTGAACTATCTTCGACTCGGCCATATTGGAATATTGGATGTCTCTGTTACACAAGGGCTCAAAAGTAGCCGTGAAATTTTCGCATAATCCTCGACGAAAAGAGGATACGAGACGCCATGGAGAACACATACAGCATCGCCGTCGCTAACAAATTCATGTTGGCTCTGGACGAGGATGAAGACCCGCTAGAAGTGCTGAAGGTTCGTGAACAAGAGAAGGAGGCGAAAAAGAAGGAGAAGCTCTCGGAAAAGGAGAATAAGAGTAAGCAACCGGACGCCCAAAAAATCGTTGGCGTTAAGACTCCAAAAACTCGCGTGATAAAGGAGACCCAGCAGCAACCCTCGAAAGTCCAGGAGCCTAAAAAGGAGCAAGGTTAGTCGGCATTCCATTCTACTTCATTTCGGCCTCGTGCGCGCTTATGATGGCCGTCGTATCGGCTCGCGTGTACATGTGCTTTTACCTTGCACTATATTTCTATCATTACTTTTATCCTTTCTAGTGCTTCACTTATACATTGAAAAGGCTTTTCTTTCTTTCTATGGCTGTAACCACTTATCGTTGGATAATATTAACAGGCTTTTCTTACATCTAGAGATTTTGGCGCATTTGTTGACCACGAGGTCGACTGTTATCCTTTAGCATTGCCGGGATCATTTTTGTTCACCTCTCTCTTCTTGTATAGTTCGTATTAGTTCCTATGTAAATCTCAGCAACTACTTTTCTGCACATTTTATTTCTCATAGTCCTGGTTTTTGACAATTTTGACTTTCTTATTACTGATAGTTTTTCCTTTTATCAAATATGAATAATAATTTAATTGAAAAATTCTGATTGCTAATAATCATCATATTTAATCACTGATGTAATTGGGAAAATGCATTAACTGTATGAGAAACACATTGAGCATGTATACTAGACAATTTGACGATCATTACGTATGACAATACAAATATTCTTATATGAAAACGTTTTAAGTATTTAGTTTACTTAAAGGTAACAAATAATGCTCAAATGCTCGAATTAAAAAATTGCATGATATTATGTTTTATCACAACTTTTGTTATATTTGTTTCATGTTATGTGTATATAGATACTTATATATGTATAGTTTTGTTTTTGATGCTTCGCATTATATTTCTGGTGTTGCTTCGATTTATTAAGTGACTTAATTTTCTTGTTTTCTACTGCAAGGTTCATTGTTTATATATTTAGTTTCTGGTATTCTACTATCTATGAACAAGTGATACTAATATCATTTGTTTCTACATAATTGATTAATATTAATCACCCCATTTCACAATCAGCTTTATAAACCCTATTTTATGTCAAAAGAATGAGCGTTACTAAACCTTATAGGGTTGCTACTTTCTATAATTTCTTTTAAAGTCATTTTTAGAAGAATTTCTATTTCTATGTTTAGGTGAGAAAAAACCTTCTCAACCAAGATCTAGTGGCGGCGATCGCAACGTTAAGTTCTCTGGCGAATCTCGCGAAGAACGTAACAACAGGCGCAATCGTGAAGATGGCGAGAGAACTCCCCGTGGACAGGGACAGGGGCAAGGACAAGGGCAGGGACAGGGACAAGGGCAAGGAGAAATCAGACGTGGACCTTCTGGGTTAGTTTCATTTTAGTATAATGTCATTTTTATCAAATATTTTTAATTAAGTATTTGATATCCATTTGTTTTTCAAATTTTTCTTAGACGTCTGGAAGCACAATTCTATTTTGTAATATTAACCAGAAACAAATGGCAAATTTTAGAGAAGGTCGTGATACCCGCGAGTTTCGCGGCTCCGGTGACACTCCCCGCGGAGAATTTGGAGAACGCCGTGGCCGAGGTGGAGCTCGTGGAATTGGTGGACGAGGACGTGGCGGACCTCGTGGGGGTCGTGGTGGCTTTGACAACCGCGGAAAACGAGAGTTTGATCGCCAGTCCGGTTCGGACAAAACGTATGTACTCATTAGAAATTTCGTTTTTCATGCAACGTTTTATTTATGCTGCTGTTTGTTAAACGTGGATACGGATTTAACGTGAGCAAACGGGTTTCTTTGTTATACTCAATCAAACAAATATTTGCTTGTAATATCCTAACTTTACTGTAAATTCTTCTTATCCTACATATTTTATTCATAAAAGCTTTATCCGTATCGAACATGGTAAAAACACGTTTCAATGCATTGTATCAAATGTACAGATTAAGGATAAACTCCAAAAGTATAAAATTTTGGAATCTGCCTCAAGATGTATTACTTCTTTATTTTTGTTCGCTTTAACTGATATTGTATAATATTCTGTTACATATGTCTGTAAACAGGCAACCGAGGTAAGGATTTTTGTCATGTACTTCACGTTTTTGCATGTGTTAGTCGTTTGCTTATTTTGTCTGATTTCAGTCGTAATTTTCTTTTCCGGCGTTTTCGAAACTACCAAAACTATGTCAAGTTAAAGTTGTGCCCATTCTTAACAATATGATTCATTATCAAAGCTAAAACATTAAAACAAAAAAACAGATGAGTTTAAAGTTGCATTGAAAATGTCATAATTTCCAGTTTGTGTTCAAGAATGTTACCTGATTATATGGATTATTAATGAAAGCAGGCATGGTTACAGCGGAGTGAAACCAGTGGACAAGAAGGACGGCGCTGGCAGCCACAACTGGGGCACTCACAATGACGAAATCGAGTAAGTACTTGAATAAATAATTTGGAAAATTCCTAATGAAATGAGGTGCATGGAAATAATATGGTATATTTTTTACAGAGAAAGTATGAACCCGGAAAGTCAGGATTGGTCTCCGGAAAAGCCTGAGGGTGACGCTGCGCAGCCGTCAGCCGAAGTTAAGGAAGGCGAGAACGCTGTAGATACCTCTACGGAAGAGAAACCTGCTGAGGAAGAGTCGCGCGAGTTAACTCTCGACGAATGGAAGGCTCTACGCAGCACCCGCGCTAAGCCGCAGTATAATTTGCGCAAAGCAGGCGAAGGCGAGGATCTGTCTCGCTGGAAGAAGATGTACCCTCTCGAGAAGAAGAAGGAGGGTGCTGAAGAAGAAGACGATGAGGAGGAAGAATATGATGCAGCAGCCGAGTATCCGCAACGCGTTGGAAGGCAAAAACGCGTTTTGGGCATCGATATTCAATTCAGTGACTCTCGACGTGGAGCTGGAGGACGCGGAGGTCGTGGTGGCCGTGGTGCTCGTGGAGAACGTGCCAATGGTCGCGGATTCGGCAATCGTGGCACTTCCAGAGATGGCGATAACCGTGGTGGAGCTCCTGTAAGTATTACGTACTCACTTAAGTTGTAGTATTACCGATTTTAAGTATCTCTTCTCTTTCCACAAATTTGTGTTAAACTTAATCTACGTCTGTTATCATTGCTTAGGATGCGGTAAAGCTGCAATCTGTTCAACCGGAACAGAGGTCACCACGTGGACGTCAGAATGCTCCAAAGGTTGACGATAAGCATGATTTTCCTTCATTAGGATAGGTAATCTGTCCCGGTGAGAGCACAGAGTCCCACCACAAAAGCCACCACCGCCACCACAATCACAACTATGATCACTAAAACTACAACCAAAACCATCAACAGTCCCGCATCCATAAGAATACTATTAATGCATAATGCGATTCACCCTTGCAGACGATAATATGACACACAGGAGTACCGACGAACACACATACCTATTACACATAAAACACTGACATGAGCCTAGACACATCGGAATTACGTGAGGCGAGCACAGCAGAGCTTAAACAACGATCCCTTGTACTTGTGAAAAGCTGTACGACGATAGTTCGTAAGAGGCACTAGTCCAGAGAAAAAAATATACGCAGAGATGGCGAATAAGAGCAAGCGGGAAAAGTACTTTCGCGAGCATCACAATGGCCAAACAACATGAACACAAGAAGGACGCATGACAATTTCAAGAAATTTGCGAGTGAGTATATTTGGGAATAATCAGAGAAGTATTATTTATGACCGCGTGGGTATGAGAAACCGGAAACGATCGACTAATTACCCACGGTGGCCTCTACGAGAAACTCTTGATATATTCCAAGAGTACAAAGGCGTACTCTTAATAGCGCGCGGGTAGACAGTGAACAAGTTTTACCTAGAAGCGGATCTGAAATAAATTTGTGTCCTCGGTTTTAATTTTAACGTCATATCGAAGGCCTAATTGAGGCTCGACACATCACCGATACGTAAGAACGTGTGTACAATACTTCTTTAGGCGTAAATTTTAAACACCTTTTCTGTTTTATAATTTTTATACGGTGTTCAGGGAAGCCTTCCTCTCTATGCGTTCGGCGATTGCGCGCCGTGCATAAAAACTACAGGACTTCTATTAAAGATTGTATTTCTATATAAGGAATATTTGGAATCCTGAAAACGTCTAGATAGCTATTATGATAAATTCAGCTTATATAGAAATACTATATAGGAACTTTTTCTTTCGATGATATAACCAGTCCGTGATAAGTTAACGATTAAGTCACCCTACACTCGACATCAACACAGCTTTACATTTGTATGACAGACCCGATGAGAGCCAAGTGAGGTAAACTAAAAAACAAGTTCAGGTAGACAAATAAATTCAGTCCGATACAATTACGATACGTTACACTTATGCATCGTTCGTCATATCTTTTTTTTTTTATTACGAGCCGCTATATTATGTACTATGTTTGTTATAGATTGAAATAAACCTGCTAAAAATTCACATCCCTCTCTATACAGAAAAAAAATGTTACAATAATATTTGATGACAAAGAAAACTTAGGTATATGTGTAAATAACAATATTTACAAAAATAAATTGTGACAAGACCAGCCGAATTGAGTTGAATCAATTTCAATCGATTGTCCGGTACTGCTTGAAATACATCGTGATAAGGAACACTGAACTAGTAAATAAAATCCATATTATCGGTATTCTTGAGATATGTTCTCGTCGAATGACGCACGCGGCGTTTACATTATAGATAGAATGCTCACCAGTTCTTTGGTGAAGTGCTAATAAGGCTCATGCTTCTTCAACTGAGAACTTTGACTCGGCAAAGGGAAAATAAAATAGTATTTCACGATACGACAGGGACAAAACTTTCGAATAGACTGTAAAAGATATGATAGTGGTATAAAAATGTACTGACGAGTATATTATATAGCATTCTCTTAATAAAAAAATTGATGAAACCAACGAAACTTTAATTAATACTAATCACTCGTAGACAAGACAAACCCTGAATGGCCTCTTACAATCACAGTCGTTTCTAACAGCGTAATAATATTTCTTACGATTATCGTTAATTTTTCTCTCACTCAAGTATAGATATATCAGTCAAAAGTATTTGAGAATACCGCAACGTAACTTTAAACGGAAGTGATATTGCCGCCATTTTACGTGTCGTTTCGTAACTTGTTTTTTGAATGACAGAGGGAGCTACGTGTCATGGCAGGAAACGTATTCGTCCTTTTTCCGCAGGAGGACGCGGCGTCCGCGTTAAACGCTGCTCCGACGAGTGGAGGATGCGTGCGTGAGAGAGCAAGAGAGAAAGAGTGATTCGAAGAGGGAGAATAAATAGTAGAAGGACAAGAAAGAGAGAGAAAGCGTTGAAGCAGAAGAGTGGGGAATGGAGCCGATGGATGGTGAGGTGAGATGAGTACGATGAGCGAGAGAGGAGAAGAGCCGACAAAGAGAGGAGGTGGTTGGAGCGCTGAACGCACTATGGAGCACACGCTGTAGCGAGAGCCCCCAACCAACCCCATGCAGCCCATCGTCAGTCGAATTTTAATGGCGGCCGACTCCGACTCCCCGCGTAGTGTTATTGTGAATTGACGGACGGCACGGTGCTACCGTGTGTGTCTCCGGCGAGCTGAGAATACGCGCTAAAACATCTCGCTAGCGGAACTATCGTGCTGGAGTGTAGTTTGCAAGAGCTCATTAGGACGCGCGACTACCTTGCCAAGTTATGGTAGACACGAGCGATGTGCCCTAGCGACTCTAACGCAAGAGCGTTTCAGAGTGCGAGTACCTTCACTCCCTACGAAACCTTCACTCCTTCGCAAACAAGGTAACCAAGTGAGGATTTATGAATTATATCTTTTTATCCTCGATAAAAGCCACCCTTCCTTAAAGACCGTTTAGTCCTGATCCACGAAATCCACCTTGTAGTTCGTGGAAACTCCCGTCGTCTCACGTCTCTCGTCTCTCCTTGTCGAAAACCTTTTTCTTTTGTCTCTAACTCACGACATATCTTTATCTCTACGGCATCATCATCCTTACTGCTGAAAATTCTACCTTCTCAAGAACCTAATACATATTCTTGTACTCCGAATGAGAGCCGCTCCTTGCGACCTGCTAGGATAAGATTGCCTTTGTGCGCGACGACACGGTGGCCTTAGCTGTCAAGTGCACCTAGTGTCGTCATCAGTCCTCGTCTATGCTGCTGAAGGGCGGTGTGTAACCAGAGGCTGCACTCCGGAAACGTGGAGCCATCTGCTTCAGCTTTTCTCTATGATTATCAGCGATTCTTTTTATGATACATTTTCTTACTCTTTTACCGCTCGCAATATTCTTTACGAATTAATGCGACGCTATCTCTCATCTCGTTTCGGCGTATTTGCCGCACACTCTTAATCGTACTTGTACTATCTTATGTATAATTTTATTAATTTGTATATATCTTGATGTTAAATACTTTCTTGCATGTCATCTTTTACGGCTTGCTTTTCATTTTAGATAAACTAATAATGAAGTTTGCCAGCACTTAAGTACTCACTTGTTACGAATATATTTTGCGATTAAAAGATCTTTTTAGGAACTTCGAAATTTTTTCTATCAACTCTCAACCATTTTTAAATATAAACTTAATAACTTCACAATTGTTTATGATATGCTTGGAGATAATAACATTGTTACAAAATTTATTTACTCATTTTTTGAAGGAAAATATTGATGTGATACATTTGGGACAGATGTATTTATCAAATATTCAATTCTATTAATTCTAAGAGAAAAAATACTTTGATTAATAAAATATTATACATTTGAAATTTGTAAGTATAATACAACACTAAATCACGTATGATGCATCCATACATAATAGGATAATACTCTTCAATTCTGAAATGGATTTTCTTCCTATTATCCATCACATTATATGGTATACCTTAGGTTTGCATTAATGCATGTGCTCCTTGGAATTGTCTTGCACAACACTCCTTGTTAAATTAATGGCATAGCAATTAGGTCCATTAATAATGGAGGTTCGAAACAATAGACATGGAATGATGGTTCTTTACTATACATATAACATTTGTTTAATATTCCCCTCCTTAAATCAATTCACTGTCTCACCGTATCTCTTTCCAACAATGATCTCTTAAGTAGGCATTCGGTATTACAATTCCCTCATCAGAATTCTACTGTGCAAAACAGGAGTCCTCTAACTAGTGTTATAGCCAAAAAACACATTAAATGCAAGTTGTTCATCGAAGAAGCAATCTGTGCTATTCGACTATGGACAAACATCTCTCAAATCTTTTATTAAAATGTACAGTTTGTTAATTATGTTCAATATGCAGATAGAAACAATAATAAACATGAGTGGTTTTTCTCATTTCAGGAGAAGACAGTGAGCATCATGCTGGTGCTTGGTTACAGGCATAGCTGGTAGTGCCGTCCCGAAACTGGCCAACTACCGGCGGGGCACACACTCCAATCACACCTTGTAACCTTCCCTTCCTTGTCCTGTACACAAGTGAGCTACCCACTGTCTTTAGCACACCATGAGACTCCTTGGACTGAAACCTTTTCCCGTTTCGCCACCTGTGCCACCGCCGCCCCGGTTGCCACTGCCGTCCGTTCGCTTAGCATCATTTTCGTCCGCATCAATCGTAGCGTGGCTCTTGGTTACCCTGGTAACTGCCGCTATGGATGCGCCAGCCAGCTCGATCCCTCCATCGTCAGAAAATCAGTCACCTCACGTAGTTGCACAATTTCCGCTCCCGGTTGGACAGCGATACGAATTGTACCCTTTGGATCCAAACACGACGAGAGAAGGAGCCCTGCGTTTTAATCATCTCACCATAGATCCTTCCACTGGACGACTTTATGCAGGAGCCGTTAATAGACTTGTGCAGTTAGACTCTAATCTCAGACTTGAAGAACTGGTTTCAACAGGTACCATTTGACAGTTTGTAATATTAATCGTAATTACTTGAACCGGGTTTCTTTTACCTGATTAATTGGAATTTAATCTCTACAGGGCCTAGAATGGACAACCCGCAGTGCCATGCGACTGGTTGCCCGTCCAGGGACATGACTACATCCCTCATGGATAACGTAAATAAGCTGCTTGTCGCTGACCTCGAATCCCGCACTCTGATTGCCTGCGGTTCTCTACTTCAAGGCGCTTGTGAAAAGTACAAAATGGCAAACATATCCCTTAAGCCGGATTTCATTCCTACTAGCGTGGCAGCTAACGATGAAAATTCCTCTACTTACGCGTACATCGGTCCAGAAAGATATAATCCTTGGGGAAAGACTAATATTCTCTACGTGGGCACCACTTTCACGAATAACGGAGAGTATCGGCATGATGTTCCTGCCATTTCCAGTCGAAATCTCTACACTTTAGAGTTTGCCGAGTACACATTCAATAAGCAGTCAATTTTACACATCGACGTCAAATATCGAGATCACTTTTTAGTCAAATACGTATATGGCTTCAATGCAAGTGACTACGCATACTTTGTACTTGTCCAGAAACAGTCCTATCTTCCTGAACAGGAAGAGCTGGGCTATATTTCAAGACTGGCTCGAAGTTGCATAAGCGATCCAAACTATGACAGTTACACGGAAGTGACGCTGCAGTGCAGCGTTGATCTCGGTGATGGTAGACAACATCTCTATAATTTGGTACAGGATGCTAAAGTTGCTGCAGCTGGTGCTGATTTAGCTATGCAGCTAGGAATTGCTGTCGGCGATCCTGTCTTCGTTTCTGTTTTTTCTCCAAGTAAAGGTATCACCAACGAACCCCTCCCACGTTCGGCAGTGTGCGTTTATAGTTTACAAGATATCGAAACAAAGTTCAACGAGAACATACACATGTGCTTTAATGGTAGCATCAAGTATAGGAATATGGGATACGTCAGTGGTCCGATTCTGGATGGAAAATGTCCCACAGCAGGAGTAAGTATACAAAGGACGAGGAAAAGAAAGGATATTCTTTCTCATATTTAATGTCTCATTCTTTATTCACTCAATCGAATTTTGCTTTACAGACGACAGGAAATATTTTGGATTTCTGTGAAGTGGGCCTAAAGATATCCGGAGTCTCTCCGATCATTGGCCAAGCCGTTTTACACTTTGCGAATGCGTATGTAACGTCCATAACTGTTACAAATACGGAAAGTCACACTGTTGCATTCCTGGGTACTCACGACGGTGTTCTCAAGAAGGTTTTGCTTTCTGGAATCGAAGCCTCCATATACGAGAGCATCGTTATTGACAAGGGACAAAAATTGCTGCCTGACACTGCTATTGCACCTGGCGGAGAGCACATCTATGTGCTGTCCACGTCAAAGATATCTAAAGTCAAAGTTGAACACTGCAGCGGCTACACGAACTGCAGCAGTTGTCTGGATGCTAAAGATCCATATTGCGGTTGGTGCTCCCTTGAAAAACGGTGAGTTGTTCGTAGTGACAATCCTGATTCATGAACATTCGCCTTTATAAGATCAGCCGGAAAATCGACTTCCTCCTTTAAAGATACAAGCACTTAATTATGCACAATCTATCTTACGTCCAGCTTCGGAGGACCCATATTTCCTTGTTGTTTGTTCAGTAAACCTTCTATTCTGAGCTGTTTTGATAGGGATGTAAACCGCACGTAGTTCGGCTCAAACGCGCACCTTATTTTTATTCCACACATTTCTTAGAAGAGGAGTAACGGAGAGCCGATGAAATTCGAACTGAAAAAAAAATTCCTCGCATGCTTAGGCGTCATGTCTCGGCTATTTATAATGTCGCGCCATATCGCTCGAGATTTTCATATGAAATACTTCTGTTTCAGGTGCACTGTCAGGCGAGCTTGCCAGAAAGCGAGTCACAGTAGTCCAAGGTGGTTATCCTTGGGCACGGGACAACAATGCATCGATTTCGAACAAGTCCTTCCTGATCGCATACCAATTAATCAGATGACTACTGTTCAATTAAGTATCAGAACTCTACCTGAACTGCCAACCGGTGCCAAGTACAAGTGTGTCTTTGGCAAGGCTGAGCCCATCGACGCCCAAATGACTGGTTACGGATTATCTTGTCCTACACCACCTGTCTTTGGTAGACCTAGCATTCCTGAGGATGCTGATCACGTCCTAGTACCTCTATCTGTACGTTCCAGCGAAACGAACAAGGACTTCGTATCACGAAATTTTGCATACTTTGATTGCTCGAGGCATACAGTCTGTGCAGATTGTGTAAAGTCCCAATGGGCCTGTAGCTGGTGTGTCTATGAGAATAAATGTACACACAATACCAGCGGATGTCAGGGCAACATCATATCTGGTGAAAATGTAAGATATTTTTGCTAATCTAATAAAAAATATTAAATATCATGTTTTTTTTTCACCATACACTCATGCACAATTTTGTTATCTGTTACAGAATCAAGCCAATTTGGCAGCTCACGGTGTTCAATATTGCCCAAGATTTGTGGAACGTAAGGAACCTTTGATGCTTCCGAATAATGTACCTAAGGAAATAGTCCTGGAGGTAGAGAATTTGCCGCATCCTCAAGTGGGACACACTGGATTCCAGTGTATCGTTACTATAGAAGGGGCGAACCTGCGCGTTCAAGCTCGGGTCGACTCTAGCCGCTTCATAGTATGCGACAAGACGATTTACTCCTACGAGGCTGTGACTGGTGAATATTCAGCTGCGGTGACGGTAGTTTGGAATACGAATCACCACGTGGATCAAACGACAATTGTGCTATACAAGTGTGAAGTGTTGGGATCTCATCGCGAACATGCGGACTGCTCTCTTTGTGTAACGAGGGATCCACGTTTTGAATGTACCTGGTGCGGTAACAGTTGCGTCTATAGACATTCCTGCCTGCAGTCACCTTTCGCGGAGTGTCCTAAACCCAGAATAGACATGATAAAACCTTTGAGCGGTCCCATCGAGGGTGGTACTTTGGTCACTATCGAGGGAAGTAATTTGGGCCTCAAGGAAAGCGACGTCGAAGGCAAGATACACATTGGGAACACTCCGTGCACTCTCGTCGATTACGAAGTTTCCGTCCGTATTGTTTGTCGCACCGGGCGTCACGAAGCTACGGACAGGGCATCGGTTGTCGTTGGCAATGATGCTGGTTATACAGAAAGTGCTGTCTTCTTTAATTACAAGGACATCCAGCTCTCTGGCGTTTATCCTGCCATGGGGCCCCAAAGCGGTGGAACTCAGCTCGCCATCTCCGGCATGTATTTGAATATTGGTAGCACCATCTCTGCGTACCTGGATGAGCTTCCTTGTCACGTGAACGCGACGCAAGCAAGCAGTACTAGATTAACCTGCATAACGAGTAAAGCTGGTCAAGTGCGACGGACCCGCCGACTAACCCTCAGCATCGACGGGGCTAATCGTACCTTAGTAGGCAATCCCTACAACTATACTCACGATCCAACGATCATGGAAATTAAACCATTAAGAAGTTTCGCTTCTGGTGGACGTATGATCACTGTTCATGGTACCAACCTGGACACCATCCAAAAACCAGAAATGGAAGTGTATTTCGACAACGAACTTTTACCAGTCAATAAAACTATCTGCTCTGTGCTCAACCCGACGCAGATGGAATGTCCGAGCCCTAGTGTAGCAGAAAGATTCAGATCACTTCAACGTACTAAACGTTCTTTACACAAACACGGTTCTCAAGCATTAAAAATTAAAGAACATCAACTAGCTCTAAGGATCGGATTCGTTATGGATCACGTGGAAAGTGTACGAGACTTGGAGAAACATTTTCAGAGCTTGAGAAATCAATTGCTCTACGTAGAGGATCCAAAATTCTTTGCGTTTCCGGGTAACGTGAAACTGTATAAGGGTGATCCTTTGGTCATAGAGGGAGACAATCTAAATTATGCGAGTGATGAGTCTGACGTGAATGTCACTGTAGGCATTATGCCATGTAATATAACGTCGCTTGCCTTAACACAATTGGTCTGTACTCCGCCAGATCAACAACCTGCTGATACGGATGAACTTGGCGTTAAAACAGAGCAGGGTCTTCCTTTGGTCGTTGTACGAGTTGGTCAGAGTCTTCGATTTCGCATAGGATATTTGCATTATGATGTCATCAAGTCTTACCCAATACCACCCGAGGCAATTGCTGGAATAGCTGCAGGAACTTTCGGTTTGGTTTTCTTATTCGTACTGGTCTTGGTGGTGTACCGAAGAAAGAGCACACAGGCAGAACGGGAATACAAAAGGATACAAATTCAAATGGATACGCTTGAAAGTAATGTGAGAATGGAATGCAAGCAAGCGTTTGCCGAATTGCAAACAGACATGACGGATTTAACTGCGGACCTTGAATCATCTGGAATACCGACTTTGGACCACAAGAATTATATCATGAAAGTTTTCTTCCCTGGTGTAATAGATCATCCGATATTGAATGATCCCAGAGTCCGTAGTAACACATCCAGGACAAACTATGACGCAGCGATGATACAGTTCGAACAGCTCATCAATAACAAGTGTTTCATTTTAACGTTTATCGAGACTTTAGAGGCGCAAAAAGACTTTAATATCCGAGACAAGGTTAATGTAGCGTCTCTCTTAATGGTCGTACTAATGGGAAAAATGGAATATGCTACTGACATACTCATGAATCTTTTACTCAGGCTAATCGACAAATCCGTCGACACGAAACATCCTCAGCTTATGCTGAGGCGAACTGAATCCGTGGTAGAAAAGATGCTCACAAATTGGATGGCTCTTTGCATGTACAACTACTTAAAGGATTATGCTGGTTCTTCCTTGTTCTTGCTATTTAAAGCAATCAAGCATCAGATAGAAAAGGGTCCAGTTGACGTGATAACCCATGACGCTAGATACTCCCTTTCAGAGGAGAGACTTCTCCGCGAACAGATAGAACACAGCGTGGTCACCCTGCACGTAGTTCAGGATGACCTCGATGAGAAAATTCAATGCAAAGTTTTAGATTGCGATACGATAAGTCAAGTGAAATCAAAAATACTCGATGCTCTCTATAAGAATACCCCATTCTCTCTGAGGCCCTCTATTCACGAGGTGGATTTAGAATGGAGGCACGGTAGAGGTGGACACCTTACACTGCAAGATGAAGACCTTACGACCAAGTGCAACAGCGACTGGAAGAAGATAAATACCCTAGCTCATTACGGCGTCAAGGAATCAGCCGTAATGTCTTTAATTCCACGTCAGAATGATGGTTTCTCCGTAACGTGTAAACCACCTTGTCACAACTGCAAACCATCTCATCATCATCATGCAAATCACTGTTCGTCCGCCCATCTTCCATCCACGCCGAATCATGCGATGATCAGTCCAATTATGTATTCTCATCCTCCGAGCGGTATTTACTTCAACTCCCAAAATTCGCCGCCCATTATAACGGCAAACGGTGACATCGAAAGTGGTCATGGTGGAAATCAAAGACTATATCATTTAGTGAGGCCCATCGAGGAAGGGCATTACCCACCCGGAATAGGACTTGCTGGTGGCAAACATCCGCATCCCGAGCGTACGCATAAAGCTATTCCAGAAATATTTCTCACGAGACTCTTGTCGACTAAAGGAACCGTGCAAAAGTTCGTGGACGATTTTCTGAACACAATACTTACAGCAAACGAAGCTTTACCCAGTGCAGTCAAATGGCTGTTCGATCTCCTGGATGAAGCAGCGAAGAGACACGGTATAATTGATCCTGAAGTACCTCATGCTTGGAAATCAAACAGTCTGCCACTCAGGTTTTGGGTGAACTTCATAAAGAATCCAGATTTTATGTTCGACATAAATAAATCAACAACAGTGGACTCGAGCCTCTCTGTGATAGCTCAAACATTCATGGATTCATGTTCAACAACCGAGCATAGATTAGGCAAGGATTCCCCGTCTAACAAATTACTCTTCGCTAAGGATATTCCTCACTATCGGGAAAAGGTCGGCCGATTTTATACCGACGTACAAAGATTACCACAGATCACTGATCAGGAAATGTCTAGTGCCATGCAGCAGCTCAGCGCATCCCATGCTAATGAATTTGACGTAATAGCCGCGCTGAAAGAGCTCTATATTTACGTCAGCAAATATTATGAACAAGTAAGTACATACCAGCTCTACTTAAGCATTGAAATTTATATTTGACATATCAAGCAATCCTATTACCAATTAACTCTGATAGCACGTAACATAACTCTACGAATTTCAGATCCTAGAGGCCTTGGAGACAGATGCGGGCTGCCGCAAGTTACACCTAGCCCACAGGCTGGAGAACGTGGCGTGCACGCTCGAGGGTGAAGAGACCAGTGCCTGCTGACATAACCTCTCGACCTCCATTCCTGAACCCGTCGACCTCCCAAAAAACACTGACTAGTGCCTCCACTTCACGCACCACATACACCTCATTACATGTACAAACATACACATCATGCATTTACCAAACAGTGCATAACCCCTACCGTTTCGCTGTGGCAACATAGAGGAGCATCTTCACCACATTCTTCGTCAAGTGATCGAGGACGCAAAACAAGGAAGACACCACGTAACTCATTCAACAAAGGAATGAAGAATGTTAGGATTCTAAAGGATGCGACGAGTGAAAAGGGGGGCAACTCGGCTATCTCTATGTAATACTCCTTAATGAAGGACAGCGTCGTGACTGCGTGTGACGTGTGGCGTGTGTCGTGTAGCGTGTAGTGTGTAGCGTATAGCGTTTAGCGAGTAGCGTGTCATTATACGGGCGAGGACAATGAAGTTTTCGTAATCGCAGTACCGTTCGGAGCTCGCGTTAAGTATAATGTTGCTTGAAGAGGCAAGGCAAAGAGAGAAAGAAAAAAAGGTCAAAGGCATGGTCCGTTGCGGAGCATGGAAACGCGCGACCCGTTTGGATTCCGCGTTCTCGTCCGCACGCCCGCAACATACGAAACACAACACAACGTTATAAAAGTAAGTGAGAACGCCATAGTGTCCACCAGACTGTTTGTACAAGAAGATGTACGACAGCAAGTAGTCTGTGATCTGAGCACGCGCGGCTATGCCTACTATCTTCATTACGATATAATTATTGCTATGTTATTTACATTATATTATATGTATACCGGATGGATCGACGACAATTTTTACTCAAATACTAAGCCAGATATTAAAATTCAACCGAGTTCTTTCATAGGAATTCCGTCATCTAACAGAGAGCACTGGCACGTGCTTATGGATCATACAAAATTATATTAGTCACTTACAGGATTTGATATTTTAATTAATTCGGCTGTACAATTCTTAACATTCTGACAGTTCGCTAAAATTACTCGAATGCTGCAATTGATTAATACCAATCTGTCTATAATGTCTATAATGTATCTCTCGCTTCAATCATCATCAGTTTCTCAGAGATATCCTTAATATCTGGTCAATTCATCTTTTGTGTATCATTGCGTCCCACCGGCCATCTCGTGTATAACATATACATTTGCTTTCATATAGTGTATATACGTGCAACATGTGTTGTATATATACATATATATATATATATACACGCGTATGAAAGCAAAAAGATTACATTACACACCTCCGCGGACTGTAGTGAGCTAGCTAGAGAGGGACTATATATGTATGTATAATAAATAAATATATATATATATATATACACACAACACACACACACCCATATATATATATATATATATATATACATTTGAGGAAGCGCCCTGTTAAGAGACAGAGTAAGAAATAATTATAAATTCTAAGGTAATTAACGATAACGTTACGAGAAATTAAGCGATTAAGAGTTATAAGAGCAGCTCAGTCTACTCTAGGCCTAGCTACGTATATCGAATACGTAATTACATTTTTTTACGATCTTTTTTTTACGTTTGTTTTTTTATTATTTTTTTTTTTTTTATTTAGTTTATATACTTACACGGTAGTAATACACGCCATCGCTACTATCATTTTACAATGATCGACTTGCGAAATAATCTATATTACACTTATGAATTACGCGTACGGATTATTGTGGACTATTATATAACGATAGGTATATAATTATTGGTATTATCATTTAATTGAGAATTATCAGTAATTGTTAAGCGTGTGAGCATAGGGACTCGGCGAGGTAAGGCGGTTTTATACCAGTGTCGGGCGCAAAAGTGTCCAGGGCTCTGATCATGTTAAAAAAAATTTTATACAGTGATACTCATGGCCATCCATCTGATGAGGCACGCGTCTTTCATATTGCTAAGATTTATCGGGCGCATTGAAGACACTTGTCGTACGTAGTGATAACAATCCTCTTTATTACAGTATTTTTCATTGTTGAATGCATTTTTTTTTTCTTTTTTTTTTTTTTTGATATGATTATATTCTATTGACTGCAGCTCTCTTGCGTTTATTTTAAGTTCTCTTGAGACTGTCGAAATCGTATTAAGTTGCTTCGTTGCATCGTTTGACGATGTATTTTCGGAATCTCCTCTTGAACGAGGTCATCTTTATTACAGCTAAACTCAGCGCGCACTGCCAAGGCTACTTATGCGCTTCTACAAACAATTAATCGAGAACCGATCTAATGACGAGCCATTAGATCCGTTACGTCTGATCGAATCTATAAAAATGGATTATTCATTAACGAGTGGCCCAGGGAGGCTGGGGGCGTGCTCATCCTTGTACTTAATTAATACTCGCATGTAATACAACATTTAATCCAGGTCCCCAGACTCCCCTCTTCGAAGGGTCTTAACCTATGTATCTCTCTATATGTATTGTATTTATTTATACTATGAAGAAGCTAGTACTGTAAGAATGTACGTCAATCTGAATTACTTGTATTTTGGCAATTTTGATTTTCGCGCGTCAGGCTTTGAATTGTCTCGTTGGTATGGTACCTAGTGCGTATCATGGTCTTCCTCATTGTGCTCATTTTTTTTTTCTTGCCAGGGTAATTTTTTCTTTTTTCTTTTTTTGTTTGTGCAAAAGCTTTTCGCCGTCACCAAGTACGAATACTCGCGAATCATATCATTCTCGATATGTAAGAAAGGACTGATTCAATCGATAGCTCCGATCCCTCGACGTGCAGCGGGATACCATCGGTTTAATTCTCGTGAGATGAAACACGAGAATTACGTGAATTAAAACTGGCGCCTCAATCTGTAAATGCCAAGATAAAAGAAACTCTTGTGAAATTCATTTATAATCTTAAGCGTGTCTCGCGAATCTCAGTACTGCAATTATGTATAGATTGACGTACACGTACATGCGCACACATTGTTATACATACCTATATAGTAGAATTGCGATTACGAACTGCAAGGTTTCCCTAAAAGAGCATGTTCCACGTATGTTAATTATCATCTATTCTTTGTCATCCAGAGAGTAACGTGTTTTTGATTGTTAATCAAGGAACGCTACTTAATTTCATTCACGTATTTGAACTTTTAAGAATCTCGGAGTGGGAATCTCTTAAGGAAAAAAAAAAAAATGAAATTGCACCGCAAAGAAAAAGTAGCCAAGTAGACTGATAATTGTTGACTCCATCCATCTCAAGGACTTATCACTTTTCTCTATAAAATATTGTATTTTAGAACTCTTGCAATTCCCACCACAGTAGACTACACGACACCATTTTTTCTAGGATAGAGCGGATATCGACCGCTTACTGTAAATTACTAGAGTAACTTTGTTGCTATGTACTGTCATTCATACGGTGGATGCTTTGGATGGGTTCCTTGTCTAGATTCAGGAACCTCTTGGGGCAATATAAGTGAATACATTTCTATAATATAGGCGACAAGCATATTTTATTATTACGTGAACAAAATGAAAGGGTGTATATGTGTGCGCATGCCAGTGTAACCCATGAAACCCCATGTATATAATATCCATCCATCCCGCACCCGCCTAGATTATAAGTCACACTCGAAAACGAAATGACTCTTGCCAAATTTTCAATGGGACGTAGGGACAAACAACTAAACATTTGAGAAATCGCAAAAATATATTGGTATTATAAACGATATCTGTTTTTATTATCAATCTGTGCCATCCCACGCAAACTCCGTACGCATTTCCTTCTCCTAGACTACTTTTTGGAGGTGCAGAGTACTTTATATTTTTTAATAGAATAATACATTTTTTATATACTCGACTAGTAGCGCTAATTGGGACAGATCAAAGGGGCTTGTAATTAAGTCTATTTACGTAACTCAATTGTAAGATATTGATGGATGAAGAAAATGTGCTTAAAGGAAACTAGTTTGGACTTATTATTATGCTTTTAGTGAATGATTGAGTACATAGAATATTTTTCACGTTTACTTTATTACTAAAATAATGAGAATATTACATAATACAGCGAGTAATATGTCATTTAATAATTGGTAATAATGTTTGATCATTATTCAGGTTATAGATTTTTAGTTCGGTTGCTTTTTCTTTTATAAAAAATTATTAGCTATATCAATCGTTTTACATTAAAAAAGAGAAAACAAAATTGTCATAAGTATCAGAATACTAAGTGTCATCGGTATGTTATATGGCGACACGGAATGCTAAAGTGCATACCTATTTTAATGATTGATATTTTCAGTTTTCTAGCTTCAATCTTTACATTACGATGAACGCCGTTCTGGATAACGCGTTACAGAGTAAACCTACTAATAATATCAATTCTGTACAATGGGAGACTTTGTAATAATGTATAAAACGTGTTATATATAATACAATATAGTATATAGTACACATGAAATTCGCTTACGGTCTCTCAATTTCCGTCTGTTGTGAAAGTATTTCTAAATAGCACAGTTCCGTTTTATTAATGACACGATAAACTGAACTCTATGTTATTATGCAGTTTTACTTTATGTCAAAAGGCAAAGTTTGCTATAAAATGCAAAAATATACATGCACAAGTGTTAGAAAACAGTATAAGAAATGTCAATGACCTAGTGGGAGAACTTCAGGATTTTATTCGGAACCTGGTTTCATTTTATATAGGAGTGATTTTTCTTGAGTGTTTTTTGTTGTTGAAGAAACTGATGAATTTGATGACGAATGCTTACTCGTACCGTTAGCCGTATTACCTGTGCTACGTTTATCCTGTTTAGCCTTCTTCATCATGTCCTTCAATCTCTTATCAGCACTGATGATATGAATGTTTGGTGTAACTTTTGGTCCCGTACTTACATTTGCCGTGGAACTACTGCCATTATTGGACTGAGATTGATTTACGCTACTTGATGATGACTTGTACTTATCATTGTGCTTTGAGCCTGTATAATAAGATATTGTTAGATATAATTAATAATTTACTACAATAATTATTTATATACATGTGTATATTATTTTGAATCATAGTACTTACTAGAACTGGTTGATTTTTTTTGTTCCTTAGGTTTGTTTTCAGTTACAGGTTTCGGTGAGGCCCTCTCATTGGCAGCCTGCAATCATAATATGAATAACATATAAGAATATTATAATTTATCAAGTATCAGTCATACATTGAAAAACAAATAATAGAATGTATATAAACACACACACCTGTTGTGATTTTGAGCAGTTTGAGCAATACCACACTAATTTAGGAACATCTATTTGAGAATCTTGAATATGTGGAGTATGACACTCTTGATGATACAATGCATGGCATTCGACACACTCAACAAGTCTGTTTCTTGCTCCAACGTCCATTCCTTTACAAATGACACATGTCAAGTCATCTTCCAAAATTTCTAAAGCTAATGTATCATCTGACTGTAGAACATCCGGTGGTGTATCCCGAGTTGGTAAATTAACTGGTGAACTATTTTTGCTAGATTTGCTTGATTGTTTGGACGAAGAACTTGAACTTTTACTTTTCTTGCTACCATTGCTACTGTGGTCACTTAATACAGGCTCCTCCAACGTGTACTACAAAATATATTAGTGTAAGAATTCTGATAATATTTAGTAATATAAATAAGGTACAACACCTTTTTGTGCAAAACATTGCAAAGCATTTTCGTAGACCCATGTTTTTGCCTGATAGCCTCATCCAAAAGGGCACGCAATTGTTCTACAGAATCTTTATTTGTCGAATGTAGAAGACGCAGACCTTGTGTAAATTGTGGATCTAAATCTAGTTGAGACATGATTTACTCTACCTGTGAAACATATAATTAAATACTTATTAATTAATAACTAACATTATCCAAGATACAGTAAACATCACTGCATAAATAAATATCTGTACTTGTTCGAGAAAATTTTTCATTCATTACGGCGCTATTTTGCGCTTTAAACGCTGTAATTAATTACCAACAAATTCAAACAATAAAATTGATTCATAGCAAGATTAGCTATATTTTTTAACAATAACCTACAGCAGAGGAGGTTATACATTATTGCAGTGCCCTGATTTAACGAATTAAACAAAATTAAATAAGCCGATGTCTAAGAAATTTCATAATCAACTTACGCTTCTAATAATAATTGTTTAAGTTTCAATAACTATTAAACGACTATAGACTTTCGAAAAATCAATAATTTCACATAAAAGTATCAATACTTCGAAAGATACGTCATAAATCATTCATATGCTAAAGAATTCTTTTTATTGCGAACGAAATAATCAATGATTAAGTAAGCAAAGAACAATAAGACAAACAAGACGATGAATATATTACGAATCGACAATATAAGTTACCGCTTGTTTCACGATGCACTTTCTAGTGCAGGTAGCAGGTGCACTCATATACTTATATATAGCCTAACTTAATACAAACTGCACTTAGTAAATTATCTAGATGATACAACGTGCTACGGTGCATTAAATAAAGTTTCCTGCGTATTATCTTGGCAGACAACGACCGGTATTATCTAAGAATTTCGTACGTTTGTTTACGAACGTTACAATATGTAACTCTCCCTATTGCGAATAATTGCAATAAGTACTAATCAAGCCTTTCGTGTAGTTGCATCCTTAAAGTGCATATTCTCTGAACTCAGTCTGTATAATGATAAATGCACGTTACGATTGCAAGTATGTAGTTAGAACGTGAAAAAAAAAGAGAAACGGTAAGTAGCAACTGGCTATAAGTGCTTATCTGCGATGCAGACAAATTGAAAGACGTCGGATTTACGTAGGTCGAGAAACGGATAATAAAAAGTGACTAGTTGAGGATTGATAATCAAAAAGATTGTGAGTGACTTTGAAAATACCGCGTCTGAGCGGGATGGGACCCAGCAACCCTTGGAAGGAACACAAAAGCACGCAGGTGCTCGTGTCGCTAGATCCGACCCTGGGTTTATATATTACAAATTTAATTTCGCACGAACTTTAAGTGTGGGTATAAATTCGCGTGTGTTCTATCTGCAGGTAAATTAAGTTTCGAGCTACTCGCGGAACCTAGGAGTCTTACGTATCAATGGGAGATGAGCGCTACTAAGCTTGGAAAGAGGGTGGAAATTCAACGAAAGAAAGACCAAAATAGTAACCTGCGTGTGATCAAGTGGAGGAACGAGTTAGCTATGGCTGTGCTCTGTTTATCCTGCTCTGTCGTCGCGGCCTCTATGCAAGCGTCCTTGTTCAAAGCGTATTAAAACGGTGCCCAACTTTCGACTGGCAGTTGGCAGCCGTGCGTAAAAGAAATAAATAATCAAAGCGACCATGAAGTGACAAATAAAGTTGAGGAGAACAATGCTCGCAAGACGAAGAGAAATTTAAGTGCGGCGTGCATTGGCCCCAAGTGCGTGCGTGTGTGACTATTAGGGCACCTATCTTCCTTTTCGAAAGAAACGTGATCCTTTCTGAAACATTGAGCAAGTAGCCAGCAGCAGCAGTAACCAGCAGCAATAACAGCAGCAGCACCAGCCGAAGAGGAGGGCTATGCGCTCGGCGCCGAGCCGAGGCTGCTGACATTTCGGCATCTTCAAGTTTCGTGCACCAGAGGATTTGAGGCTCAGTTATCGTAACTCTTAGCAAGAAGTATTCGCTGAGTAACGAGACTTGTCTAAGTCAGGATCAGGAGCATCCTTGGCAACCGGTTAAATGCACGGCGATATTCGCAGATGCCCAGCACGCACGCATCGCCCTAAGATAGACACATTACTCCAGAATCATGCGAGCTACGAGAATATTAGTTTGATCGGGTGCATTTGGTAAAACGGCTTGATTCGACGTAACGCTTAGATAGCTTAGCTGTAGACACGGCTTTTGATTAACCTCCACGGCTCAGGTCGTTTCTAAACCAGGTCGTTCAGGTCGTTCACACGCACAACGGAACAGTAAGGACATAGCCATGATATTGGGTTCTAAAACGTCCGTCATAGTCTGACGCTGAAAAGCTCATTATCGAGCCTGCGAACATGAAAACGGAGAAGAAACCTAGTGAACCAAGCTGTGTTCCCACTACGGTGGTCAAGGAAGAACCAGATACGGACTCTGTTAAGATTAAGGAGGAAGGTACGGCTGCCAATAACGACGATGCTACTGGCGACGATGCCACCGAGTGTGCTAGAGACTCTAATCTTGATTCAGCTAACGGGGAGAGCACGATGTCTGGAGATAATCAGAATGGTCCTAGTGGTAATCAACCAGTCTTGAACTCTGTAAAACAAGAAAATGATCCTGCTAATTCAACAGAGGAACTACCTGGTGGTAAGTTAGCAGGTTAGATGACCATACACAAACAAAGCTCTAATTTATTTAATCTGAATGTTCTTGCGATGTGGAAGTTTGTTTCTGCTGTGCTTAACATTCTTTTGGAGTAGACCAAATAATTTTATGTTTATGTTCAAATGAAACCCTGGCAAGTTTTGAAAATAAACATCGCTGTTGTAATTTATTAATTATCCAAGCTGTTTATTATTATATTATCCACATGAAACAATTGTTCTACAGTTCTCAATTAGAAAAGACTAAGATGATTTACATTTTACAACATTCTGAGAAAAGTAAGTTAGAGAGAATTATGTGTATACATAGACCATAAAATTAAAATTTTCATACCAAAATTTATAACTTTAGTTATTCGAATACTTGCAACGGTGCCACTTGTGTTACAGATTGTGGAGGTAATGTGGGCCTTGCACCAGATGGTATTCAACCACTGGTGAGTAATGTACTTGGAAAGCAAATGGGAGCTGGGGCAGGTAGTGGCGAAGCACAATACATGCAACAACAAAGCCAGATCTTTGTATTTTCAACAACACTTGCGAATAAAGGTGCAGATGCAGTGCTACAGGGACAATTCCCATCTATCATTGCTTATCACTGTGCCCAACCAGGCACCAAGAAATACTTAGAGGTAATATTTTGTTATAAATTCTTGTAAAATTTACTCCATCTATTATCAAGTGCATTTAAAGATACGAAATGACCCGTAAAATCGTTATCTAGAAAATAATAATTCTTATTATTTCAGAAACATCCAAATAAAGTCAATCAGTTTCGTCAAAATCCTGCTCAATGGCTAAACAACCTTGCAATGATGAAACAGAAGGGACAGCAAGGTGCGCCAAATAGTGGATTCCCGACGGAGCAACCCCCGGAATTGTCTGCACTGGATCCAAATGCTCCACCATTTTGGAATGAGCAACCTAATCTCCGAAACGTTAACGGTGGAAACTCATTGGGTAACCCGGAGTCATCGTTGGATGATACAAATATAGATGTGCCTTGCCTCGTGCCGAACTCCCCCAACAATCCAGGTACGTATGAGTTTGTGTAAATAGAAAAAATGAATAGCTTTTTATAGTAATACTGTCAGAATTTTCACAAACTTCAATTATACATATATTCTCAAACATTTTTTATCTACATAAAGCAACTTTTAATCTATAACGCTTTACTATTTTAGCTAATCCGCAACCTCCGTCTACCAATGCCGCCATGGGTCATAGTCCTAACTTATTAGGAGGTAACACCAGCCCTGGTCCTGGCGGTCTGCAGCCTTCTTTGCAAGGTGTGAAGGTCCCCGATGAACAATTGACGCCACAACAACGTCAGCATCGGGAGGTGCAACTGGCGACTATAAGAAAAATGCAAGAAATATTATTCCGCGAATGCAAAGACGAAGCAGGTGGCCCTCTAGATCCTGCCCAGGGAACACCAGTTACTTCCGGACCACCGACAAATGTTCCCTCTACAGGACCTCAGGGTCAATGTCCTTCAGTTGTGGATTGGCACAAATCCGTTGGCATTGGTCAATTTCTCGATGGAAAAAATAAAGTAAGATGCACGAGCTTATTATTACATTTTTCTCAAATTAGCCCATTAGACATAAGAAAAAAAAAACATATAATTTGCTACGTTAAAGGTTGGAGTTGGCAGTCCTGGTACAGTCCCCCTACGCGGAGCAGGTATGGCAGGTGTACCTCGTGGTCAAGGACCACCTCCTCCATATCATCAAACGACGAGGTCGGCGAGTGTACCTATTGCCATCCAGAGTCCGAATCCCTCCTCGCCGAACAATCCGACGAGCAATCTATCGCTACCGTCGCCGCGAGCAAGTTCGGCCCTAAATTCACCTGCAGATTGCAATCGTCAATTTCAACTTGGTAACCAAAGACCAGGAGGTCACTTGCCAGGCCAGAGTCCAACTAGTCAGGACTCGCCAAATCCTGCAGTTGGTACAGCAACGACATCTTCAACCGCGCGATTAAATCACAGTAATCCTGGAACACCCGTGTCTCATTCTCATCTCGCTGCCCTCAGTCCCAGTGGAGCGACGCCACAAAAGGATTCTTCCCTGGACTTTCCAACAAACCAACCTCCAAGCGGTAAGGCTTTTGTTTTGCATGAAAAACCATTTTTTATTAATATAAACATGGAAGCCGCAGTATGACAAGTACATAAAGAGACTCTATTGGTAAGATTAAAGCAACTCTATTGAGCTCCACATTTTTCTTGATCAGTGGATGGTATGTTCTGCCGGACGCTGCAATCTTTAGCTCAACAAAAACAACAACATGGTGGTACGGTAAACGCCGCTGGTGTCAAGGAGGCAAATTTAATGCCGGTTCCTAGCCCACAGCAAATACAATATCTCAATGCTTTCGAGGGTCAAGAACTCACCATACAGAAGCAGCCTAATACGAGTCTCAAAGATGGGAATTTACCTACGTAAGTTCTCATAAATACGTATTCAATGGAAGTAATATCCCGTGATAAAAATTTTCGATCTCCTAAATATTATGTAATTTCTTTTATTTGTCATGCAGGAGCACGGGCAACAATACAGAGATGTCGAATCGAATCTTGCCAGGAAGCATGGAGAGTGGCAATCAATTCCCTGCTAGATCCGAAGGTGCAAGTCCGTCTATGGATAGTATGAACCGAGGATTTGCTGGTCCGTTACATAGTCCACACACACCTCATACTCCACATACTCCAGGAAGTGCAGCACCCCATACTCCAGCGGATCCAACAAAGTCTACGGGCAAGACGACTGCAAGCGCGCAAAGTAGTCCTGCACCTCATAACAGCAGTATACCTGATAGTATGGGACCTCCTAGAACAGTTCCAGCGTCGCCTAATATGAAGGCAGATACTTCCCCACCGTCGACAAAAGATCCCCAACAACCACCGGTTGGAAATCCCAATAATCAACCGCAACCCGGTTCAGTTTTGGGTCCATCTTTTCCATGTAGCAGGCCGTCAGCAAATGTTAGTCAACCGTCGGACAACGTACCTTTAAATCCTAACAATATTGGTGGCGGAGGTGGAGGCAATGGCCGGCTTGGGAACCTGGGTGGAATGGGCGCCAATCATTTTGATCCCATAACTTCCTTGGCTCAGATGAGTCAACAGTTGACGAATACGGCTGCGAGTAACGCATTAGGAAACGATGGTCCAATGCATTCTGGTAACTCAGGAATGATGCCGTTCAATCCTCATGGAATGCACATGATGCAAATGGGAGAAATGAATGGGTGTCACATGCCTGGTGGATCCGGCAATGTTAACGAACCTGGTGATGTGAGTGGGATGTGCATCGGTCTCGGTGGACCACCGACGAGCTACAGTCCAACACCTCATACAGGTAGTCCCGGTGTTCCCAACAAGATAGGTCATCCTATGATGGGCCACGGAATGATGCATTCAGGCGGTGCATATCCCGGTGAACCTCATGGGCCCCCAAGACTTATGGGTCATGTATCAGGGCCGAGTCCTTACAACGGAGCCAACGTGCAGGTTAAGCCCAGTGCACCAAACACCATTCAGTACTTACCAGCCAGGCCTAACGTGGGTCACACGCCAAGAGGACCACCAAGCCTAGACTTCCTTCAGCGCTTCACGAACCCGCTCTCTAATCTCGAATCGAAGATGCCATCACCCTCAGTGAACCTTCAGTACTTCCCAAATGGCTGCGTGCCGAACAACATGGGTCCGCACTCCGGTATGCCAAACATGAGTGGCCTACCTGGTATGGGTGGTTCACCCAGGATGGACGGTCAACCTATGAACACTTCCGTCGGCATTCATCCCTCGATGAGGCCTGTTGGCAATATGCGACCGCAGCCCAACATGATGCGCATGCAGCACATGGTCGGCGGCGGTGTTTTTCCCGGAAGTCCAATGGACCCCGACAAAGTCTTCCCTCCTGACATGGTACCTCAAGTCCCCAATCAACCGAATCTTGGCATGTACGTGCCCGGCAGTAAGGCCAGTCCCATGGGGTTGGGACCGCCTGACGCCTCTCAGCCTCTACCACCAAGTATGGGTGGTGGTGGTAGTAATTTTAAGAACAGTCCCTTCGTCGCTGGCGGACCCAGTATGTCCGACCCTAACTACGCCCAACAGTTTCACAATTTCCAGCAGCAACTTTATGCGACTGGCACGAGAGGCAGCGGACCGCCACATCCTAATCTGCATCCACCACCCAATTCGCATTCGCATCAGCAGTTTTTCATGCCCAAGTAATACACACATCTCACTTCTCTCTATGAGACGTGACATACTTCCTTAATCCCACTCCGCTCCCTTCAACATTGACGACGTTTCGCTTCTTCTTATACGAGAGTTCTACAAGGAGGTGCGCGATTTACCAAGCCGTAGCTACATTTAGTCTCGTCCAATGACACACGAGACCAGGTACACTCGTACATCAGTATACCTTGTGTACTCTTTATTCGCATATTTCTGACACACGCGACAGGTTCTCGTTCTTCGATTGGTTGCATTTATTTGGTACTCTAATTTTTTGAGAGTTTACCGAACCATATTGAGTATCTAATCGTCATTGTTAATTAACATCGATGTCGACCTTGATGTCGATGTCCAATATCGTGGCCGACGTCGATATTTTCGTGGTCTTGTATATCGGGGTGTGATGTATCAAATCGTGGACATGGAGGTAGGAGCACGCGAAATTCCTAGCCGTAACGATCAGCCCAATGTGTTTAATTAGGTAAACATTATTACCTAGCTACAAGTCTTCGAGACCCGTAGAGAACGATTATGTAAATTCCAACTGTTACAAATCTGGGAATGTGTTTATTAGCAGTATTGTAAATAAGTGTAAAGTTTGGTTTTCCGAGAAACCAATTGTTTTTTATTATTTTTTTTTTTCTTCAGCCGGTAATACAATTCGAGTTCGCGTACGACAATTGAGATTCCTGGATGAGAGAAAGTTATTTATCTTTGGACGTTGCTCTTCGTGTTGCTCAAGGTAAGGAATTCGCTTAGAAACGGCAGTCGCACGGAAGAACTTTGGGGGAAATAAGAAAAAGTAAAGGGAAAAAAAAGAAATAGTTGATACGGAGTCGGCAATAATTTATCCTTCCTTATCACTAAATACTTAACACAGTCAAGCAAGCTCAAATTGATAATTGTACATATATACGATATATATACCTGATACAACAACTCTTATGATATCGCCCCACCAATCCTTCGTGACCAACTCTGTGCATAATCATGACCCCACGTAGCATATAATGATATAAGAATAATTGACTAAGAACAATTATGTTGTTGACGAATGATTTTTATTATAAATGAAAAATAAAATAAAGATATTTACAAGAAGTCGATACAAGAATCAATCAATAATTTCTTGACAGCCTAACAATTACAGCTTCCTATATAGATTAAATACTGAACGTACATACCCACCGTTTGATACTTTCTGTAGTGTTCCCGGTACAATATGATAAAATCGAAAAGAAGAAAATAAATTTACTTGATCTGTAATCATAATATCTTCTGCATTTTTTTCATGAATTTTACACAGTAGTTTGATAAATTTAATAGAATCCAAAATTAGCTATTTCTCGGCGTGAAAGTAAGTTTTAAAAATTTTCACGTATAACAAGTTTTCATTGGACAGCACAATCTCATCCTATCGATTTATTTTTTGTGATTAGCAGTTTTGTATGATTTGATACTAGCGTCGATCGTATGAAGCCTCTTCCATTTTCAAATGGTAATATTTGTGAGTGCAGATTATGTTAATGTGCACGACAAATGAGATATGTATAAACCTTTCTTTGTATCGAAATTTTCAAGCTTTGTATGGAACTCTATACTGAAAATCGTAAAATTACGCTCGCACTGACACTGGCTTTGGTGTTAGGGCTGGCAATGATACGGGTACCAGATATTTGATTTTGGAACTCGCTAACAACGTACTTTAGGGTGAAATATTAACGAGTGATAAACCCAGGAAGATAGTGTTTTTGACTCGTATAATACTCTACTACGAAAACGTCTATCCCTTTATTTTCAAAAGAAGGCAATTCCCGATCATGTTGGCCTTTGCAATGACCGTTAATAAATCTCAAGATCAAACTTCTGAGAAAATTGAAATCGACCTTCAAAAACTTGTATTCAATCATGGCCAATGCGTCGCTTATTCAAAAGTACGTTCCTGAGAGAGTCTAAAAGTTTATCTAGGTGATCACTGAAATGGATGTTTAATAAAAAATTATGTATACAAGGAATTGTACTTATGATTAATAACGATCGGAAGAATATAGTGAGACAATGACCAATACTGCTTTTTTTATCTTCTAAAGAGAATGAGAAAACAAAATTCCGAACATTATGAAACTGTAAAATATCCTTTATTGGCATAAGATGCTATTGGGTCACGAACATGAGTTTAATCATTTTAATACAAATACAATAGAATGACTCGAATTTACGATACCCAACGTACTGTTTCGAAGTAATAAATTTCGTGGTTTACCCACTAAACGGCACTTTTACCTTTTTTTAAGTCCCAGTACGCTTTATTACATAAGTAATAAATTACGTAAAATAAAATAAACAATTTGAAATGACATTTTCTTACGAGGAAGGTAGAAGAGGACAATTTTTTATTTAAAAATTTCCTAACTTACTGAGTCGTTAATTTAATCTACAAGTTTAGGATTTGAAATTTATAAATAAAAAATAATTCTTAAATCTTCCATGAGCTCGCAAGTTGGCGCGCGCAATGGGCTTCTAGTATATAAAATTTTTGACCGATGAAAATGAAGTCACAATAACATGATATTTACGTAATATTTACAAATTGTTATTATTATGTACTATTTTGTTATCTCCACAAAACTGAAGAAAAATGAATGACCAATCATTTTCATGGAAGTATTTGACACTGTTTGCAATTGAAGCAAATTGTACCAATTATTACTTGAACTTCAGAGTCTCGCAACTAGGCAAATATTGGAGAATGTAAGCTTTTTTTCACATTTCTAGTAATTCTTGTATTCTTGAAGCTTTCTCTTTCTATACACCCGAAAATGACTACGTGCTTATCTTCTCTATAAGTTACATTATTGCAATTTGAAGCAATTTGTAGAACTAAAGGAGTAGCCACGTGAATTTTGTTTACAAGCTTTTTCTATGTCTGGATATAGGTATCAGTATCTTGATGTTGTTTACCTACATCGCCAAATTTTTTACTATTATCCCTGTCCGTATCTTTAGGTACAGTGAATCATCGTGTTCCTTCATAAATGTAATCTATTATGAATGACTATCTGTGATAAGATAATCATGTAATATTGTTTATATTATTTAAAGGTGCTTTCTAAATGTCTAGATTTGTTGCGTTGGGTGTTTTTGTCGTTTATCTCTGTTTTCGCTCTTTTGACTTCCATCGACCTGCAAGAGAAATAAATTTGTAATACTTGAATTTATTACTTTTAAGACGTTTGCTAAATATAGAACACTAGGAACACATTCACGTATATCTGATTCATTCGCCATTCGATCAATTAAAACTATAAATTATTTATGGCACTTTCTGACATTCATTCAGGCTAGTCGAGACATTTAGCAAACGCCCGAATTTAATATTCATTAATGACACGTCATTTTAATCAATTTTCTACCCAAAACCCAAACCAAACCTGTCCTGTCCAGCCATTCATTGGCTGGATGTGCCTGAGTCCCGCCAGTTTCCTCCATTTCTGCAATTAAAATAACAAATTTATTACTTACAAGACCTGATTTCAGTAGTCATTCTGAATTGTATCAGGTTTATGAAACTATTGTTGTTTAAATAATTGACTACTGCATAATTCAAAATGACTGTATCATTTAAATTTCATCGTACCGTGTTTACCTTGACCGCTGTCCTTCCAAGCCAGCTGATTCGCCATTTGCACTAAAAAATATGTAATTTTACACAATGATCATAAAGATACTTTTTATTGGAAAAATTATTGCTGTTTCTCACCTTTTTTTTACTGGAACAAAATCATCCCATTCGCTAAGATCGTACTTTGACAGATCGCCATCATCCTCTTCATCTTCCTCCTCTTCTTCTTCTTCGTCTACCTGAAATGCATCAAATAATCAGTTTTAAATTAAATGTTTTGACAATGACAGATATAAATATTATTTCAGAATCTTACAAGTTCTTTTACTGGTTGTTCCTTCACTACTTCTTCTTTAGATGAATTACGTGGTGGACTGTTATACCTCGAATCTTTGGAATCGTCATCGGATCGGTTATCTAATTTTCGTTTCTTCCTCCGTCGTCCAAATTCATCGTATTCATCATCATCGTCATCCTTTCTTTCTTTGTACTCAACAACTCCTCTGTCATTGTAACCCCCTCCATAACCCGTTCGTTCTTCGACCTCACCAAACTTTGGTGCATTGCACATGTTACATTGTTGTCGACGAGCCCAATTTACATTTCCGCATTTGCTACACTGCCAATCATCCGCACTAGAATATAAATAATTTTTATTTGAAGATAAATGATTCTAGGTATAATTAATTTCTTGATATATATTTACCTGAATAAGCCTCTACTTTTTTCTGCCGCAGCTTTTCCTATTTCTTGACCAAGCTTCTTTTTCTTTGGACATTCTCCTCTGTCTGCATATAATTGTTTATAGTTACAAAGCAATTTAAATACTTATATAAATTAAAAGCATACAACTAGAATTTTCAATACTGACAAAAAGTATTGGAACCTGTCACTTATATTTTCTGATTGGACTATAGGTGTACTTGTAAAACGTACAAAAAATTTTAAATATGAAATAGCATAATGGGGATAATACATAGATTGGTAATGATGACTTTCTCCTCTCTTTTTCACATACATAAGGACAAAAATCCTATAATACATACCTTTACCACAACGGTTGCAAGAGTTTCGTCTGGCAAAATTGACATTGGCACATCTACAATAAGAATAACAAGTAGTAGAACAGTCATAAAAAGAATGAATGACAAGCTGGTAAATATAAAGATATAATTAATATAAAGAGATAATCAAATACAAATGAGATAATCAGAATAAATAATGAATGTTTATTTCCAGTGGAGAGATTGGAAAGGATAGGAAATATTAGGACGTACAGCGGACTAAAGGAGATAGGTGGATCGATGAATTCGGTGATCCTTTGGGCCGGAGACAAACGTTTATATATTGCAGTACGCACTGAGAATCCGGGCATATCCAGTCGCCATCGTTAATGCTCCGGTGGCCGTCCTCCTCCACTTTGCCGTCCATTTCCTAAACCTAAACGGAGGCCTTCACCGAGCCACCCTCTTGGTAATTGTAATCTCCTTATCTTACTCCAAGTTTCACGTTGAATATTATAATCTGACAATTTATGTTTTCTGCCGGGCAGATATAGTTCTACTATACTGCACCAGCTACTACACTGACACTATCTTTACTACTATGTATCCTGCACAGTGCTGCACTATCGTACTTGAACAGTGCTGTGCACAACACGATACGATAATGTCAGTTTACCTAGTAGTAACGTGTACTATCGAAAGAGGGTAGCAGGCGTAACAAGAACTAACGGTTCGAGCACGCGAATGGCGGGCTGACCAAATCGCTTGAAAATTGCATATATTTTTCTTGCAAAATAGTATTCTAAGAAAATTGATCTGATTTTATTTCATTACACTAATTTTGTTAACATTGTAATGAGTTAAGACAGTGGTCAGCTGATGAAGAAGAAATATATGGGAGGTATTCAACGTGGATGTTCAAAAAATATAGATATTAAAGGTAATAGGAATATCTTATGTAGACTTTAAAAAAAATTAATTATAGTTATATACGTCAACTAGACGTCGTTTGGTCTTATGAAATAATAATAGGTTGTAAGTTTATTATTAAAATAGATTTTAATAACATCAATGATTCGTATTTACAATTGTGTCAAAGTGTGCAACAGGTGTGTGTTACATAATATTTGAGAAATGAGTTTATGTACTAAAATGAATGAGATTACTATCACATTCCCCTTGAATTTGTTTAGAAAACTAGAAGGAACGTACTAAGATTCTTATAATATCTAAATAATGTTTCGTACTTGTCTGGTATATGAAATAATAAGTTGACCACAATTGAAATATAAATTAGATTTCATGCTGAGACTTGTCTCTGTAGAAAATGAGATATGTTACAAGAGACACAGTTCATAATACTTTTGAAAATTTCTTTTTGTAAGCAGTTTAATTCATGCACTGTGATAATTCGAGTTTAAGTTTATAAGACGCAATTGGAAAAAGATCAAATTGTTGGAATCGCAAAGCATTATTGTTAGCGGAAGATCCATAAAACTCCAAGGAAAATAATGATAAATTTGTAGCTATGCTGTAAGTGTTTGAAATTGATCTGTTAACGACAAATTATTGTCGTTACGATCAATGGATACTCTTCCTACGCTCTAGTTATACGCCATACCCCTTTGAGTTATTGTAGGTTACCTTATTAAGGTTGTATCTGTTCGATAATTATAATGGACTAATCATTATAGCACTAATAACGAAATTATAATGTCAAGACTCTTGATTCAGTATGACTTTTAAATCATCAGGCAGTGTACAAGTGATGTCGTTTATTCTTTCCCTAAGCATTTCCTGGACAGCATGTCCAATAGGAACATCGTCGTCGTAACTTTTATCCAGTTTCTGTCGTATTCTTAGTATCATGTCTACAATTTCTACTTCCTGTTTGCCTTGAACCCATGTCTTTAAATCCTAAGATAGAGAGAAACAGAAAACAAAATTAAATATTATATAATACTTTGAAGAAAAATTCTAGGAGTTTATACTCACTGCTCTGGATAGGGCTTCAAGCTGTATAGCTTGCAGTTTTTGTGTGAGCTCGGTATATCTGGTATGAAACCATCCAGCAAAATTTGGGGAACGGAAGAATCTTCTATACAGACCAACCCAATCACCTTTTATACCAATAGTCAATTGTGGGCCTGCACTACTCAACGTGGCCAAAAAATCATCAGGATTAAATAGCTGTGGAATTGGCGTTGCCTGCAATGGTAATTCTATTTTCATTCTCATATGCTATACGTTTATCATTATTACATTAATGATTACAATATTATACGATACCTTAAACGGCGATATATTCTTTTGTAAAGGCATTAAACTGGCAATATATCTCTCTAGCGGAATCATAAAACTCTCAGTCAATTCACACAAATGTCTTTTCAAAAGAGCAGTCTGAACTTCGCCAGGCCTTTTGGTTTGAATGCCTCTTAACAATTTCTTTAATATAGCTTTATCTTTTTGTAAAAACGGTTTGTATTGAGTGTAAACACCTGGTTTTGAATCTAATACTTTGAGATTTTCTGATTTTTTTATTCTATATTTTTGATTACCTGTAATATAAACGATTTATTTATGTATTACTCTTGTATAGGATCTATAGATTCATTAACTTACATTACAATAACATTCTTACCAGTACTTATCCCATCAGTTATTTTAATGATATGTGGCCAATGTTGTAACGTCTTAGCAAAAAATGGATTAGTGACACCCAGTATAACAGCTGGAGGAGCAGGAGCATCTGTAGTATATTCCTTGAATTCAGAATCATGTATTGTGAAGTAAGGACGATGATCAGCACAGTACTTTAAAGGTATGATCATTCTGAAAAAAAATATGGTTAATCTTAACTTTGTTCTATGTAAACGACTCGCGCAGTGGAACGATTGATGATATACTCACGTTGTCAATGCTTGTACCATTTCAGAACAAATTGTTGGCGAACTGGCCATCACAACAATTGGTTCACTGAGAAGTACAAGCTCCCACAAAAGATGAACATGACTTACAACACTGGCAAGACTGCGAAACATGTCACTTTCATAAGCAGATGTCAAGAACAGCCTCCGCACTTGGTTATTAGGAACATGGTTCATTGCAGGGATATTCGGTATAGGAGCTTTGTAATTTTGGTTTGGAATGTAAGTCTGCAATAAGAAATGCATAAAAGTATAAATGAAAAAACAAATACATTCTTACCAGTTGACAATAGTAATTTGTAATTTAGACTAACTTGAAATAAAACACCCATAATAGGTAAGTGAATTATTTGTCCAGGAAGAGGTGGAGGCCATTGATCAACCTGCTGAATTACTGTATCCATAACGGTATCGCCGACTTCAAAGAACTCGGGGGCTATCAAGGCGCATAGTTCATTGAATAAATTTATAAATGGTAATTTTGTTATCATAACAATGCTCTGAAATTATTTACCATTTATTACATACAGATAATGCATATCATAGGTAGTTATATAATTTACAAGTTGTTTACCTTTTGGAAATATCCCCTTGGCAGAGTCTTATCTTTAACTTGTCGAAAATATACATAGCCCCAATAATAATCTTTATCAGCTTGTAGAAAAATTGGACACTTTCTATTGTACTCTTTTAGAGCTTGTGTATATTGCGTTGTTTTTCCATTTTGCCTAATTTTCACATGATATTGAGTATCTCCCATACAACCTGAATTAGAATCAGGAAACGCTAAATAACATACATTTGATCTTTCTTGCTCCGTTAATTTAATGTGTTTTGGATATATTGCCTGTAACAAATATATATGTATCTATATATATATATATATAGATATTCGTATCATTATGATTATAAGAATTTACAAGTTAAATATTGCCAAAATGTGGAATATATGATGTATTATGTAATTATAAGTGGATTTTCTTTACCTCGATAGCTTGACCTAATTCCAGATCAAAGGTGACTATACATATGCAATGTAGCCAATTACCAAAATATTCCCAATCCTTTTTAACCATCTTGTCTTTCCTGGATTTGGAGGTATGTTCTTCATTCAATGAACATGAAGGCTCCGACATTGTTTAATGACACATCTATTTTCCATAGAGATTAACCACCTGCGGTTTTGTACATCTCTTTAACATGAGTGGGATAATACATACAATAAATATGTCACAATATTTAATTTCCTTCAAGTCTCACCAAGAAATGCTTCTTTGATATATTCCTAAAAGTACATATATTACATGAGTTCCATTATACATAGTCAATAAAAATTCAAACAGATTATTTGATGATTACCTAGTCAGATTTAAGCGTCTGTTTTTATACAGATTAGCTAACGATATCTTTCATTAATTTTATGTGGGTATTTGTCAAGGAAATACATGTACGTTATACTAAATAATGATGCATGCAAAGAATATGAATAATCTTATTTGCTTTGATCTTTAAATTCATTTAAGAAGTAAAATTTCATGAAATTATTTACGATTGCTCTTAAACTGAACTAAGTACACGTTAAATAGCAAAATAAAAGAAATACAGAAGTCTTACGCACAAAGCACTGTGGTACGCTCCTGACATTAACATCAGGTATGAGTATGATTCCGTCTAATTGTGGCCTTTGAGTCTTCTTATTAAAACAAAATTTACAGAAGATACGTATGATGTTGGGCAAGAATTCGTGAGACTTGCGAACAGCTGAGTTTCAGCTGTGCATTTTGATCTTCTAAATAATATCATTGATCTGAGATATCAGAAACACTTGGAGCCCCCACTATGTTGGCACTAGCGAAAGTCTTCATAGTTTCTTACAGCCAGATTTGATCGCACATTTCCATAATTCATAAAATAATCAACGTAACATTTCCGGGTACAATAGCAGACAAATAATATTAAACAAATACTTATGAATTCTACATTTGGCTATTTTATATAGAAATGAAATCACCACAGAGGCGTCGTCTTGTATATACAATACAACATTGCAACTTTCTTTCTGAAATGATAAAGTAGTGCCTAATACCGTTATGTCTGTTACAAAGCTACTTTATCGGTAGAACTAACGTCTAAAAATATTGCAACGTGATTTTAGAATTTGTCAAAACAACAATACATTTACCTCAATTTTATGGCTACAACAATAGTAGGGAATACAATATAAATGAGTTCTTAAATGTATCTAGTGTATCTTTTTGATTAGATACAGTACCACGGTTTAATTCGATAATCTTCATACAGGTGTAAGATTTGTTTTTTGATACTTTGTAAACTTAAATACTTCTTAAAAAATGAATTAGATTTTTCATAGTAGTTTATTTATACATATTTTTGTGACGTACAAGTAAATGATATGAATATTGTAATTTTAACCTTTTATAATCATGGTTAACGATTTAAAACGGGAGTTGTCCTTTTCTGTCTGGTATCCACGATTTACAAAAGATTCCTTAGAAGCTGTTGTGCTTCCAATTCCTGACAATGTTCTTAAATATTTGGAGCATGATGCTTTTGTTTTGCCTCTTGAGGCAGCGAAAAGCGTTCCATATAGTTCAGAATGGTCGGATGGTTCACCTGTGAATCAGGAGTCTGCCGAGGTAGGTATATATTTTATATTGGTAAAAAATAATGTTCTACAAAGTTTAATAATTATATGGTTTATCGGTTATTTTAGGATTCAGAATGTCAACCCACATTTCCTGACTTCAGTAAACAGATACAAGAAGTTCTTGATAAATTTGGAGCAGTTTTCATAAAGTGTAATTGGAGTACACCTTCGGTAAATTATTAGCAGTTGATTACTTTGAAAATATAAACGGTAGTGATTTATAAAAATATTATTTTTAGGATGCAACTTGGGTAGCACCAACAAAAACATTGAAATGTACAACTTTGGAAGAAGTGTATTTACTTCTGAAAAGTTCAGATAGAATTTCAGGAGATCTGACAGGAATTATGAAATCAAATGATAATAGACATTGTTTGGAGCCTTGCTTGGTACTGAAACGGTGGAGAGATATTAATCCTTGTACAGAGTTTCGTTGCTTCGTTGTTAAAAATGAACTAATTGGTAATTTCATTATTGTTTATTTTAAGTAAATTATACATACGATTCTAAATCTTACATTGATTATCTTCAGGTATTTCCCAACGTGATCTGTCTCAGTGCTACAGTTATATAGAGGCAGAAAAATATGGCATACAACAGGACATCAAAAGCATATTTATGGAGCGTATTAAGCATCGATTCAATGCAGAAAATTGTAAGTTTAATTGTCATTATTATTATTTTAGTAGTTAATCAGGTTATTTTTATAGATGTAATTGACGTGATACGATATAAAAAGGACAAAGTAAAAATAATTGATTTTGGACCACTTGATGAATCTGTTACAAAGGGAACATTGTTTACTTATGAAGAACTAAACTCTGAACTGAGAGAAACTCCAGAATTTAGATTTATTGCTGAAGATATGGGTATTCAACCAAATGCAACTCGTCATTTTTGTGTACCTCAAGAAATAAATGAATTTTTACAATCAGCTGGTAATATGTCGATGATGGACATAATACAAGAGGTAAGTTGTGTTAAATCTGTTCTCGTTACCTGCATTTTCTGCACTTTTCAAAAAATGCAGATTCTCACTAGTTACTGAAAAATATCAATGAATAAGAATTTGCACTCTTTGAAAAGTGCAGAAAGTGTAGGTAACGAGAACAGACCTATTATATAATTCTATTACAATGATACTCATTTTTATTTTCTTTATTAGGAAGTAAACAGCCAGCATCAAAGTGATAACGACGACAACTTTTGATATGTTAATAAATGTTAAAGAGACATGTTTGTTTTTGGTTATTGCTTCCAGCGCTCCCCCCATCCCACGCAAATTGAGGCTAAATCAAAATCTCGCACAATATACGGAGTAGATAACAAGTGAATTGAAATTGTATAATATCGAAAATAGATTACGTTCAAATTGAAATATTAATAAATTACGTGTCTGGAACAGTAAAATAATTAATAAATCAATAAAGTAAAATATTAACACTTAGATTCCAGAAATTCTGACTAAACATATTTAGAAATAGTGGAAGTTGCCCAAAATTGTGTGCGCGCAGGCTCGGCGTGTGGGAGCAGGCGGTTCACTGGATGCCTCGGAGATGGCGCCACTTATCATGCGTGGCCGGCGAGGCAGGTAAAAAAGTATTGCAGGAGATAATACAAAACACACACTATCTTTATTAATTAGTTAACGTGTTACAGAAAGGCGGACATGCTGGTGTGCTAGATGCGAGACGATTGGAGGATTCTCGAAGGGTCTGGTCCGGAGGGCGCCACTCCTGCGGGAGTCCTTGAATCCGATTGGCTGCTACTTCGTTGGTCGCCACACATGCTCAGGAAGTGCTGCTCCCTTATCGGCGAAAATTCAAACTAATACGAATTGTTTAATAAGAATTGACCCTTTGAAGTTTCGAAGATGCGATTTTTAAATTGCATCAGGAATCATTTTATATAAAGTTTGTAAGAAAATAGGCTATTGGAATTTAAATGTGATGATTAATGTCAACCACCGTAAAAACCATAGCATTTTTGGCTTCTTTCTGTTCAGTTTGATTTGTTTATGGATCATTTATTAAAAAATCTTCATATCCATAAAACTTATGACCATCTCATTCAATGTATTCCATAATACTCATTTCATCCACCATAAGACAAACAAAAATCTCTTTATCTTTTCTTTTAGCTTTCATCACTTGGTCACGCACGGTTAAAGTAGCTTCAGAACAAATACCAGAACTGCCGTCAACTGATTGATACCATCTTCTTATTGTGCTTGGATGTGGTAAACTTTTAAAAAAAATGTTGCGCACGTAATCATAAGCTTTCGGGGAGTAGAAGTGTAATGTGGTAGTAAAAGCCTTAAGTACTGATGGAAACGGACGATTCTTTCTACTTATAAGCATTCACCGAATTACTGATGCAACTACAGGAGAAGTATTTTTCTGAAACATAAATGCATTAAAGTACAGATACCACACATTATATATTAAAAATTGGAAAAATTATGATAAAAAATTATTTTCACATAAAATTATGTTGCTTTAAATGAATTTTTTTTTAAATATTAAAATTGATACATAATATATATCTAGTTACATGTATGTACAATTGTTTTCTATGAAACTGTAATCTTATATTTAAATACACGCTATCTTTAAAGTTCATTTACCTTCAATTTAGTCGCCATTTCTTCTGTCAGTAATTTCCTATTTTTCATCACCTGTAACATTGACTTTAATGATTTCACTCTTTTCTCCAAACGCCATGTTCGATGACCTTTTGATCGTAATTTTTTTTCCAAGTCTGCAATTACATCTTGGGCTTCTTCGAAATAAATTTTGCAGAGAGGTAAGGAGTGCGAAATATCATCCCACTTAATGTTTGTAATTTTTTTCAATCGTCCACTGAATTGGATATGAGTGTCAAAGTCTTGGCTTCTCCTGTAAAAAATGTTTGTTTTTTACGACAAATTATTGATTTTTTTGCAGAAAAACACCTAGAAGTAACATAGTTGAAGTACTAACTTTAGAATTTTGTTTTCATTTAATGATATACAATTAAATGACGTTCCTTCTGTTATTACTTTTGTCACATTTTCGTTTGATTCGCTTTGTTCTGAATCTACGTTAATTTCCATCTTAATATATTTATCTGAAATTAATTTGTTTTCTTCTAATATTTGGGGTTCTGTCTTTACAACACACTCGTTATTTTTTGTAACGTTCTACATAAAAAGAAAAAGCAATCAATTTAAATTGCAAACCGTGTTGCAAAAAATATTTATAGATTTACTGTAAGAAAATTAATCTTCTTACTGCTTCGTTCTTTCCCTCAATTTCATTATGAAATATATTTCTAATAGACGGCACTGCATCCAATTTTAAGCGTTTTCTGAAGGTGTCACGTGGGTCAGAGGAATGCACAAAACAATCTTTATCAAAATGTAATCTGCAAAGTACTGAGTTTTTAAATATTTTTTCAACTGACAGTTCCATTGCAGAACACCATTTTTCCCTTCTCACCCTGTCCATTGGGAATCTAAAAATCAATGGAAAATACATTACAATTCATTTTAAACTTTTATAAACGAAAATAAAATTTTTTATTATGTTTAATGATCTTTGTATTGCAGGTTTACTGTGTATTATACAATAGATTATGAAGACTATAATACTCCAGTGTCCATGTTAACCATATAATTTAAGATTATATTTCTACTTTACTTACTTGTGAAAGCTTATCGTATTTGCCGTAATACACATTTCTCGCGATAGCCCACACATAACACAACGTAACACCATTTTGTAATATTCAATTTTTATAAATTTAACTAGCATAAAGTAATCACAATTGAAATTTGACCGATCAATTCGATTTACGGAGGCTTCTGTCTCCAAGATTCGACTAACATGGACTAAACGTACATTCTACACGTGTGGAGTAATCTTTCACATGGTTCTTATTTTGCATATCTCAGTCCTGAACCCCTTCCATCCAGAAGCCTTTCGACCAATAGAAAAATTATAGAAAAGGACAGCACGATTCTTACGATTTACTCTCTCTTTCTATTCTCGATTACACTTTCCGCAGCTACAGTGAACAGTCCAGTACTATATGTCGATGTCCTACTTCCAGACTCGCCACTACGATTTAGCGCCATGCTTTTGATATTTCCTAAAACCGTAGTGTCGTGCATCTCAGAGATGATTGGGGTGATTTTCGATCCCAATGATAACCTTTTTTTAAAATATTTTATATAAGCTTAAAATAAAGTTTGGGCAACCGAGAAAATTTGAAAGAGAGGAACCTTGAAAAATAGTATAGGCCGATCGTAGTATAGGCCTACTGGGGACCCGCTACGTTAAATAATGGGAACGCATCGACGGCGGCACCTCTTGGGTGATGTGGAAGCCCGCACTTTGTCGTTGTTTATGCCTTTATTGTAATAAGATAAATAAATTAATTGGATATACTCTTTAACCTGTTAATCCTATTTGCAAAAGCACATTTTTTTTTGTAAAAGGAAAGTGCTCTCCATAGCGGGGTCTCGAACCATATACCTCCCGATTCGTAACCGGGTGCACTAGCCAGGCGCCAGAAACATATGTTTCTTATGCTTTTTTCGGAAGTTGTATTTCTAAAATTTCATCGTTTATTCAACTGCTTATTATTATCGTTTCGCTTACTTTACATATAAGTAGAATAATATGAAGATGCACTCCAGTTAAGAACTTTCGCGCCACCCTTCTCCACGTGGACGAACAAAAGAGAATAAAATAAACTTTGGGCAACCTAGAAAGGTTAAAAGAGAGGAACCTTGACAGGTTATTGACTCAGCTACGATGCTCGTTTAATACTAAATTAAATTTATTATAGATATTTATCTATGATATTTCAAAATTTCTCTTTAAACTGTTCTCGGTCGTTTCATTTACCAACGAATTTCGCCATTCATTTTTTAATGTTCATTGTCGGCATGATAAGAGGTAAAGAGTGAAAACCAATATTTCTATGCATTTTTTATAACTTTTAAATTTATTTGAATATACACATTTGTTTGCGCATTACGTCCATACCAATGTTTAGGGTTCGGTTAGACGGAAGACCTTGCTGTTCCGCCTGTTTGTCAAGAACGGTTTGTGAGGGGCGGCAACTTTTTCCCCACCACCGAGCAACCATTCATTTTCGCTGACTGCAATATCGGCTGGAACGATGATCATGACCCGCGCGGTTACGCGAAATCTGTAACATCGACAGAGGCGATGATCACGAAATCCTACTCCCGGACTCGCCGCTACGATTTAGCGTCATGCTTTTGGTATCGCCTAAAACCGGAGCGTTGTGCATCTCCCCACTCATTTCTGATCTCCATGATCAGTGTGCTCATCTCAGGCCATCAGTATTTCGACCACGGTTCCTCGACATTGGTATATTTGAATGAATTTTTGACGTGGTACATGCGCGGATGAGGTTAGAACGGGTTAGGCACGGTCGTGTGCATTTGATAGGTCCATTATTTAAAAATTAAACACTATAGCAGCTTTGAAGTATATCACAATGTTTATTAAACCGTTTAAAGTAAAATCTAATACTCAACTGAAAAGTTCTGAAAGGTTAGTGCGATATACCTTTGTATAAGTATATATAATTTGATACCAGACTGCAGAGAGGTAGAACTTGTGTTCAACTTAAAATATTTGAAATGAATCAGCTTAACTAGTTTTCAGAAAAACATAATTATTTTTAATGTTATATTTCATCGTATCATTGCAGGAAGAAACTATGTGAGGAAATACTTAAGGCTTTTCCCAGTTTAACAGAGGAACAAGTGCAAACATTATTACCAAAGAAAGAAGCTATAAGTACACTAAAAATTGTTACACATAGTGGTCAGTTGAGTAGATTGTATTGTGTTGCTAAAGTGCCAATGTTCTTTGAACTTGATATAATAGAATCACAGCTTTTCCCCACAATATTCACTCTGTGGCATCATCCAAGTTTGTTATATGCTTTTACAACACGTCAGGCAGTTGTACCTAAGCTAACTAGTGGTGCTGACTTAATGTTACCTGGATTAGTCCTGGAAGGTCCAGCAACTCTGTACTCATTTGGAAAACTAGAAAAGAAAGCTCCTGTTTACGTAAACACAGAAGAGAACAAGGTATGCAGTCATTGCATTATTAGTATGCAACGATTATCAATTTAAAAATGTAAATATAATAATTTTAATTCCGTTAGGCTGCTGTTGCTGTTGGAGTAACTGCTCACAACAGTGAAGACTTATATATGTGTGCGGGACGCGGAAAATGTGTGGAGATCCTTCATGTGATAGGTGATATGCTTTGCCAATTAGGAAAACCTCCAATTAGACCCAATTTGGGCCCTCCGATTACTAAAGAAAAGAAGGAACCATCAGCTGAATCGAAATTACCAGATGTAGTATCTGAAACAGAAGGCACGGTACAAGAACACAAGTCCTTGTCAGATACAGTAGGTGCTCTGGATGTTAATGATTATTTATTGGAATCAAAGGCAGTCTACGATACTGAGGTATTGTTAGTACAGGTAGTCTTCATTTAATAAAACACGTTCATAACATTCAACAAATTCTAATATCACAGGCAGGTTCAATTGATCCTGCCGAAGATGCAACACAAAACCTACAGGCTGAAGAATCAGCACCAGCATTAGATCCTGTTCAAGAAATGGACGCTCTATTAGAGTACTGTTTTCTCAAAGCGTGTAAGACAACGATCAAGAAAGGAGACTTACCAATGTTGTCATCGAACTTCTTTAAAAATCATTTAATGGCAGTCTGTCCTCAAGGACAAAGTATAGATGTGAAAAAATCTAGCTTCAAAAAACTATCTGTCTTCTTAGCATCGATGAAGGCAAAAGGAGTCATCGATACCTCAGTTCTTAAAGGTGTTGAAAGTTTGATATTCATAAAGGTAATTATTGCTTATCGACAAAATGATAGTTTTCAATCTTATCACAACCATCGTTCTATTCCATTTAGGCTGATCATCCATTAATTAAACAATTAGTGGTAACCGAAGAGACACCACGACCTGAACCAGCTGTCTCAAATGCACCAATTGTTTCGGAGTGCTATAGAGTTACTGCTGATGTACTTCCTGTACTGTCGAAATTTGGACATGAGTAAGTATATTTTCATACGATATAAATCATGTTATTTTACTCCGATACAATATTTGCAGACAATGCAAGATCTCCTCTGCAAATCAGATGTCGAGATGTATTTCACCATTTACGATAACACTATTCTAAAATTTTAAAAAACTAAATAAATTTCATTTCACATTAATACCGTGATTGCAGAAAAGGTGACGTTCTAACAAGAGCTGAGGTACGAAAATTTTTTACCGAATACGTGAAGAAAGAAAATCTTCAAGATGGAAAGTGAGTGAGGAGTGATTCCTAGTGCGTAAAGTAATCTTTACAATTATGTTATACATATCTAAATTATTTGCAGAATATTAAATCTAAATCCTCAGCTGGCCGGTATATTACGTACAAAAGAACATCAAATTACTCTAACCATGGAAGATGGAATAAATAAGTTCATTGGTCGTATGACGCATACACATGCGATTACAGTCGGTGGTACAAAATTATTACATTCCGGACGATTGGAACCAATTGACATTACTGTTGCTACGCGTTCTGGAAACAAAAAGGTATTGTGTTTTACTGCATTTATAGAATAAAACTTTGTTCTGATGTCATTAATACACATTTTATAGGTAACGTTAATCAATAATTTGGAGACTTTTGGTATCAAGCTTGAAGAATTTAGTAAGGAGTGTCAAGGCATTGGTGCAAGTGCAACGATTACGGATGTTCCTGGTAAAAAAACACCTAGTGTGCTGGTCCAGGGAAATCAAGTACTTTATGTATATAAATTACTGACTGGTATGTAATCAGTCAGTTTTATATTTTTTTGAAGACAATTCATTAATTTGCAAACTGAGATGTCTTTGACTTATTTCAGGAAAGTATCAGATCAACAAGAACTACATTAGAGGTTTAGAATACGCTCCGAAACAAAGAAAGTGAAATGTAAATATATAAATGTCCATTACATGTTTATAGAAGATTCTTGACGTTTTCATTTATGAGAACATTAATTTATATTCATCGACTGATACAAAAGTTTAATGAACAATAACGCATTAGTATATGAATTATATGAAAGTCATAAAGTTCCAATTTGTTATAATTGCTATATTCATTTAATAATGAATTCTATGTTCCATCATAAAAACGAGAATTTCAAGAATAACCTATGGCCTTTCGTAAATTTATGACTCTACAAGTGTTATGAATATCGATAAATATAAAAACTGTATATACCTCTTCTATAGAGATCTCAGATGCCTAAAGATTATTTTGTGTTTAGATGTTTGTCTCTTAACTGATAGTAACTAAATGATTAAGTTTCTTATATTTATTCCTTACCTTAATGCAACTCCATTCGGATCCTATAACGCTTCATCTTACACTTCACTATGACTTACGTATACTTGTCCGTGTCAAAAGTAAAACTACTACCCATGGCTATTACCATAAAACTTAACTTCTAACTTGAAAATACACAACTGTTTAATAAACAAAAATTATTCCTTCACCCAAATGTCCCGCAAACAAATAGGTCCAAGTGCATAGGCAACAGTATCTGAGTTTGTACTGAAAAAATGACTGTAGTTTTTAATAAAACCTAAAAAAAGAAAAACATGAAATGTCCACCTTCATTCGCTTATCCCGTAATTAAAACCATAAACAAACAATCAAGAAGGAAATAAAAACTATCTACTACCAAGAAACAAATCTAAGTATCTACATGTAAGTAAGCCAGTCCAATATATCCCAGATAACGATTAAAATACCGCGATCAAAGTTTGTTAATATAATTTATTGTATATCGAGGTTTCAACATGGAAAAGTACAAATATTGCAATATAGGGCCCGCGAGCTCTCCTCGGGAGGGAGGGAGGGAGGGAAGTAGGAAGGAAGCAATGGAATGACGCAGAACCAGAACAGGACCTTATAAGAAGAAGGAGAAGGAAGAGGACGAATATTAATTATCAGGTAGGAAGATTTCAAGGTAGGACGGTAAAAAGATGAAAACTCGTAGAGTCAAGGAATGCTTGGTATCCGGACGTAAAAGGAGGAAGTTACGTATTACCGGAAATGGACGACTGTAAGAAGGAAGGAGAGGCGACGCACACACAAGAAGACGGATTATACAGTCAAGTATAATAAGTTCTGATTTCTTTGATGCGAGCTGAGTTATTTTTAAAAGCGCCGTTCAGCGAGGATCGAAAGACGAAGAGACGTCAGTTATATTCTGGTGCTCTATAAAGGAAGGTCCCTCCTCTCCACGGCCCCCGCACATATTTAATACTCGTTGATCCACGCGCAGGCGCATTACGACAAGAGAAAATAGTTTCCTATCGAACGGAATCATTTTCCCGCAAACGTAATGTATCTGCGTATGCACGTATCGCGACAATATTTAACTACAATATCCTAGCAGCTGTAGCTCGCTCGCGTCCAGTTGGAGTCATAGTAATTACGATTTGTATCGACGCCAATTTTCTTTACCATCCCTGCCAACCACGCCTACCAATCCTCTCTTTCTCCGCATGGTAGGACACGTTATCGACTACAAAACTTTTACAGAAAGAAGTATTTTTCGTGTCCTTTTTTTTCTAGAATAAATACCCTTCCAATTTTTCGTGCTCGTCCTCGTCACGATCGAGCACTTGTTATATTCACACTTGACACACGTGTCTGCCATTATTTTCCATCCTCGGACAGAATCTGGTTTCGATTTGATATAATTGTAATGCCGTACTTATCAAAACGATTTAAGAGAAAAAATACAATTTGTATACTACAAAGAGGTACACACTTTGTACGTAATCTCTTAAAATGTAAATAAATTACTATAAGTCAACCGGTTTTTCGGCTTACTACGTCTGCAAAGGATCTCTCTCTCTTTCTCTTTCGCTCCCCCGCTCTCTTTCTCTTTCTCTCTCTCTCGCTCTCGCACGCTCTCTCTCTCTCTCTCTCTCTCTCTCTCTCTCTCTCTCTCACACACACACTCTCGCTCTCTCTGAACGTTTACTTTTTACTGTTATATTTCTTCCTCCTCCTGACACTTTATTAATTAGTTATTCACTTCCCCATCTCGTGCGTGTCTCTTTTATTTTTGTTTGCCATCGTAATTTTCCTTTTTTTACGTTTTTTTCCCATTTTACTTGTTTATGCAACACATAATGCGACTAGGTAGTACAGGGTAATTAATAATTAATATCATTAGTTATACAATAATAACGTATGACTAGACAATGCAAGATAATAATTATATTCGTAAGTAGTAATAATCATGGATCGCAATTTATATCAACAATGTGACGGGCGCTTTCGTTCCTTTTTTTTTTTCTTTCATCTCCCTTTTATCGCTTCTCTGTCATTCGTCTTCAACTTCTGAAAGATCATCGAGATAAGTATTATGAGCATACGGATAATAACGGCGCGCGTCGCTCTGCCTCCCCTACATTAAGCCATACGTCTTAAATGTTACCCCCCCCCCTCCCCCTTTCCCACGTATCCTTTGCGATTCGCGTATTTTTCGCTTTGCGAGTACGTTGATTAGTTTGTTTTGTGTTTTTGCATTATACTTAATTTCGCATCGTGTCACGTGCCTGTATGTGTGTGTCAGAGAGAGTGTGCGTGTACGCGACGTGTGACTTGTCGGGCAGAAAAAATGCGTTCACGTTATAGATAACAGTGTTTCACTGTTTTTATATCTTATCTCTCTCTTTCTCTCTCTCTCTCTCTCTCTTATGCAGAGCAAGCATATCCGGCTGTCAATAAACATTGTTTTGCGAACAATAATAATTATAATGAAATATAGTACCTTTATACACGTATTTCTGTTATACAGTTAAATGGCTCAACTCAGACCCCTCTTTTTTTAAGAGTTTTCGAGCGCTGTGACCAGAGGGAAAAAATGCTGGAATGGCCCCGTAAAGCCAAAATGATAAATCACTATAGAGAAGTTATTACGACGATATGGACACGTATCTAATAATAGGCGAGACACGCAAGATTTTACAGACTCCTCGATACATCACGATCCGTACAAGATCGACGTAATTTTAATGTGAAAAGGTCATCAGGACAAATTTATTTCTCCAACTTTTACGTCCATTGGGCTAGCGAAGTTTATTAATTTTTTAAAATCATTTTTAACTGCCCCTTCGGCATTTTTGTTAGATCAGAATTTTTAACTTGTTTTTTTTTTTCACGCGCACCTTTTTACATAATTATTTGGTTATCGCTTTTTACTCGTTTCAGATACTTCGATCGTGCATACTCTCCACTGACTCCCATCCTTGTTCCTCTCCTCTCCTGTGCCTCTCTGGCAGTTTCGCTCTCTGTTTACGTCTTGACGACAACCATGGTAATGCAGAGTACAAGGGACTATCGTACTTATCGACTAGTTTGTGCAGTGTTGATGGAGTCGGAGAGGGGGAAACAAATGGGAAAGGGACGGACGAAGGTATGAAATGGAGTTACGACGAACGGACTGTTTTGTCATTGGGAATACGAAGAGTGAAAGGGCAGGAGGAGAAGTTGGTGAAAATAAATTTTGTTTCTTTTACGTCCATCGTGGATTCCGAAGCACGAGATTTTCTTGCTACGTCTTTCCTTTGACATATCATTTTCCTATCATCTTTCGGCATATGGTTTTAGCGATATTGGAATGCGGTGTTGACGTCGACGATACGATATCGACTTTTGGTATCGATGATGGCGTTGATGACTTTTTGTTTGGTACGTTGGACACACGTACGTTCGATATCACGAAATTTTCGTGCATTTTTACTTTTTCTCATTCGTCCTGCTGGCTACCTTTCCTCGTAGATTCACGCGTTTAGTTTACGCTAACGATATCCTCACGTAATATCGTGATCGTCGCGTTGGCTGCGTCATTGGACATCGATGACGTCATTTTTCGAAATTTTTTCTCAAATCCATCCCGGTACACACCAAGTGATCTCCCAGCAGTAGTCGTTACTCTTTTTATACTTTTTATTTAGTATAGTTACACCATAGTGGTCAATTATCGTTACAATAGTATCATTATTATTATTATATAAACCCGTCATAAAATACATTATTTTATTAATATCCACATATGTTTTACTTTTTTTTTTCTCGTCTTCGTCCTCCTCGCGTACCTTTTTTCTCTTTTACGCAATTTATCGATATTCAATAGGTTTGAGGTTTAAGGTATGAGTATGTCGTTATTTTTTTTTTGCTTCTCCCGTGAACCTAGTCGACTGTAACGACGGGACGTCCCTGACTTGAATTATGAGTCGAGACGCCGACGTCTACGTGAGCATAGTCCTTGTCTAGTTTATTCTTTTTTTCCTCCTCGTATTTTACTTTGACGCAACCCTTCTCTCTTAGTCTCCCTCGAAATATTATCGTTCAGACATAACCTCAACATCCAATTCGTTATGTTTCTCTAGATTCTATATACCTTATACCCTAATCCCCCCCTGAAACAATAGCAATCTCGCATTTACTTTTTTCAGCATCGATATCGAGTATTTCGAATAAATTTCCAAAAATCCATTCGCAGCCCAACTCAAATTCGACTCGATGGACTTTTTTCGAAATATCAAATTGAAATTCGCATTGGACTCAACACCTGGCACACAATGTGGATACGCAATCGGAGCGGCCGTTTTCAATATGTAAATATTATCGCGTTAGAATCTCTATTTCGGTAAATTCAGACGGTTTTGCTTTTTTAATTGCGACGGAAACCATGCGGATCTCCATGCTAACTCGCTTAAACATTAATTAGCACGAATAGCTCATTTCCCTTCGTTATCTTTCTCACTGATTATCATCCTCGTTCAAATTCCCATCACAGCTTCTTTTCGCCTTTACCTAACCATCTTCAACGCGTTCTAAAGTTAACAATTTTTTTTCTTTCTTATTTCCCCCCCCCCGCATATCTCTCGTAAAGAAAAACGCTTAACCCGACAATTTCTATTATCCTTTATAATCTGTGAACTTCTTTGGGTTTTGACCCCTGACCTTTTTCTCTACGATTTTTAACAAGCTTTTTCCCTTTCTTTCGTGCGCAATCATTCGCCGATTCAACCAAAGACGTACAAACGACAGTCACTCATCTTCATTCTTTTTCTCTATACCTTTTTTCTTTATTCAATTCGTCATTTTTTTTTCTTTTTTTAGGTAAATGTCATTGGAGTAGATTCGTTACAGTAATGTCTTTGTCTTTCTTTTTTTATATTACTTATGTATATATATGTACATATATTGTACTTGCTGTGTACAATATGCATCGTATATATACTGTATAGTATGGACACACTTGTATACAATAAATACAATACACTTTTCTCTATTCCCTTGTTTCCCTCTCTCTCACTCCTCTTGTTCGGAGTCTTCTATCAAATCTCTCGCTTTCTCCCCTTGTCTCTCTCTACGCTTATTCTTGTTTGTTCGAAGTGTCTTATGCGAACGCCAAAATTTACTGTTAAACGCGTGCAAATACGGGAAATTTAGATAACAATAGAAAAGCCGCTAGGAATTGATAAAGATAAAAAAAGTGTTAAGTTTGAAATAACGAAGTTAACGTTTTATAACGAAAAATAGCAAACAGGAAATTAAAAAATTTTTTTT